GCCCACTGGCCACAGACACTTGGTGGGTCACACACACATGTGCAGGCACTCTGGTGCAGAAGTACTGCTTTGGTGGTGTGCTAGGTAGGAGAGGAGGAGCACTTTCTTTTGAGTGTGTGGGCCTTCTCTGTGCTCATGGGTGTTTGCCTGGGCTGCTGCACTTTGTGGGGGCACCCATGCGGTGGCTGAGCTGTGCCACTTGGGGTGAAGCCTTCCTGCATACCGGGCTGCAACTCCAAAAGTGAAAGCGTTCATGCCCAGGCCTGCCTGCTCCCTGTGCCCCCTTCTCTTCTAGTTGTGAGCCAGCAGCTGCATGAAGACCCGTGAGCTAGATCACTGCTGCTGGGGAGCGGGAGGGGATCTGCTCACCTCCTTACACTACCTCCCAGGGATCCAGTACCCCCACTTCAGATATATGGTGGCTTGGATCTCTCAGACGTCCTATTGTACTTTGTAGGGAATCCTCTGTCAGTTAATGAAAGTCCATTTGGTTGTAACTTAGTTGGAAGAGACTAAGAGAACTCTGCCATGATGCTAATGTCTAACTCAGAATTTCTTTCCTTTCTAAGGTTGAATAATATTCCATTGTATGTATATACCACTTGTTGTTTATCTATTCATCCATTCACAGTCACTTGGATCACTTACATCTTTTGGTTATTGTGAATAATGCTGCTATGCATATAGATGTACAAATACTTCTTCAAGACCCTGTTTTCAGTTCTTTGGGGCATATACCCAGAAGTGGAATTGCTGGTGTTATTGTTACTTTTAAATGAACTAATAAATAATTATTCAAAATTTTCCCAAAGTTTTAGTTTCAAAGGCAATAATCAGTGAGACAATTATATTGGCTGATATAACCCACTTATGTGGGTCTTTTTGGAGGGAGGTCCTCAATAATTTTTAAGAGTGCAGAGGGGTTCCATAAGCCAAAAAGTTTGAGAACAGCTGGTCCAGAGTGGTGGCAGAGGCAGTGAAGAGCTGTTGTTTGGCTGGAAAGATAATTAGGAGGTTAACATTGACTGGACCTGGTGGCCTGGGAGTCAGGGGTGACTTCTGGGTTTCTGGCTGGAACAACTGGATGAGGGTCCTGAGGAGGCCCAAGTATAGTGGGGAAGTTGATGAGGTCAGTTTGGTCCAGTTGAGTTAGAGGTGGCAGTAGGGCAGCCAGTGGGGATGCCTTCTTGGTGGTTGGCTATAAGGGTCTGGAGCCTGGAGGGAGGTATGGGATAAAGTTAGGAATGTGAGAGTTCTTTGTTTCATGGGTTTCCTCTCTCCAACTAGGTCAGAGCTCTAGGAAGTTAGGAATAGGATGGGATGCTTGTTACCCCAAGGTATTTTCACGTGGGAGCTTGATAAATGCTTGGAGGGTGGGTGGGTCTGGGTGGCACCTTCATACTTCCTTGATGACAACAACCTGCCCCTTCAGGCACTCCTGCTCCTGCAGCCCACAAGGTCCCACACAGGGCCACTGTGGGAAAGAGCCTGGGCGAGAGCAAGAAGCTGGTGTCAGGGCAGCCAAATGCCGACAGGCAACATCATTTGCCATTGTGAAACCTGCTTACACCAAAGGACACTAGTGGACCAGGGGAAATCTTTTTCTCATGTCCTGACCTTAAAAAGCTCCTTCATGGAGTTGGGGTGGGAGACAGCCTCAAAAACAAACCAACCAAACGCAAACAAGCAGAGAGGCTAACCAAGCTCCCCACCTCTCTGTGTGAACTAGCCTGTAATCTGGAGCAAGTCTCTTTCCTTTTCTTGAACCGGAGCCCTTGGATACTTCCCTTCCAAAAGGGGCGTGAAACCAGTGCCAAGCCACCACTCAGTACTGGAGCCTGAGGCCAGAGGAAAAATCAGTAATACCGATCTGTCTTTATTGAAAATTTTGATATTTTGTTCATCATGGATTTTATATTAATTTTGATGTTTTAGAAATATTGTGTAAGAATGTTATCTTTATCACTGAGTTTTTTGGCAGCCCTTTAAATTTTACACCTGAGGTGGGTGTATCTCTTGCCTCACCTAGGCCGGCCCTGAAAAAGCCTCAGAGAATTGCCCAGTGCCTCACACCAATCCAGAGTACAGCGCCTACGCTCAGGTGAGTGGTGACTGTACAGCTTCTTTCACAAAGGTGTCTTGGTTTTGCATCATCCAAGATTCCAGTCAGATGCCCCAGCCTCAGGCAGCCTTTACACCACCCTGCTTGAATGTGCTCATGGTACTTACCACCGTGCCCTGGGTATTTTAAAACATGGTCCACTAACGCCACCCACTAGAACGTAAGCCTTGTGAAGGCAGGGAGCTTGACTGCATTGTGCATTACTGAGTCTGCAGGGCCTAAAATAACCTGCAACACAGTAAGCGCTCTATAAGCATTTCCTGAAGGAACAACAGCTAATGGTTATCAAGCACTTGCCATGTGCTAATCACCTCATGTGCAGCAGCTCACTGAATCCTCACAGCAACCTTGCAAGGCAGGTATTATTACTGTCCCCATTTTACAGATGGGGAAACTGAGGCATAGAGATGTTATGTGACTGGCCTAAGATCATATGGCTGGTAAGTGGTGAAGCTGGGATTTGAACCTGGGCACTATGGACCTTTTAAACTAGATAATTCTTCCTGGTGGGAGGCTGTCCTGTGCATCATGGGATGGTTAGCAGCTTCTTTGATCTCTACCTACTTGATGCCAGTAGCACCCCTCCCGCAACTGTGACAACCAAAAATGTCTCTGGATGTCCTGTGGGGGCAAAATTGCCCCTGTTGATAACCATTACTCCACAGTATCTTTTTTTGGGTCAGGCAGATTGGCCCTGAGCTAACATCTGCTGCCAATCCTCCTCTATTTTGTATGTGGGACACTGCCGCTACCTGCCCAGTGACATCTGTTTAAATGGTCGCGGTATCCTAACCGTGCAAAGGTAGCATAATCACGGGTTATGCATGGCATGGGTTGATGAGCCGTGTGTAGGTCTGCGCCCGGGATCCGAACCTGCAAACCCTGGGCCTCCGAAGCAGAAAGCATGATTTTAACCACTGTGCCACTGGGCCAGCCCCACTCTAGAGTCTTTAATGGCTACCCCATGCTGCCTTCCTCTCAGGAATAGATCAAGAAATACATTGAGTTCCCATCTGGTGCCTCCATCATCTCACGGTCAGCTCATGGTGGAGAAATGGCACAGAGGTCCTCATCCTGAGGCCAGAAGGCCAAGGACACTCAGGTGTGCTTTTGGCCTTTCCTTCCCAGGACCTAAGAGGAATGTGACAGAGGAGGAAGCAGCAAGCCTGGCAGGCTAGGCACCCAGAGCCCCAGCATGGCTTTTGGTGCCAGAAGGAGTAACAACTGATGTCTTTGCTTAATTAAACACCCTTTCCCATACTACCTCATTTGTCACCTCAAAACACAGCCTTTCTCTCCTGCCATTAACTGTTCATTCTTTGCTAGCACTTTATGTGTATTAGTTCATTTAATTCTACTCTATGATGAGATATTATTTTCATCCCCCTTTTTCAGATGAAGAAACTGAGGCTCAGAGAGATTAAGTGACTTGGCTGGGCTCATTCAATAGGTTAGTGGTGAAGCTGGTAGTCAAAACCAGGCCTTCTCTCCATAGACCCCTCCTCCTCTCCACTCTGTTTCCACTCTCAGGTCACAGCAGAAGTGGTGGTGGGATGAAAAACACTTGGAGGAAACTGAAAAGCAGTTATGGGGCCAGCTGGCTGCAGGTCCCAGGGAAGGCACCCTCGGTAAGTTCCAGAAGTGGGTCTCACCTTACAGAGGGCCTCATGCCTCTGACAGAGGCAGTCTTCTGGGCCCCCTTCATGGGTGACTGTGAGGAGGCATCTGAGGTGGACCCCACCTGCCTTCTCTGGGGGCGGTACTCAGACCCTTCCTCCTCGGTGCATTTCTGCTCGTCTTCCTCTCTTATCCCTGGAGGCTTTGGGTGGTGGCCATGTCTGCAGCCACATAGGACCTCCTCCGCCTTGCCTGACCCTGCCCTTGGGACTACCCTCACCTTTGGGAACCCTTTTCTCTGCCCTTCCTGTGGCTTCATTTCCTCTGTCCTTCCTCCATCTCTTTGCCCAACAACTTGCATGCTTACACTAGCTATTCTCTGAACAAGCGCATCCTTGCCTGTTTCTAGGCTTCTGCTGCTCTTCTGCCTGGCATGCCCTTCCCACACTTTTCTGCCTGGCAAATCATTCTTACTTATCCCACAGCCTCCGCACATCTCTGTGGAGCTTTTTCCAATCTCCCCCACCACATTGCCCTTTCTTCCTTGGTGTCCCCAAGGCACTTTCTGCACCATGCTGTGACAGTGTGGCTCAAATGGTCCGTCTCTCTAGTAACTTATCGATGGTTGCAAATTCTTTGCTCCTCTTCCTGTTGAAGGAGGAGCTTGAGTCTCTTCCCTTTGGGACTGGTCTGGCCTTGATGCCGTGTGGGTTTGATGTTCTGGGAATTCTGAGGCTAGGTCATCAGAAGCCTTGCAGCTTCTGCCTGAGTCTTTTGGAAGGCCACTCTTAGGATTCAGGTGACATACTGTGAGAAGCCCAAGCCACATGGACAGGCCATATGTGGATGCTCCAGTCAATAGCCCCAGTTTAGCCCCGAGCCAATGTCGACTTCTCACCATGTGAGAGCACCATCCTGGACATCCGGTCCAGTGGCGCCTTCAGATGACTCCAGCCTCCGCTGCTGTGTGATTGCAACCTCACAAGAAACCCCAAGCAAGAACCACCAGCTGGGCCCAGGCAACTCATAGAACTGTGAAAGATAATAATAATTGTTTGAAGCCCTTAAGTTTTGGAGTGACTTGTTCCAGGTGCAATAGATAACTCAAAAGATCTCCCTCATCAGACTGTGAGTCCCCCAAAAGCAGGGATTGTGCCCCTGTCACTCTGGATCTCTAGTCACAGCCCAGGGCTTGATAAGGACCAAGTGCTCATCAAATGTCCCTTGAGTGAATGAATGAATGAAACCCATCACATCCCACTGTTCACCCTGAGATAGAATAGATTTATTAGCAAGAGGTAATCAGGAAACATATATTTTTACAAAAATGGAAATGTTTTTTTCCAAACAAGCTGTAAGTTGAAATATTTTAGGACTTGAAATAGAATTCTCATACCACTAGGTATTGCTTACAGCAAAAGTTGTCTGTTTGTCGTAGTGGAGCATGCCTGCCACTTCAGAGTGAGCCTGTGTTTTCTATTCTGTACAATGTAAAAAATAGATGGTACTATTCACAGAATAAGCACTACAGTCCTATATTCCTGCTAGAAGGCATTTAGACAGGACTACAGTATATGCAATAAAAACACTTGGTGATTGGTTTCTTATTTCTACCGTGTGGTACTATTTTCACAAGGCATACAGACTTAGAGGAGCATCTCAATGTAAGCTCGTCGTGACCGTTAGGAAGCTAAAGGAGGAAAAGTGACATTTTTTGTGTTCCCAACTTGCAGTGAACGCTGGGCGGCGGTCAGCAGACTTCGACACGACGTTGCGTTGTGATTCGGTTCTCCTCAGGAAGTTCCAGGGCCTCGTCCACTTTTATTGAGATGGCTATTCATGCTATCTGGTGTTATTCCTAGAGCAAGGAGCGATGTAGTGCCTGAACGAGATGGTGGTGCTGGTGTCACGGGGCATGGTTCTCAGCGGAGAGGACTCCCTTCCATCCAGGTGACTGGGAGATGGGGAGTTTTGAGACCTGCTATTTTGGCTGAAAAAGCTGCTTTGGAAATTGGCATCACCATCAGCGGGGAGCCTTGTTGATGACTGGGCTTCAGGGTATGGTCCCCCTCCCTCCCCACCCAGTTATAACAACTACATGGAACATGCTGGGAGGCTGCCGGGGTGGCCGACTCGACCCAGGGCCCTGGGCTGGGGAAGGACAGAAGCGGCACTGGGGCCTAAGAGTCGTGTATGCACAGGTTCTATTTTCCCTTCCGAGGAGAGTGAGGGGCTAGGAAGGACAGACTAAGATTCAGTTGTTTGAAAGAAACAGGCACGGCAGGAGACGAGGGGTGGGATGGGGGGTGAAGGCGTAAATGGTGCGGAAATTCATATTCCGTCTCTACAGGAGTCTAAGAGCAAGAGCAGATTTGTATTCTTGGAGAAGCACATCCTAAAGAGGAAAATCCAAAGAAACCAAACGAATATGTACAATATCATACAGCGTGTGTCCATGGGGCGGCTGGGTCTGGGCTGGGTACAGGTTTAGGTGGGGAGTTTTGGTTCTATTCGGAGAGAAGACTCGTAGAGGCTTTCTTCGTCCATTACAAAAGATTGGTCCAGTAAATACTGGGTTACCTGAGCAAAAAAAAAGAGAAAAAGGATAGCAGGGTTATGGACGCCCGTAATACTATGACTGTGGACACTGGGCATCTCCTGGGAACCAGGCTGGCACATGAGGCAAAAATGCATTAATCACTGTTAGTCTTGATATTATTTAATATTGTCTTAATAGTAATATTAAATTACACATGATCAAAATTACTCTTGGTTGTTGTTTCTTTTATTGAACACAAGATGAAGCATTTTGGGCTCATATTTACCATACATATCTAAAATGTCAATTGTAAAGTCTAGGTGGTGGGCATATGGACGTTCACAATTCTTTCAACATTTCTGTATTTTGGGAAAAATACATTTAACATTAGGACTACATAGCACTGACAGATATTCACTCCAAGAGAGGAAAGCGGAAACTGAGGCTGTGTGATCAGTTTTCTCCTTCACGTGGGTTTTTGCCCCCTTTTCTCACCTCATGTGGCTCACACCAGGGTGAAATCTTGGAGTGGAATCAGGAGGACTCACCGGAGTGGATCACATTCTTCTTCTTCCTCCTCCTCCTCCCCGCCCCTACTTCACTCCTGCTCCCAAGTGTTTTGCTGAATTCCTGCGCGTCACACATGCAACAAGAGAGCAGGGCCCAGGCCCCACAGGCGCCTCCAGCTTCAGAAAGAGTCTTTCCAAGGCTCATTTAATTGTCAGTTGTTCAGAACTGAAGGTTCATTTTTTCCCCCACAGAAAACCAGAGTGGAAGGACGAAAAAAATTATATTTCTTATAACATATTTGAGAATCTTCTGATAGCTGCTTGAGAAAACTCCAGTCTTTGTTGTTTGCATGTTGTCTAATTGACTTTCTGATACTGTGAGGGATGGAACCAACTGTCTAGTATGCTGATTGTTGGTCACAGATGAAATGATTACGATGTCTGAGCAACGGTTCACACCCAGCACCTCTAGGAAGCTGACTTCGGATACCACAGTCTAGACGAACCCATACCCACTGATGAAGATGTGGTGATTTTACCATCATGTGCAAGAGACTAGTCTTTTATTCCTAGCTAGTAGCTTCATGTGAACAGCCTTTTCTAGAGGGTGTAAATTTCTCCCTCTCAAACCCTCTGGGAATCAGCAGACTGATTGGTTGGTTTTCTCCATAATGAGCATGCTCAAGATCAATTGCCCTAAGAAATTTTACTTTAGTGGGAGACTGGCAGCAAACGCCACCACTACAAAGCTGTTAATGAAAGTACTCCAAAGAGCCGTAGCATTTATTTACATTGCACATTGGAGCTTGAGGGAAAGTTCAAGGAGAGGAGGCCCAAGGCCTAATACCGTGCCTGGCACATAGTACTTGCTCAATGAATGTTTGTTGAGTGAGAGAATGAATGGAGAGCAAGGAAAAAGTGGCCTAATTGGTTACCCCACTGATTTGTCTTTTCTAACGTGACGATTAGACATAAAACAGACAATGAGTTCACAGAGCGCTACAGAAGACAGATAGTCTCTGACAGGGCAAATCTAGTCCAAAGGAAAGTAGAAGGGAAACGCAATAACAGCTTGATTTTTTGCTGTGCTTTCAGGGTGTGTCAGGAGCTGGATACTTTTGTGAACTGCAAGATAGAAGATTAAGATGCTGGCTGGGAAGTGAATAGATCTCTGGGCAGAGAGGAAGGGCTGCAGGATTGGGAGCTGAAGAGTCTGGATCGGCAAATCTCAGCTATTTTGTCTGTAAAATGGGGCCAATGGCACAGGGTTTGAAGAGTGAAATGAGACTAACCTGCCAACCACTCTCCCTATAGCCCTGCTATCTTTTAAAAATGGAAACGAATCCAGTTCTACAAGCTCCTTTCAGGGTTTCCATCATCCTTAGGACAAGGTCCCAGATCCTCCTAGGAACCCACAGTCTCATCTGGTTCAGGCCTGTCTGATGCGGCTGCTCTGCGCTTCTCAGATGGACCCTTCCCACCTCCTGCAAGCCTGTCCCTCTGCAGGAAGGACATGCCCTACCCGCCCAGGACAACTGCTCCAGGGGTCTTTTCCCCAGATGAACCTCCCTGGCCCCTGCCAGGCACAGTCTAGGACTCCCACTGTCATGGCACTCTCCATTTCCTGGATGTACAAGTGTCTTTTTCAAGCCTTGTCTGTAGCAGCAAAAGACTGAAATCACCTAAATGTCCATCAATACAGACGACTGGCTGAATAAATGGATTTCTCTGCAGCCGTAAGGAAGAATGAGGATGCTTCTGCCTCAATAGGAAATGATCTCAGAGATGTCATTAAGGAAAACAAGAATGATGCTGAGCAACGTATAGTATGCTACATGACAGTATAAAACCTTTCATTGTGTTTGCATATACATGAGCAATGGGTGACACGGTTGCCCTTGGGAGGGGAACTTGGTGGCTGGGGGACTTTTTGCCATGTGCCCTTTATATCTGGTGAGCGTTTTACCTTCCAAACAGGTGTTATAAATGCTGCCTCTCTTGCCTTTGGGGAGATCACACAAGACCATCAAGCATCCTATGGCAGGTAAAAATCAGACGGGAGCCTCAGGATTAGCAGCATCCCAGCGTGGAGGAAGGACAACTCCCCGCGCAGCTCAGGGCGCGGGGAAGAGGGCGCTCCCTGAGAGAGCAGGGCCTCTGGTGCTGGCTGGGCGGGGCGGGGCTGCGGAATGCAGGGAGGGAAAGTGGTTGAGTGTGGCAAAAGCAGAAGTGGCTGTGAAAATGCTCCAGCTTACCTTTGCTTGGTGTTCTATTTTGTAGGCAGTTTGTTGAAACTGGCGAATCTCTCGGATAATATGGGATATCTGTGGGAAGGAAGGAGTTTTAGACAACAGTTTGCTGTCTTGGTGCCACCTCCCACTTTGCAGGACAGAGGGGCAGCAACAGCCAAGTCTGAAGTCAGTCACTTATTTCCCATATACCTTGCCTCCTGGGAAGCCCCACTGGGGCATCATGGTTTTCTTTAAACCAGCAATCTGCTTCCAAGGGCGATGCTTGTCAAGAATCTATAGGTTAATTATGCTATGTGATTGAGAGAAAAAAATACATCCAACATCCTAAAACAGCATGTCACAACTTCAGCAAAAGTTAAAGGTGTCCGCCACTCTGTAAGTGCCCACTATGTGCAAGGCACCCCGCACAGGGCTCCTGTCTTGTCATCAGGACAGTGCTTCCAGCTAGTGTTTGACAGAGAAACCCTTCCTATTACCAGAATCTTGGGTGGAAGCCCATTGTGCAAAACTGTTAAAAGCAGTAGCTCTCTGGCTGGAGTGAGAAGGGAGAAGAGATGGTTAAAAATCAGGCCCCTGCTTGGAGGGGACCCTCATCTCCCCTCCCAGGTCCTAGATTTCTCTGGGAAATTTGAAACCTCCTCACTTGGGAGGTGCTGCATAAGTGATTTTGCTTTGGCCACATAAAGCAAGTATTCATATCAACAAAGATGGATGGGCTGCGAAGAAAGGTGCTGGCTTTGGAGTCAGACAGACCTGGCCTCTAGACCCGGCTCTGTCCTTTACTTGTGGGATGACCTTGGGCTGGTCATGGATCCCTCCAAGCCTCAGCCTACTCTTCTGTAAGGTGGAGAACACTAAGAGAACTCACCCATCAGACTGTGGGCATTAAAGGAGAAATGCAGGTATGGCTGGCTCAGGGTCTGTCAACTGCTGACTGCTCATTAATAGGAGCCATGGTTCTTATAGGAGAAATTGGATTCAGGTGTCCCTATCGAGCAGGCTGGGCTTAGTGGGCAGAGCTTAAGTGGTTCCAGGGCTTGGGCCTGGGTTTTGATGACCCCTACCCGGCCTTGCTGTGGGAAACGCACCATTCTCATCTTGGAGAAGTTGACCAGGCCGTCCTCCGTGTAATTGGGTGTCCCCTCTTCAATGAAGGCCAGGTCGGTGAGGTACATCCCCAGGTAAGGGACACAGGGTGGATCACAACTTCAAAGCAAACGGCATTAACAAAATTTTTCACTTAAAAACACAAGCTTCTACCAAGAACAGAACACCCCACATGCATCTTTTGCTTTGCTGGAGGCAAAGGGATTTCTATTCATCAAGAATAATAGTAGCTCTCTGGCCTAGGATTGCCATCTAAGTCTGAGGGTCAGTCCTCGGGGGTGGTGGGGGTGACGTGGTGCTGACTGGCGCTTGGGCCTTCTCAATTAGTCGTCCCCTCCCTCCCTGCGCCAGAAGGCCCTTCTCTACCTCTCTGCTCTCCATCCCTTCGGAGTCCTTGGGCTCTGCCACCAACCCCTCCCAGCCCACCTTTCCTCTCTGTCTCTCCACGGAAACTCTCTATCCAAACCATGTTCCAGAATCACCTCCTGGACGGCTTTGCAGCTCCCATCCCCATCCTGCCAGTCACCACCAGCCACCCTGTCTGACCCTCTTGTCTCTTTCTGCTCCTGAGACCTCTCCTCTGCCTCGACTTCTTGTCCCACCGGGATCTCCTGCCCCCCTGAGTACTGGGCTGCCAGAACAGCAACACTTTGCCCTCTGAGATCACGTTCACAGAAGCAGCTTCTGGGCAGGGGGCTGGGTGACAGCTTCTGTGGTTGGTGACTCTTGGGGGACGGCATTTTTGGGAGAGGGGAGCTAGGAGTGATGGGCCACGCTTCTCTGATTTGTGGTTCTGAAGCAGGGGCTCCTGTTACTGCTCTGTTGAGGCTTGTCCTGGCGCCCCTGGGTCGGGTGCTAGGTAAGGGGCTGGCTCTGTGATGGGTCCAGTGGCCACTATATTCTGGCAGAGCTCCATAGAGCTCCCTCAGGGGACTCCTCACACAGTGCTCTGCAGCCTCCTCTCAGCTCAGCACACAGAAGTAAGTGGACTCGCTGCACACATTGCAGGTGACCCTCATTTCTAGCCCACCTCACCTTTGTCTCCTTGTGACCACTTGGCAATCCTGCCACTCTGGAGGAAGGTGAGGCAGGGCGGATAGTAGATCAAGAACAGAAACCCGGCCCCTGCCCCTCGCCTGTTTGCCTTGTGGCTCTGGGCCAGTTCTTTCCCCCTCTGGTCCTCAGGTTCCTCTTGTACAATAGAACTGATTATAGCTGAGACCATTTTAGGTGGCCTGAGAGTTGATTCGAGGTGAGGCACAGACACAATATTAAATATCATTGACTCACAGGGCAGGAAACACTTGACTGTCACTTTTCCCCCTGGTGCTCAAGGAGAGGGCTCCTTTGGTGGCAGTATGGCTTTGGGACTTCCTAACACTTGCTGCTCTCCTCCCACTCTTTTTTCTTTTTAAACAAATAGCAACAGGTCTCAGGATTAGAGTGTTGGCAAACATCAGGATCCGGCCAGAATTTAATAACACTGTTCCGTCTTTGCTATATTTATTTGTCATGGCAACTTTGTATTTATGGCATGTATGCTGGTTTCCTGCTTAGTGTCATGATATAGAGTTTTCCTTTTTATTTAAATTTATTTTGGGGGAAAATGATTTAATTTAAAGGAGACTATGAAGTAAACACAAACACAGCTGGCACATGGGCTTGGCAAAGTTGTGAAGGAGGCGGAGTTTGGGAAACAGAAGACAGGAGGGATGTTTTTTGAACTGTAGGTCTTGACTCTTTCATGGGTGTTACAATCAATTTAGTGAGTGTTGACCGTATTTAAAAGAGAAGTAGAATAGAACAGAAAATATCTGAGTTCATTGCATGGACTAAAGGTATATGTTGTTCTGTGAAATTTTTCTTCCTGTTATGCATATATGAATTTTTAGACAGGGTCACACTGTCAAATATAATTTTTTTTTATGGTATGTTGTAGAATAAACAAAGCAAGACTCATACTGGCCACTGGCAGACCTCTCTGGGTCCTTCCGGCCTGTATGGTCTGATTGTTGCGTGCCTGGCTTTTCTGAAGCACAGGCTCGTGGATCTGATGGAGAAATAGTTCAAAGATCTGAGAAGTAACTCTGGAGCTGGAAGGTATGGCAGTTTGCTGACCGGCAGCCTCTGAGAGGGGCTCCCCCCGGCCCTGCTGTCTCTGCTCATGATGGGAACTAGGAACCTGGGGAGCTGGCAGGACCTCTTATCTCAGAGAGAGGGAGGAGGGGAGGCCAGGTGGCTGTGAATGACCAAAGAACATAGAGTATTTCTGAAGGCCTCACTGCGTCTCTGACTACCCCGACCAGTGAGAAAAATCAGGGGGGTCCTCTGGTCACTAAGGGGGAATTCTCTGAGGTATTTGAGGTTTGTCTCTGAGGTTCGTGATCCAGTTGTGGAAAGGCAATGGATGTGCAATTTAGTCACTTCCAGTGGCACCACCAGCCCCAGTACCAAACTCTGTCCCTACTTACCCTTCACAGTGAGGGGCCTTGCAGGAGGGGCCTAGGGAACAGCATACTTAATCACTTCAACCACATACACACACACACACACACACACACACACGCACGCACGCACGCAGACACGCACAACCAACCAACCAAAATCCAGAGCCATGTTGTTAAATGTATGGGGTTGCCAGAGTGGCCAGCATGGGGGGTGGACAGTAGGGGGCAGGTGTGGGGTAGAGAGTGAAGGCAGAGGGTCCCAAAAGGGCACCAGTGCACAAGGACTGACCCATGCTGGGCATCTGAACGGAAAAGGAAGCCCGCTGAGGGCTTCGTGTACGCAAACCGCCCACCCAGCTCTGGACTTTCCCTGTGAGCCTTGTGGCCCCACTCAGGGGGGATCCAGCCTTGCCCCGCATTAGGGCCTAGCCAACAAAGCTGATAACTGAGGGGCTTCCTCTTTTGGCAGACTTCTCACATGTCTTTAGCTGACATTTCAGGGTGTGGAGAGGCAGGCGTCCCACCCTTCATTCTGCTTCTGGTTTTCTGGTTGGTGCCTGCATGTGGCACACCAATGCCTGGTGACACGTGGCATCCAGGCCTTGCCTGTGGTTATTTGGGCCCCCCACACTTGATGTTTCTCTCTAACAAGAAATTCCTCGTGATGTCAAGCGGGATAATAAAGATTACATGGTACCAGCGAATGAAAGTAAGATGTAGCTGTCCCACTAGCTCTCCACCAAACCCCAGGAACCAGGGCCAGTGACAAGCAGGTGCTCCCTCTCCTTGCTCCCTCTCCACGTCCCCTCCCTCCTCTGCCCCAGTTGTGGGACCGACCACTCTCTCTCACACGTCTCTGCGGGCTCTGGTCAGGGATCTCCTCTCCTTCTCAGGGGGGGCATGGGAGGCACGTGGGCTGTGTGGGCTGGAACCCCTGCGGTCAGGGTCCAAGGTTCTGGCACGTGGTGTGAGAAAATGAGGTACTCAGATTTCGGGAAAAAAAAATAGTGATGGGGTGGGAGTGGGGGTAGGGCTCAGAGTCCATTCTTGCTTTTGGTCACATGGACATTAACTGCTCTGTTGTCTCATTAGCAGGAGACCAGGCTTTGCTGTGTGGCCACAGGCAGAAAATAAAGATGGAAACAGGTATCTGGAACCCCTGAAACTCTGGAACTCCAGAACTTCAGCCTTTGGACTCATCGTATCCACAGAGATGGATGGATTTCACCCATTTGGAGGGTGTCTGGCAATGTCCTGGTGGCTGACTCGCTCCTCCATAGCTCTTCCCATCCTTCATTTAGGGAGCAAAGGGGAAAGGCTTTTATTGCAGCAGCCTCCAACAAGCCCTGTCCCTGCGTTCCTCTAAATTGAGGCCTTCCTGTTCACACTAAAGACAAAAGGTGCAGATATGCAAATGTGTGCTGGGTTGAGATTAGACAGGGCAGGCAAAACCCGAGTGAACCGTCAAAGAGCTGGTGACCAGACTGGACTGCTAAATTGAGTTCTCGAGCAACTTTTGTTGCATGGAGCTGTGGGAAGGTTCTGATCACTGGGAGGCCGAGACGGGGGACAGTCTCATGGCCTCACACGGGTGTGGGTTTGGGGAATGACAAGGAGAGATAAGGTCATGCTTGGGGTGCCAGGACAGGGGTCTGAATGGGGGCACCTATGGCAAGGGTTGGAGGTGGGTTAGGGGATATTTAAGGGAGTGACTGAGGGAGAGAGGTAGGATTCAGGGGTGCAGTCTTGGCTGGTAAAGGTAAGAAGGCGATTCACTGGCCCAGGTGCTGGCAGAAGACTGAATGTTTTAAAGACAGGCTAGAAGGAGGCATGGGGCTGAGCGGGATGAGGACCCACACGGTGAGGCCCATCATGGGCTCCTTGTCTGGGCAGGTCACCAGCTGTGCCCCAGACAGCCATGTCACTCCCTCTGACCACTGTCCCCTGCTTGGTGTGACAGACATCCCGTGTTCACAGAACACTGCTGTACGTGAAAACCTTAGTGCTGCAGGAGAAAGGGTGCAGAAAGCTTTGCCCAAGTTTCCTCAGTCTCTCCTTCCTCTGCATGGCTTGGCCTACGTCTCTTTAAGGCAAGAACCTGGTTTGCATAAAGGTCTTAGCTCCCAGAATGCCCGAAGGCCACCTCCGCCCTTGTGGCAGGGAGCAGAGGCATCTGGGAGAGGCACTTACACAGGCCCACGGGAAACCTGAAAGAGGGAAGACAGTCAGGAGGGGGACTCAGACAGAATGGGGGACCACGGAGGCAGTGGAGGCGGTGGTGGCGGCGGCGGTGGACGAGGAAGCCATGTGAAGGAGGCAGATGGAGCGGCGCCCGGGGGCAGACGGACAAGTTGGTGAATGCACGGGGGGCAGCTCCCCACAAGCACAGTCCACAGGGGCTCCAGGGAGCCCAGGCGGAAGAGAGACGGCCGGACAGCACAGATGGGTGGAACATCTGTCTGAGGACACAAACAAAGTGGAGATGGTCAAGGCGATGGCACACGGAGCTGGCTGGGGACAGACCGAGTACGGCAGGGAGAAAACGAGAAGGGCAGACCAGGCCAGCGTGGGGTGGCGTGCGGTGTGTCAGAGCCGCTGTCCAGGGCTAGAGGCACTGACTGGTCCCATCCCCCTGTTCTGGGGGGTAGTGAACTCTGGTGGGCCCTGAATCGGTAGTGATCCTGTGATCCCTTGAGGAAGGGAAGAGAGGCATTCCTGGGCTTTATAGGGAGCCAGGACCCAGGGGTCTCCCAGGGTCTCTCCAAGGTCCAGTGAGTAGCCACTTAGGCAGGGAGAGAAAGGGTGAGGGCCAGCCCAACGGGGCACGTGTTTAGGTGCCCATGGGGAACATGGCGGAGACTGTCAATGAAAGGAGGGCAGAGACTAGTGTAGAAACCCCAAGTGCACACCTAATGAGAGCGAGCTCACATTTCATGTGACTGTGTGGCCGAAGTGTGTACGAATAAGCTGAGTCACTGCTGCCCTGGGAGAGCTGGCCTGGACATTCCCAGGAGGCAGCCTCAGCCAAACCACAGATCACTGGCCTTGGAGGCTAGCCTGGGTCAAGGCCTAGCTCTGTCACCATGACCACATGTCCTTGGGCCAGCCACTAGCTCCTCAGTTTCCTTGTGTGGAAAAACAGGATGGGGAATCTATCTTATAGTGGTGGTTCTCAATGGGGGCAATTTTGTCTCCCAGGGGATATCTGGCAAGGTCTGGAGCCATTTTTGGTTGTCATAGCTCGGGGGTGGGAGGCACTGGCATCTTGTGGGTAGAGGCCAGGGATGCTGTTAAACATCCTACAATGCACAAGACAGCCCCACAACGAAGAATTATCCTGGTCTAACTATAAGAGGGCCGGGTTGAGAAGCCTCACCTCATAGGCAATGTCGATGGGGCTACACACACTGTGGCAGCAAAGCTGCAAGCTTTGCAGACTGTAAGGGGCAACTGTTGGTACAACTGCATTTCCTTGATTCCAAGATACCATTGTCTATAAAATGCACTCTTGTTTTGATGACTAATTATCAAGTAAAAAAAGGAAACATAATCATGTTAAATAAACATATTGACTTTAAGACATATCCTGATGTCAGAAATAGTAAAATGTAAAAAAAAAGGTGACGTTTTGGAATCAAAGAATCTGGCATCACTATTATTCTCATCACAGCTACTATGCTTCTTGGGACTCCAGTGTTCTTGTGCCACTCCCGGAAACGCCCCAAACCCTGGAATCTCTTTGGTAGAGGATGGAGATCAAAGCTGACCCACCCTAGGGGTCTGTGACATCCTAGGGTCTTGCGGGTAGACAGATGGACAGACAGACAGACCTCCTGCTCCAGCCAGAGGTGGCACGTGAATGCCTCCGAAATGTGGTTCTACAATTTCAAAAATAACGGTGATAAAACAGCATACACTTACTTTTTCAGAGCTTCTCTCAGATTCTTAAATCTGCCCTCTGATGACACAAGCTTTTGGAGCTTATCAATCAAAGCTTTTGTCTAGGAGGAATCAGAAGCATTTACTAGCACACCGTGCACATCAAGGCCCAAGGCTCTGGCCCACACTCCACAGGCCGCCCTCCAGAGCTCCCGAGCCGCCTTTGCTTGGCCTTGTGATGGGGCAGGATTCGGGCCTTCCTGGGTCTGGCAGCCTGGCCCCTGAGCTCCTGAGGAGGCAGACACGGTCCTTGCTTTGTGGCCCGTGATCATACACACATCTTTCAGAAACAAAGAAGCGAGGCCTGCAGGGCCTGAGTGTCAACTTCCACCCCCAGAAACACTGTGCCATCCTGAGACCTGATGGTGTAGAAGATTGGTGGGTAACTCCCAGGAGTCGACGCCTAGAGCAGGGAATGGCCCATGTTTCATTATCATGGTCTTTCTCATGAAATGTCCCTAAAGCATGCGACCGTCTTTTCACATCTTCACTTTTATATATTAGGAACACCACCCAAACTTAAGAATCAAGAAAAAAGATGGTAAATGAACTGATCATCAAGAATAAAAGGCCTTGATGGAGAAGAGTAAATCCCATGGCTAAGGGTCCCCTCTGCCAAATGACCAAGCCAGGCCCTGCCCACACATTAGGCTGGAGCAGTTTCGGTGGCTGGAGTCTGTCTAAAGAGACCGGGTGTGTGCCACTGCGAGCCTGACTTCGGGCTCCTCTCCCTGCATGGCCTGGGGGAAACTTGTTTGCCTCTGCAATCTTCAGCTCCTTCCTTGATGACACCGTGAGACAGATTAGGGACCTCCTTTCCAGCTCCAGTCCTCAAAATCCAGATGCAGCCAAGAAACCAACCATGCTGGAGACCAGCTGTGCTAGCCAGCCCAGGGGGAACGCTGGCCACAGAGGCCAAGCGCACCCCTAATTTTTGAGACCATTTTTATCTGAGAAATCCGCCCACAGGAAATGACAATCTAAGTTTTCATTCTGATGGAAGACGAGATCAATGTGGGCTCTTCAAGGGGAAAGACTAGCAGAGCACACTGTTCAGTGTGGTCCTGTATCAGTGAAGAAAAGCAGCATTATTTGGACTGACCCTGTTCAAAGCAGAAATGTATTCTGGATCTGGTGAAAGAGACACTCGCCAGGACAGCACAGGCCACACCGAGTCAAGGGCTTGACTCGAGCTGACTGCTCTCAGAGTCCTGGCAAAGCCTAGATGCTCAGGTGCACCTCGGCCCCAGGCTTTCTGCTGCCCTCCTGCCCTGAATGTCTTTCCAGAGCTGCACCTCTGCTTCCTCTTCTTTCCCATTCACCTGCGGATGGATGACCTCACATGGTGTGAGGCCAGATGTGGAGACTGAGTGTCCAGAGACCTGGGATCTCACTGGGCTCTGTCACAACCTTCAGTGTGTCCATGGGCAAGTCACCACCCCTCTCACCTTCCTGGGCCTCAGCTTTCACATCTGGAAAATGGGAGGGCAGGTCCGGGTGTTCCCTAAGGGCAATATCCTAGATATTCTAGAATTGTAGGTGACACAAACACTAAATCAGGAGGCCCCGGTGGCTACATAGCTCTGGGTGAAATATCGCTATGCTCAGAGGCCATGAAAATGTACAGAGGATATGATGTGTGGGTTTTTTGTATACACCTGGGACTAATTTGTGGCTCCAAGCTGGGCTGACTTTGATTCCTTCTACATCCCTGTGCTTACTGTCTAGGAAGGAGCTTGTGGCCTGGGAGGATTTTCCCAGTTGCTGCTTAGAAAGTGTGTTCCAACTTGAAGCAGCTAAAGTATCTTCTAGCTGGGCCAGGAGCTGCCATCCTTTGATGCTCACTGGGATACCAGGCCCCCAGGATCGTGGGCATCTCTGCTGGATGCCCAGTGGGCAGAAATATGGGGTCATTTGGAATATGTCATTGAAACCAGAGACCAAGCAAGGAGCCTGCCTTGGAAGTAGTGTTAGGAAGAAAGATGACTATATGGCTTCCCAAATACCATCCCTTCCTGTTCACAAACAGAAGATTTCTGGATGGCCAAGCCTGCTCCCTCCCAAAGAGGCCAAACAGTATTGTTAGTAAAAGAGAGGCTTTTGTCTCTATTAAAATGTAACCATCCTTCGGAGGGGAAACACACAAAACCATGTTAATCATCTGCATCATTCCATGGTGGAGCATCATCTTTCCCAAAGGAAGGTTTTGTTTTCAAAGAAGGTGGGGAGAGGGTTGGAAGAAAGGGGAAAGGGAGACCAGAAGGCTCAAACTAAACTTGACTGCTTGACTCTGGCCAAGGGTTGGACTGGACTTGGACATAACAATTTTCTGCTTTGGGCCAGCACATTTAAGGGAATGATAAAAACTAGCTGCTGAGGCTACATTTCAGGTCCTCTAAGAAATGTGGCCATTTCAGCAGGTCACAAGTATCCAAGGGATATTTGTGGAGGATGATAGTGAACTGTCCCTGGCTGGTGTTGACCAGGCCATGGCCATGGCCACCCACAAGCTCTTGGAGCCAGGTGCTGTGCAGACGTACAATTATGGCACAGCTGAAGGGCTGGGAGAAGCCAGCGGGGTCCAGTCTGTCTCGAGGGTGCGGGCCTGGATGTGCTTTCAGAGGAATCTTTGATTTTTGGACCAGGTTGCCTGGCCCTAAGTCCTGAATGATATCTTAGAACGCAGGCCAGGCCTCTGCCTTGACCTCTAACTGCCCTCAATTTGCACTTTCCTAAGAGAACAGGAAACTTCAGGATGACCAAGGTAGTTGCCTCCCAACCCCATGACAAGAGTGATGATGGAGAATGAGGCCAAGAAATTCACAGAATCCCCAGTGTGATGGGAGAGGAGGGCCCAGTTACAGAGCCTCTGGAAAAGATGACATCATTCCAATGGCACAGGGCAGGAAAAGAAAGATGTTGATATGGAATGGACCCCTCAGACTCTGCCAATAGCCCTGCGGAAGGCTGATAGGCCAGATCAGCCTGGAGGACTTGGAGGTTCTACAGGAGCCCTGCTCAACCCCTGACCTCAGGAGTTCATGACATTGTGTGCCACATGTGGCCAGATGTGCCTGCAGCCCTGAGCTCCTGTGCTCCCAACCTCTGTTCTTTCCAGGGGCCCACTAACAAGACTGGCATCTTCCAGTCCTTGTCCTGACCTTGGCATCTCTGTGTGCTAAGCAACAGGAGGCCCCACCTCATTGGGATACAAGGGGTACCCTTGCAGCCCTCTGCAGTCCTGCTGTAATCCGGGCCTGGAGTGATTGGACCGTAGTGGAAGGGCAGCGGAGATGTTCCAGGGCTGTCCTGAGTTTGGCTGCTTATCTAAGTAGGAGGGATTTATGGACCTGCTGCCTGCTATGGGGGTAGAATCGTGACATGCAATTGGCATGAAGAGGGTAGTGAGGAGCAGGGGCTAAAGAGAACAATGAGAGGGACACAGTATGGAAATCCAGAGTGGTCCAGATGAGATAGACCCCTTGGAAGCCCTGGGCCCGGCACAGCCCACCCAGCTGCAGGACCATAGACACTATTGCCAAGGTCTCAGTGCCTTCGGAGGCTTACCCTGTCCTTTGGTGGTGGCTGTCCATCCTCCTGCACATATGCAGGCTGGGGTTGGGCATCCACCGAGTGCCCCAAGGAAGTGACCCAAGTGCCCCATTAAGCCCTCCTTTCAGGAGAGCTGCCCCCTCGTGACCCTAGTGCAGGGAACTTTATTCCTGAGAAAGAATCCACCTACGGCTTTTCAGAATTATGTTCTGAATGAATAAAAATCAAACCCACATTTAAAATCACCAACTATCCAGTGGGTAACAGGGACCAGCTAACTCTCTGGTGGCCAAAAGGCTGGTGAAATCAGAGTCCTAGGAAGGGACTTGCAGGATCATCTGAGCACCATCTCAGCAATCTGCAGATCTGGACTGGGATTCCCAGCAGGCCATCACTCTTTTGTCCCAACTCAAGGAGAAGAGTGTTGGGACCAATAATCACTGGTTTATACTTCCCACTTTACAGTATTAATTATTCAAGTGGGAATTAAAGTCCCATGGGTCCCAATGTCACATCTGTGAGCCTGATATCTGGTCGCAGGTGATGCAGGAGCAGAGGTTCTTTGTTTTACTTGGGAGTGTTGGCCCTCAGCCTTGTCCTTTGCTCATCTATGGATGCCCAGTGGCCAGGCCTCTGGTCTCCCGGTCCCAGCCCCAGCCCAGCCCCAGGCAGGCAATGGTGCCAGTTTCCTGCCCGCACCTGCTTAGAGACTTTGAGCCACGTCTTTTTCAGCCGGAAGATTGCGCTTCGGTTCATGGATGAGGTGATCTCCAGCACAGCATTGTAGTTGTGTAAGCAGCGGCATATGTCAGCCACGGCCACCCACTTCTCGATGGCGCTCACCCTCGCGTTGATATCCTCATTGCGGACGATTTCTGAAGCAATCAAGTTACTGATCTTTAAGTCCATGCAATAAGACAAGAAAAAAGGAAGAGGAATAAGTATTGTAAAGAAGATATATCATCATTATTTGCAGATAGTATGAGTGCCTGTTTGAAAACACCAAAAGACTGGATTGGAAAACCACTAGAACAACTAACAGAGCTCGACAGAGTGGCTGGCTAAAGACTCAATACACAAAACTGAAAATTGTTCTCTATATTAGTAATACAAATTAGAAAGTACAATGAGAAAGATGTTATCTTCAAAATAACAACAGGAATCTGTAAGTTACCTAGGAACTTAAATTAATGAGAACTATGTAGGATGTTTCATAGTTGAAATGAAAAAAGTTAATAAATGTTATAAAAGGTTTGAATAATGAAGAAAGAGATCAAATTCCCAAATGGGAATGTAAGTATCACTTTTCAAAATTAATACATGAATTTAATGCAGTCCAATAAAACATGCCTTGGGAGTTCTCTCAAGAATTTGACACAGTGATTCTACAGTTCATCTGGAAGGAGGAAGGGCCATGCTCTGAGGGAATCTCCCGCCAGACAACTAGAGCTTGGAGAGGACACACATCTGGAGGCATCACTGGCCTCACGTACAAAGTAGAAGAGATCTCTAAGGACTGCTTTCTTCTGCTCCCACAGCAAACAGTCACATACACACAAACAAGCCAAATGTGGGTTGGCTCTGGAGCAGCCAGGGGGATGGGGAGCTGGGGCCAGAACATCAGGAAGCTAGAACTGCAAGGAGCTGGGGCAGCAAGAAGTGCTGACCTCCCTGTACACTTCTTTGCAATTTCCTATGAATTTATAGTTATTTCAAAGTAAAAAGTAAAAAAAAAAAAGACCTCGTTATAAAAAAATAAAAGTGATAAAAGATAATATGATAGATTTCCCTTTACAGATGAGTAAAAACTGTAGGGCTTTTGCACAAGAGATCTTCTTAAAAACAACTTTTAGAGGATGTACGTTAGGAAGAATGGACTGTAAAACTACTTAAGGATGGAAAAGTACTGATGAGAACCAGGAAGAAATGATAACACAAAACAGTACACATAGTATAACTCTTAATTCAATGGAAGTAGCAGTTAACATTTTTTTCCACAAAGAAAACACTGAACTCAAAAGTTTTACATATAAGTTATACTAATTTTTAGAAGGAAAAGATCAGTTAAACCTTTCAGAGAATAGAGAAAAAAAGACCTGCCAATTTATTCTATGAAGTCAGTATAATCTTGATTCCAAAATCAAATACACACAATACAAGAAAAGAAAATCACACACTCATTTGTTTAATATACCATGACCATATTAGATCTGTCCCCAGAATGCAAGAAAATATTGGAGAAAAATCTCTAACTGCCATTCACGACATCAGCAGAAAAAAGGAGAAAAACGAGATGACCGTCTTAATCGATGCAGAAAAAAAATTTGATAAAATTCACTTATGGTAGAAACCCTTAGAAAACAAGGAATAGATAAGAATTTCTTTAATTTGATAAAGAAACAAACATTATCCCAAATGAGGAAATAGTAGAAGCATTCTTTTTCAAACCAACAAGATTCACTATCGCCATTTCTGGTCAACACTGTCCTGGAGAGCTGGGACTGGAGGCCCCCTGGGCCCTTCGCCTGCCCCACCCTGGATCCAGCTCCGATACTGGAGATCCTGGCCAGTACCCCTCAGCAAGACGAAGAAAGCAAGCCAAAAGGACTGAGAAACAGCAGAAAGCCCTGTGCCAGGGAGAGATTAAGAAACACAGTCGCAGGCCTGATGATCACCATCTTGGAGGCACACATTCAGTGTACCTGAAAAAGAGGGTGGATTTGAACAGATGTGGCCTAATGCCAAGCAGTGACGAGAGCAGCTCTCTGGAGGGGGACCGCATGGGATCGAAGCGGGCTCTCCCGCTGTGTACCATTGGGAATACAATTTAACCTCCTTGAGCCTCAGTTTTGTTTTATCCACAAAAGGGAAATAACAGGATTAAATGAGATGATGCTTATGAAACCCTTAGCATAGTGCCTGGCATGTGGTACACATTCAATAAATGCTCACTTCACAGTCTAGTCTTTGACTTAACTTGAGTTCTGGACACATACTGGAACAAGGGCGGGAAAAGGACTTGTTTTTGCTGCCTGGCGCTGTTGTTGGAGTTGCATGTAAGGTGTGGTGAGACTCAGGCCTCACGTGTGCTTCCTGGGGCCTGCCTGCTTCCGTCACCTACTCTCTGTGGACAGACGTGCAGCTCTCCGTCTGCTGCTGTGTTCACTACGGGGCTCCTCCCTGAGCTGCAACACCTGGGCTTCCTTTTTTCCTCCCAGCTGCCAAGGGCCCTCCCAGGGGGGGTGGGGCGTGTTTGCGCCTATGGGGGGGGAGTGGTGGTGGAGGTGGGTGGGGGTGGGTGCAGGGAGGGGTGGCATCCCTGTCCCTTGCGGTGGTGGATATGCTGTGGCCTTGGACTGGTGGTGAGGACAAGTAGAATCATGTGGTCCCATTTCCAGCCATCAAAGGCTCTTTACTTGCGTTGATGATTAAACTCAGAGGAATGAAGGTGTCACGTGCAAATGCCCTCAGAGCTGTCACGAGGCTGGGAGCAACGGCTCTCTGTGCTTGCAGGGCTGGGTTTGGGCAAATGTGGGAAAGTTGCTGGAGAGATTTTTTCCTCATAGCTGGCGCTCTGCAGCAGAGGAAGGCCACCAGCTCCCAGACACTAGTTCAGAGACCTCTGGCATTTGCCCTTCAGAGCCCAGCTTTCTTTACGTCTAAGGTGTGACAACAGCCCCCATCTTTTAGGGTTGGAGTGAGGTTTAAGTGAGATCATCATGCATATAAAGCACAGTGCTCCGCACAAGGTAGGGCCCAAGTGAAGGGGCAGTTATTACTTTATTAAAGAGTAAAGAGCCAAGGGAATGCTCCCTGTAGACCTGAAGCACGTTCTGGAAGACTCTGGCCCCCAGTTCTCTGTTGCTCCCATGTTTCCCTTAGACGAGATTCTGGGAGCAGGGGTGTGTGATACACTGCTGTCTTAGTGCCCAACCAGAGTCAGTCCAGGCCCTTCCTTCGACACACACTGGTCCAGGGCTTGGTCCCATATCAAGGGGACAATGAGAGCTGGGGGTGGGGGTTCCAGGAGGAGGGGCTGGAGGAACCAGATTCTGGGTCATGCAGATCCTAGCCAGGGACACTACTCTCATGAGCCCTTGGCTCAAACCCGGCCTTGGTTTCATCCAGGTCTGTGTGGCCTTTGGTCTCTGTAACGTTATCCTATGAGGCCATCTTACTCACAAGCTAAGGCAAGAAACAGGGAGAGGGTTGGAACATGACTTCTAGGAGAGTTGAAACTTGTAGCCAAAATTTCAGGAGGTACAGAGGCTTCTCGGTAATGTACTTATTAGAGGGAAATTGTCTGTTATTCCCCAGCCAAATATTACTTGTTTTCAATACTAAGATGAGGGTTAAAAATAAGAAGCATAGCAAGGAGGTCTTCATTCCTTTCTTTCCAAGATGTCTTTGCCACAGATTCAACAAAAAGCTGCTCGGAGGAGTGGCTCCTCTCAGCAATCAGTCTTGAGTACAGGCTCACTAAGAGCCAGGGCTCGGCTGTGACCTTCCTAGGACCCTCCTAGGGTCAGCCTCATTCAATAGGAGAAGAAACTGAGACTGAGATGGAGCAACCAGCCCAAGGCCCCACGGCTAGGGCGTGGGGGCTGAAGAGGACCAGGTGGTCTGGTTCTAGCCAGGTTCTAGCCCGTTCCCCTTGCAGCCTTTTGAGGCTCCTGCAAAGAGAAGCCCGGAGAGAAAGGCTGCCCATCCCATACTCACGTCATTGAAATGCTTGGTGGTTTTCATGATGTAAGGGGTCCTCTCATTCTTTTCCAGTTTCATCCAGCCTTGTCCAAAGAACTCCCTGTAGGAAGGAAGCGGGAAACCTAGGCAGATGAGCTTAGTCTTTGCTTTGATTTATTTGCTTTTTGTGGTTGTCATTTCTGGAGGAGTGACTTTCTGCAGAGCCTGAGAGAGCAAGTGAGCCTGGGCTCCAGTCTTGCTCTGCTCATACCAGCTGTGTGGCTTCAGGCAAGCCCTTTAGGTCTCAGGGCTTCGGTTTGCTCATCTTTGAAATGGGAATAATGACTTTCCTCACAGGGTTATTGTGAGGCTGAGTGGAGATATGGGACGGAAAGGCACACCGCAAAGGGTGGTCTTCTTTGGATCCTGTTTCTCACAAGAGAACTCACATTCTAGAGTCACTTTGCAGAAGCTGGTCCGTAGACTAGGGAGGACATAGGCCTTAAAAAAGGGCCAGGTAAAGGATAAAGGAGCCTGCAAGCCAAGCCAGCAGGGTGGTTTGGTGATGGTGACCTCATGGGAAGCCACAGACCATCCAAGACTCCCAGGAGAATCTCCTCATTTGACAGTGACCATGAGAGTGAACTTGGCAGAGTTCCGTGGGCAGGAGGCACCGGGGGAGGTACACTGTATTTGAAAACATATTCTGCTTCTCCTCCTAGAGGGAGCATATGAAGAATGACTGCTGTTTCTACAACCAGATGTGGCAGGTTTCCAAACTGCCAAAACTCTCCACCCAGCTGAGGTGGTGCCATGTTGGTAAAGGCCTTGAGAGGGCCAGGGGCTGCTTCCCTGGAAAGCAAAGATCAAAAGTCCTACAAGGATTCATAGCCTCAGATCTGGTGATTCCAATTTCAGGAAACTATTTTAGGACAACTGTAAAAAGTTCATAGAAATATTTAGTAGTTACAAGATTTATCTCAGCTTTAAACATAAAAGCAGGAACTGAAAGCAATCCCAAGGCTTAATGCACTGGTAGGGAACACTGTGCATTTACTAAAAATGGTGTTTACAAATACCATTTTGGTGTACCGTTAGACGAAGAAAGGGTGGTACAAAATTATTTAAGTAGTATAATTACAATGAACACCTGGGGGTGATTGACTACTGGCCGGAGCAGGTTATACTAGGCCTTGGGGCTTCTTCAAACTCCAGAGCTGTCCCCAAAGTCTGCTCCCGGAGGAGGGGTGCGTGCGCATGTGTGCGCGCGCATGCACACACACACACACACACACACACACTCACTCATGCATGGATGCACATTTGCTCACATGTGCATGTGCGCACATACATGAACATACATTTTCTAGACCTCCAGAATAGGAGTGCCAAGTTAGAGATGCTTCTGGAAAAGTGCGTGTGCATGTGTGCAGCTGATAGGTAAGGAGAGAAAGGGTGCAGGGATGTCCCCCCCTCATTCCTTCCAACACATGCATCTTTGTCTCCAGCTGTGGAGAGTCTGGGCAGCTCTGCAAGTCTGCTGCACATGCTTCAGGGATGCCACCAAAGGCGCCCCTGAGGGAGAGGACGGAGGAGGCATCTGGCACCCAAACCCACTTACTCATAAGGAATCTTCTTGAAGACGAGGTGGTCCATCAGGGTCAGCTGCTCTGCAATCTCCAGGGCTGAGTGGTTTTCAAAGGGCTCAGCCTTCACGCCTTCGGCCTGAGGGGAGCAAGGTCCTGAGTTAGGCCCACAAGGGACACCTCCTGGCCTTTGGTCACTTCTCTGAGAGAATCTCCACCTCGATTCTGGCAGGTGCTTGGATGGGGCGTGACTGGGGGAGGCCCTCCTGGTAGACTTGGATGAGGGGAGATGAAGAAAGGGGACGAGGGGAGCCAGGAGCCACGGTTTGTCATGCCCTGTGTGTGTGCAGGCCTGTGCTCTGTGCTTCACAAAGATCACCTTGTTTAGTCATCTCTTACCCTGCAAGGGAGCTACTGTTCCCCATAGTGTGTGGATGAGACAACAGAGGCTTCCAGAGGTCAGTGACTAGAGCAAGTCACTCAGCCAGGAACGGGCAACTGGGAAGGGAGCCCAGGTGGTCTGGCTCCAGACTATTTTGATCTGTCACTCCCTTTAGGTTCTGTCTCGGTCCACAACTGGTTCCATAAAATTTCCTTCTAAACTCCATTAGCAGATATGGACTCACAGGTTGATTACCCCCTGGGACAGTGCTCCTCTTCTGTGCCCAGAAGACAGCTGTCTGGCCTTAGTCTCAGGGTTACCATGTCCTTAGTCCCCAGGGCCACCTGTGGACACCACCTTTAAAGCTGTCCACCACCTAAGCCCCTTGAGCAAGAGAAAGACTCAAGAAAGACTAGCCAGGGGACTAAGGTCCCTATGGCAGGGATTAAATAAGAGGGGGACCCAAGGAGGCCAGGGGTTCTTGGGCACAGAGGCCTCACGGACAGTCTGTTGGATCTGGGAGGGGCTGGAAGGAGCTGGAGAAAACTCAGGAAGGGGACAACTGTGCTGGTTTTGGGAGGAGCCTGCATCCACTGAGGGATGAGTCAGGAACAAGAATCCCCTGCCCCTCACCTAGTGGCCGGCAGGGCCACATGGGAGGAGAGGGGCCAGCTACCCTGCCAAGAGGTCCCTGCGAGCTGGGCTGAGTGCCCGAAAGCTGCACTGATCACAAGGGAATGGGGGTCCACCCCATATCGAGGGAATAAGCCATCCCTCTTAGACTGTGTCTCCCTCCTTCCTTCCCTTCCACGTCCTCAGCAAATGGTCACTGAGGCCTGCACTGACGGGCCCTTGCTAGATACTGGAGACAGAAAGACCAGAAAACACAGTCCTTGGCTTCAGGAGCTCTAGTCACAGGACCAGAGCAGGGACAGAGTGTGGGAGCTCCTGCTTCAGCCTCTGTGTGTGTGTGTGTGCGCGTGCGTGTGGTAGGGCGTCCACGAATTCCCCCTGGCAGGGTCACCCCTGGGCCAGGAATGACCTGTGCAGAAGCCCAGATGCAAGAGCATGGGTTTGAGGGAACACAATGCCATCAGGGAACGACAATTTCTTAGGAAGGCAGCAGGGACATGGGGATGAGAGCAGCAGGTGCCACCTGAGATGCTGTGTTAAGGGGTGAGGACCCGCATGGGGAAGGAGCCCCCAGCTTCTGAAGCAGGTGCAGGCAGGTGGGCAGCTCAGCCCACTGAGGGCCCAGGATGGCTGAACTGTCAGGGCCAAGGGCCAATTTCTGGTTTGGACTGGGGAGAGGCCTGCGGGTCTCAAGTGAGGTATGGCCCAGTGGCCCAGGGACCAAGTGGCCAAGAGGCCAGGCCCGGAGAAGGTGAGCTTGGCAAGGAGGAGCAGGTAGCTCCCTTTGCTCCCTTTAGGTGTGGCGTAGGGAAGAGGGTGACCCTGGAGGCAGAGGCCGGAACTGCCCACTCCCTGCACCTTTCACAGGGCTTGCGAAAGCCCTCACAGCAAGAACCTCTCTGGTGAGGTTACTGGGGCCTCCTCTGAACTGGAGGTGCCCCATACAGGCTCTCTGGGCTCTGGGAACACGTCAGGTCAGCAGGCAACTCAGCGGCACTTTGTTCTAGAAGAGCCTCAGGCTGTTCACGAAGGAACAAGGGGCCCTCACGCTCATGAAGGCTAAACATTCCAGGTGGCCCCTGGTGGAAACAGGAGCAGAGTGCAGGCCGAAAACTTCCCTCTCAGGGGTCACCCAGCCTTCTGCCTCAGAGGGTCAATCAACTTCCCTGCCCGAGGGGCACATGTGGATTCCAGGGGGCACCAGACCTGCAGTGCTGCTCTCAGGGCAGGACGTGGGAAGGGTGCTAGCTGCTCCTTGGCTGGCCTCAGACAACCCTGGGGCCAGGAGAGTCAGCTGCGGAAGTCACGGGGGCTGATGGAGGGGAGCAACGGGCCCAGAACCCAGGTCTCATACTGGTTACTTTGAACAGACTGGAGGTCACTCAGCCAGTTTGGGGAGTGAGCCAGCTTGGGGCTGTGCAATCTCCACCTACAGGGAGGTCAAAGTCAGTCTGCCTTAAACTCCCTTGGCCACCATGATAGCAGGGGCCCAGAGCTATGGGGTGCATATTGCTGACCTGGAAAACAAAGTGGGCCCAAGCCCTGGAAGCACATGAGACCGTCATTCCCTTCCACCATGTGGAGCGCCACGATTAGCTCATCTTCCTTTGTGGCAAGCACAACTCTCCCCTGGGATCCCGCATTTATAGGCAGGTGGCAAGCTGCATTCTGACTCCTCAGGATGAGGCAGTGTCACGTGCAAGATGAGTTCTGAGCATGAGCACCAGCTTTGCCGCCTACCATGACCTTGGGTGGGTTGCTTCACCTCCCCCTGCCTCAGTTGCCTCATCTGGAAGATGGGGATAAGGATATAAACTTGCAGCAATGTTGATAAGAGTGCCTTGAGTCTTTAATGTTCTAGCACAGTGCCAGCACACAGGGGCACCCACCAACCACAGTCCTGACTTCTTACCCTCCTCCTTCCAGAGACAGTGTGAGCAGAGAAGGAACAGAGGGCTTAGGGGGTGATGTGAGGCAGAGGATGATGAAAGGGAGGTGGTGGTGTTATGGGTTGACTTCTCCCCAGCCCTCAGAGAAAGGTAGGTTGAAGTCCTAAACCCTGGTACCTATGAATGTGACCTTATTATTATTATTTTTGAGGAAGATTAGCCCTGAGCTAACTTCTGTTGCCAATCCTCCTCTTTTTGCTGAGGAAGACTGGCCCTGAGCTAACATCTCTGCCCATCTTCCTCTGCTTTATATGTGGGATACCTACCTCAGTGTGGCTTGACAAGTGGTGCCATGTCTGCACCCAGGATCTGAACCGGCGAACGCCGGGCCGCTGAAGTGGAACGTGCAAACTTAACCACTGTGCCACCGGCCCAGCCCCAACCTTATTTGGAAATACGGTCTTTGTAGATGTACTCAGAATAAGATGAGGTCATTAGTGTGGGCCCTAATCCAGCATGGCTGCTGTCCTGATAAGGAGCCGTTTGGACACAGGGACAGAGGGAACATGACGCAGAGACACACAGGGAGAAGATGGCCATGTGACAATGGAGGCAGAGATTGGAGATTGGCTCCCACAAGCCATGGAATGCGAGGGGCTATGCCAGGAAGCTGGAAGAGACCCAGAAAGCTCCTCCCCCAGAGACTTCAGAGGAGCGGGCCCCACCAACACCTCCATTTCAGACTGCTGGCCTCCAGAGCTGTGAGAGTATAAACGTCTGTCGTTTTAAGTTACCCAATCTGTGGGACTTTGTTACGGCAACTCTAGGGGGTGACCGTGCTTTGTTAGGGGGTCACAAAAGCAGGGTCCCCAGAGGCTGGCGAAAGGCCAGCAAAGGCAGGCTTGGCAGGCAAGCAAAAGGCAGGCCCAGCTCACCATCTGCGTGATCTCCTCCAGCGTGATCTGGTTGTCACCTGGGTCCTCCTGGGTCAGAGTCCTAGGGGACAAGAAAGCATGAGGAGCCCCATGCAGTCTGTATCCAACCTCACCTCTAGGGCAGCACCCCGAACCCTACTGGCCTGAACACTCTGCAAGCCCCCCGCTCTCGGCAGGCTCCTGACCCCTGTCTCTGCTCTGCATTCCCTTTGTCAGGAGCCCTCGTCCCCCTTTCTTTCTCAGTGACTTCTTCCTGATGGTCCGTTCTCAGGATTCAGCTCCCTGACCCTCTTGCTGGGTGAGTGGCCCACTTGGGGCTCCCTCACCTCCTAAGCCTCCTGTGGTCTCAGCCCAAGTTCCTCCATGTTGGAACAGTTGTGTATTCACCTGCCCCTGCTAGACCCAGGCTGGAAACCCTTGAGGGCAGAGTGAGGTCTGATTTGTCCCCATAGCTCTGGCACCCAGCACAGGGCTGGGCAGGAGGCTGGTGCTATGTTCATGTAGAATGATAGGACGAATGAGGGGAAGAGGGGCGCACTAGAGCAGGTAGGAGGTGCTGAGAAGCCTTCCAGATTCAAGGGACAGAGGGGAGGGGGGGCAGCAGCATGGTGGCCAAAGGCCCGGATGTGGGACTGTATTGAGAGAAAGTAAGGAAGGAGGCAGTGGAGTGGAGTGGGCCCTGGGCAGTGGTAGGGAATGATGGTGGACCTCAGAGTCAGGCCAAAGTGCTTTGAGTGTATTTACAGCCAAGGAAACAGTTGCTCAGAGAATGTCTCACCTGAGGGCCTGCAGCCAGAGCACGGTGGGTCTACCATTCAACCCAGGGCGGCCCAACTCCACGGCCTACTCTTCCCCCCGCACCCAAGGGAGCATCCAGAACAAGCTCCCTAACTGAGGGGGGCTTCGACCAAGAGGCTCAGGGGCTCAGCACACTCTGAGGGGCCTCCCAGGGAGGATGATGAGGGAGACTCGAGGACCTGGGGGCTGACTGTGTGTGTGTGCGTGTGTGTGTGTGTGTGTGTGTGTGTGTGGGTGGGTGTGGGTACTGAAAATGAGGGAGTCCTGGAACAGATTTTATGGCTTTGAGCCTGGGGCAATGATGAGGCCTCGGGAATGCAAAGTGGATGGTCTGGTAGGAGCAAGGCTGGAGACTTCAGTCCTAGGCAGGAAGTGGCTGAAAGTCTGGATCAGAGACAATGACTGTGGAGTGGAGAGGGCAGCTGGAGCCAGGGAAGAAGGAAGGAGGTGAGGCCTGACCCTGAGCCCTCGCACCTGGGCAGGGCTGTGAGGGGCCAATTGAATCAGCCGGATGAGAGCAGTGGGCGGACAGTGGTCCTGTGCTCGACACCCAGTGAGCAACCTGCAGAAGCAGCAGTATGATCTCAACCAGCCTCACTGCAGCCCTTGCAGTGGGTATTGTTCACCCATTTTACAGAGGAGAAAAATGAGGCTGAGAGAAGGGACTTGCTCAATGTCTCACAGCAAGTCACTGGCTGAGCCAGCTCAGACGTGCGACTTCCTGACTCCTGACCTCCACCAGGAGAGGCATCCTGGGCAGGAGGAAAAAGTACAGGTTTGGGGACAGACAATTTAACTTAGTTCAATTAAACAGATATTCCCTGGGCACCTGTAAGCAGGGGCTAGCCAGCGCTGCCCAACAGAACTCTCTATGCTGATGGGGATGCTCCTCATCCATGCTACCCAAGGCACGGCCACAAGCGATACGTGGCTAGCATGACTGAGGAACTGAAGTTTAAATTTTATTTAACTTTAATTAATTAAGATTTAACTGCCATATGTCACTAGTGGCTCCCACATAGAACAGCATGGACTAGATAGGTGCCAGCAGCTGTGGACGTGGCTGGAGAAGCAGGCACACATGCACAGCTCTTACCTAATGGAGATCAACCTCTGATGAGGGGCAGGGAGAGGGGAGGAAGGACAAATGGACTACCAGCTCCAGAGCCTGGCTACAGAAGCGGGGTACGCAGCCCCAGACAGCTCAGGGCTCTGGGCTCCTCTCAAGCACAGCTGCCTGAGGCTGTCCTTCTGCCTGGGAAGGGTCCTCACTACCTCCCTGCCTCTGGCCAGCCCTATATGCGAGTCCTCAGGCCAGGGGGCGGGGCTGCCTGTACCTGATGATGTTGGCTGCAGCCTTCCGCTCCTGGGTCAGGAGCTCCGGGTCATGCATGACCTCCTCCAGGAAGCTGATGACCTTGCATTTGAGCTCATCGTTGGTCTCGAAGTCCTGCAGGGAAGATGTTACGGTGGCTCTGGGGACTGTGTTCAAGCTGCCCTGCAGTGATCTCGGCCCAGGTCAGAGGAGGAGGCCGCAGTTTCCATTCGGCCCATGGCAGGCTGCCCTGCCTAACTCTCCTTGTCACTGGTGGTGTGGCAGGCACCAGTGGAGCCTAGAGACCCTTAGGTAGAAGGCACTGGGCAAGAGCAAGGACCACCCCTTGGCTGACTGCACCTCTAGGCCAGGACCCTGGGAGGTACAGACCTACCCCGTACCGCTGCTGCGGACAGAGAGGGGAGACAGAGACCCCGTGTCCCCTGAATGTCCTTGATTCCTCCTAGAGGATCTGAGCAGACCCTTCTGAGAAAGTGGCCTGACACGCCTGGGTTCCCTCCCTCTCTTTGCTTCTCTGACACCCCTCCCCCTCATTCTGCCAGCAGCTGCTCTCCAGGGCAGGTGGTTCCTGGAGTCAGGCCTGCAGGTCCCCAGCAGCCCGCCTGGGGGCTCGAACCCACCTGAGAGTGCTTGGAGACCCAGTGGCGGAGCACGTTCAGGACGCGATTGGTGGCCGCTCTGCGGATCACAAATTCCTTGTCTCCGTTCCTCTGGTCGGGGGGAAACCCTGGTGGCACACGTGGCAGAGGGGAGACACGGTATATGAGGACAAGAAGCAGAGCTTGGCTCTGGTCTGGATTCAAACCCAGATCTGGGTGAGCTGGGGCTGCTCTCATGGCTGCGGAGCGGGAGGGCTATGGGCAGGGGACAATAAAATATGTGATAGCCAGCCAGGTTCTGACCAGTAAGACTGGATGCCACGACTTCTCAGTGCACACAGTCCACACACATCCATCTCTACGGGACCTCTGCATCTTCAGGGGTTGCTGGAAGATTCTGGCAGTCTCTCCAGATAGGGCCACACTGGCCCTCCGCACAGGTGAGAACTCCCTGTGGCCCCTACTCCAGCCTCTGCGGCAGGACCAATGCCGTGGAGGTGGGAGGGAAGGCTGGTGCCCAAGGCTTCCACAGGCAGTGGGCTCTACTAGGAGTAGTTTTCCCAGTAGCAGAGGGGGAGGGGTGGGAGGAAGAGCCTCCGGGCAGGAGGGCCAGCTTTGGCCAAGGCCTGGAGCAGCAAGCGCCAACCACCGTGAGGTGGACAGGGTCCTGGGATCAGGGCTGTTGTTGCCGGCCTCACAGCTGGGCTGACCTCCGGGAGGGCCGTGAGCGCAGACCCCCACGCACCTGCGCTGGCTAAGGACATCCTCCGGTACTTCTCCTTGTGTGGGGTGCCCTCATTGGCACCCGCGGTTGCTATGGCAAAGGCAGAGGCTGCTGACAGGGCGCTGCGGTTATTGTCTAGCTCGCGACAGGAGGTCATGACGACTCCATTATTGTAGGAAAAGAGCGGGAACTCTGTGGAGAGGACGGAACCAACCCTCAGCCTTTCCCATTCCAGCCCAAGGCTGTTAGAAAACCGGGGGTCCTGAGGCTACAACAGCCTCCAGATGGGCAGGCTGTCTTCACTGCCCCCAGGGCTTGTCCGGGGGTGGGGTGGGGTAGGGAGTGGGGTCTGTCCCCCTGTAAAGTCCCCAGGAAGGGGCAAGCCCATGCCATGCCACCTCCAGGCTGTCTCAGGGGGAGGGAAAACTCTGCCTCCCTCTGCCTTCCTCCGTCGAGAGGCAGAAGGTCCCACTATCCTCCTGCTTCTGAAGAAAGTCTCCAGCCACCCCTGCCACCTCTCTGCTGTTCCCAGCCCCTTTTCCTCGTAGGCCCAGCTGGGCGCGGCCCGCTTGAGGACAGCACCATGACTTTTCTTACCCTTTTGTCTATTTGGAACCAACACGCAATCTGTCCGATGTCTGGCATCGATAATTCATATGACGGGCTCACTGGCATGGTGGGGCTGAGAGAGCACCGCACTCGAGTGCCCCCCGCTCCCGCCACTTACTGGCTGGGTAGCTTTGGATAAGTTATTTCACTTCTCTGAGGGTCAGTAATCTCTGGGTAATAAGGATATTGATACCTACTTCAAAAGACGGATGTAAAGATTAAAGGAGATAACATGGATGAAAGTACTTAGTACTATGTGAAAAGCTATGTGTATGCCATGGATAGCAATGCTATTAAAAATAACAACTTTTTAGAAGTAGTAGAATCTGACTCTGGAAACCTTTAGCTTCATCTTATAAGTCTCTGGACAGTAATCCATGCTAATACTCAAAGTAATAGTACTTATGCTGTGAAGAACAAATGCCTTATTTTCAAATCTCAAAGCTTATTTCCGAAGTGTGGCTTCCGTGACTGAGAAGCGGTGGCACGCCTGCGGTGCGTCAGGTGCTTTCTCTCTACAGAGAGAGGACCCTGTCACTGACTGGGTCTCTCCAGAAGGCCTGGAGAGTTGGCGGGCTCAGGATTCAGGCCACGCCTTGCATGTGGGTGCAGGGGCTCGAGAAGGCAGTGCGAGGCGCGGGAGAGCCGCCCTGGGAGGCAGGGCCCCCCTGAGCTCTTGCCTCACCTTTGAGTGTCTCAAAGTGTGTCTCTTGTGTGTGGGGAGATACTTTATGGGAACCAGAGACCTAGATGGCTCTTCGAAAATCCTTCAGGATCATGAGTCTGAGACTCGGGTGGGCTTGTCACAACCTCTCGGAGCTTTTTCCCTTATTTGAAAAATGGGAATACCCTGGCCACTATACAAGGCATCAGGACAGAGCCTGCCATGTAGCAGGAACTCAGGAAACACCTTCTGGATCTGCCATGAATGAACCCTAATTCTGGGCCTTCCTGCCCGCCTCTGCTGGGTGGGTTATGCAGTCTTGTCTGGAGTCAGGGGAGCGACTCCGCTGAGTTGAAGAGCAGGAGTGGCCCAGGCAGTTGTCTCAGCACCCACAGTTCCCCTCGGGGTTATGAAGCATCAGAATGCTTCCTGCACTTACGAGTCCCTCATAAAACAGAGGAGTGACACCCACTCCCCTTCACTCAGCTTGGCCTGCTGCCTCTCTCAGCCTGGGTCTCACACAGCCTCCGGGAATCTAGCTGTAGTTTCGGATTGGTGAATTGTACCTGAGGAACTTTTGCTTTTGACAGATTTTGGCGTTGTTGGAGATTTTGTTGGTGATGTCTCAGTATCACCGTCATCACTCTGGGTTTGATCATTATCTGACTCTTCCCTCACGGAGACTTCTGAGCCTGAGAGAAAAGAAGGATATAATTTTACATTTCTCAAATAGTCATTGATTTTTAAATTCAGGTTTATAATTTACTGAAGCAAAACAGCGTAACTGTGGGATATAGCTGTTGAAGAAAAGTGAACAGCTTTATTTGCACGGGCTCTATGGGATGGTTCATGTGCTAATGGGCACTGGAAATCTCCAAGATGGCTTCTGCTCCACCAGGCTTCTCAGACCTTACCTGACACACCTGAGGATCCGGTTAGAGTGCAGGTTCTGATTCAGAGGTTTAGGGTGGGGCCTGAGATGCTGCATTTCTAACATGCTCTCAGGTGATGCCCATGTGGCTGGTCCATGGACCACACTGTGAGTAGCAGGATACTACCACACCCCTTGCTTTTGTGTGTGTGTGTGTGTGTGTGAAGCAGCTTAGTGAGGGTAACTATCTGCCATGGCTACCTAGGAAAGTCCTGCTTCATACCTGTTGTCCCCTGCGCCTGGTCACTGCCCAAAGTGTCCAGGTTTGGGCAATATATCACAGAGTCTCCCCAATCTTGAGAGATTCATGGTTTACACACTTTGGGGAAAGCTGATGAATTATATTAAAACTTCAGCTCTGGCTAAAATCTTGGTAAAAGATGCGACCTCTTTGGTCCTCAGTTTCCCCAACTAGAAAGGGAGTGGAGTTACACTTGACCTTTCTGAAAACTTAAGGAAAGCTCTAGGTCTTCTCTTTAGAAAAGAATGTCCACACACACACACACACACACACAATGTGGTACACAATTAGACAGGCTCAGGGGCCCCTGGATCACTGGTCAAGAACCCTGGCATGTGATGACTTCTTAGGACTGTCTTGCATTGCATTTTATGGTGTGACAGGCCTGGATTCACTGCAGGTTTCTGTCAGATGGAATTCTGCGCCCTGACACTGCCCCTCGAGGGTCCTATCCTCTGTTCCTGCAGGATGGCATTAGGGCTCTCTGGTAAGCTGTTACCTTGGTTACTGACTTTCAGCTGCACACGCTACACAATTACTGTACATGCCACAGTAAATGGCACTTGGTGATGGAGGCTCCTGGGGGCTTTACCTCTGCTCGGCTATGCCCTCTGTTGGGGGGTGCTCCCTGACTCTCTTCTCATCTCAGAGGAGAGAAATCCTGACCATCTTCAAAATCTTTTCAAAGGCCTTCTTCTTCAAAGCCTGGGGCTTCTGACCAGCCCAGGGTTGTGTTTGTGTGTGTCCACATACGCGTGCGTGCACACAAGCACATGCATGCTAACCAAGACAATGTTGGCGGCACCCACGATATGGGGTGACCGGATCTAAAACAGAACCAGACCAATCATTCAAACAAATGCCCTTCTAGAACAGTCAGGAGGGCTCTGAGAGTAGGGAGGTCCCAGTCTGCCCTGATGTCGTCTCTAGCCACTGCCCACACACCAATATTCCAGGTATGCTGAGCTTAAGCTGTTCCCTGAACACACAATGCTTTTCCTTGCTCCTCATTCTTGCCCATTCTCTTCCCTTTATCGAAATGCTCTCACTTCCTCCTGGTGAAGACCTAGATGTAACGAGTCTTCCAGGAAGCCTTCTCTGACTCTTTCAGTGGTGTCCCCACCCCATCCTCTGTGCCCCTTGAGTGTCCCTCTAGCACAACAGGTATCAGGCGTCCATGTTTCTGTGTCTGGTCCTGCTCCTCAGCCTCACTGTGAATCCTGGGGGGTAGGAGCTAGGTCTGATGATCTCTTCTCTCCTGGGCCCTGACTGGGGCCTGGCCTAGGAGACGTCCTCTGCAGAGACGGACAAACACAGGGATGCAGGATGAAGCTGTCATCAGGGCAGCAGGAAGCCTGATGATAGGAGTCATAGTAATCCAATGACCTGGGAACCTCTGTCTGTCTCACTCTGCAGCCTGAGCTCCTGCTTATGGCTGCCTCTCCACACTGTCCAGACTCTGCACTGCCACCAAGATCTGGCCAGGATGCCCAAGCCTTCCCCTCCTGCCCTGCAGGAGCTTGGCTAGGCTGGGCTGGCCTCAGTGGGCCCATGAGCCAAAGGGGCAGCTTAGCCCAAACATCCACTCACTCTGCTTGCTGAGAGCCGAGGGGTCTTCGGGCTTCTCTGTAGTCATATCACTCTCATCTGGAATCTTGTTGGAGAAGCTGCTGGACACATAGAGCTTGCTGGTGTCCAGCGTGGCCTTGCTGAAGGGCGACATGGCTGAGTACATGCTGGTATAGCCATTGGAATTGCAGCTGAGGGCAGCCAGGTCCAGGGCCTTGCCGCCTGTGATGATGGGGATATTCAGGGAGAGCTTCCGCCGGCGGCTAGGCGATGATGTCTTGGTGATGGACAGGGGTGGTGGCGAGGAGAACTTGCGGGTGGCACGTGGGGACTTGGGGGGGTCACCGTACAGAAGCTTGTTGTTCTGGCCGCTGGCAAACAAGAGCTCCAACGACCTGCATGGAGGGCAGGGGATGACAACAAGTGGTCAGCATAGGCCGGCCTGCCTGCCCAAGCCTGGGGGTCCCCCTGTTCTGGGCTTAGGGGAACAGCAATGGCTCCCTCATTCTCATGATCTCTGACACCTGGGCTGATCCTTTGAGCAGGCGGGTCTGAGAGGAGCCAGGCCAAAGGGACTATGTGGTTAAATGGCCTGCGGCCAGGTGTCTATAAACACGAGTGTCTTGCTCTCGCTGGGTTGGGCAAGGGACATGGGATTTGGTGGCACACTGAGTCCATCTAATGCTCCCCCTCTGCCTCCTTCTGGGTAGCTAAGGGTCCTCCTGACCTGCAGGCTTCTGTGGAACCTCTCTCCATCCCACACACAGGCCTGGTGTCACCTACACGCTCTGACCTCATCATCACACAGGTCCTGAGGGATCTTTATGGATGAGGAAGCTGAGGCTCAGAGACGAGAAATGACTCATCTGATGCCTCCCGACTCTAAGCCTCGAGTCCTTTCTACCCCACCAGGGTGCTTGACTGGCCTCAGGTGTAAACCTGGGGGGGGCCGGAAGCTGAAAGTGGGATCTCCCAGGAACCCTGGCCATGCCACTACCATCCTCAGACAGGGCCCACATCTCAGGGCTGGGGTGGAAACAGGTGAAAGATACATAAGAACGCAAACAGTAGCTTACTTGCATGGAACGTGTCTGCTCTGTGTTATGCGTGGGACAGACCTTCTCTCTTAATCCTCACTGTTGCCTAGGAGGTAGGTATTCTTTTTTTTTTTTTTTTTAAATTCTTATTTTTTCCTTTTTCTCCCCAAAGCCCCCCGGTACATAGTTGTGTATTCTTCGTTGTGGGTTCTTCTAGTTGTGGCATGTGGGACGCTGCCTCAGCGTGGTCTGATGAGCAGTGCCATGTCTGCGCCCAGGATTCGAACTAACGAAACACTGGGCTGCCTGCAGCGGAGCGCGCGAACTTAACCACTCGGCCACGGGGCCAGCCCCTAGGAGGTAGGTATTCTTATTCCCATTTCACAGATAGGAAACTGAGGCTCAGAGAGGTTAAGGGCCTCCACCAAGGCGACAGGGCTGAGAGCTGGGATCTGACCCTGCCTCTTTCCACTGATGGCTCTTCCTGCTGGGAAGGAAACTTGCAGGGGTTCATCGGAGCAGCCTTCTGGGTCCGGGGAATGGTCTTGATGAGTTTTCAGGCATGGATCCACCCTGGATGGGGTGGTTTCTCCTGCTTTCTCAGGGGCCTGGGAAACTGACTGCGGAGGCTCCAGAAGTTCAGAGCAGAGAGGCAGGACCCACTGTACCCTGATGAGGCCTGAGCAGGTGGATGGTGAGCACTGGGTGGGGGGGCGGGGTGCAGAGGGAAGGACCTGGGGAGGGTACGGAGGTGTACTCTGGGCAGACGGGCTGCTCTGGCAGCAGAGGTGTGGGGTGGGAGGAGAGATGGTTAGAGCTTCCAGGCCTCTGGTGCCTCTTTATGTCCTGGGCTGGCATTTGGGACCAGTGTGGCCTCTGAGTAGCCCTGGAGAGTTGGTGTGATTCAGGAGCTCTGCTCCAGACAGCCCTCGAGCTGAGGCTCTGGCCCCATGTCTTGCCTGGTGTCGGGGGGTGAGCACTCACTGGGGATTCTGAAGCTTGGCCGTGTACAACCGAGGTCTGGGTAGCAAAGGAAAGTACCTGCTGGCCCCTCCCATTCCTGACAGGTCCCTCTTGGAGCAGTGAGGTCCATCAGGGGCCTAGATCCCGTCCCTGGACCTGACCTGCTGCTGGGTAGCCTGAGGCAACTCCCTCATCACTCAGTGCTCCACGTATTCTCTCTGCTAAATGGCAGGGAAAATACCTCCCTTACATATCTCAAACTGGGCTGCAGGCACGGCCTCACTGGATTTGACACCACTTCCCCAGTTCGTCATTGGCACTACCCTTGGCTAGGTGATCATTTGGTGAGATGGGGGTAAACATTTTTGTTTGACTAAGAGTCTGGGTGCCCAGCAGCTGGACTGGCGATTTCCCCATCCATACAGTCCTACAAACTTTGAAGTTCTGAGGCTGGCTCTTTGGGTTGGCCTTAGGCCTCAGCCAGTCGAGCATTGACCCTGTGACGTGGGCTGTGCCTGTCCTTGGAAGTCTCGCCTGGCAGGGTTCACAGGGCATTCACAGGGCTCACAGCGACCCGACCAGGCCCCTCAAGGCTTGGCTGGGCTTGGGGTGTACAGCTGAACACTGGTGGGAGCAGGGAAGTGAGGGGCACAGGAGGGAAAGGGAAATATGGGCCACTTCCACCCTGCCTGTTACTCAGACTCAGACAGGGGTACCTGCAAGGGGCTCAACAAGCCCAAGGCTCTGCGTTCAAGTCCCCACTCAGCCACAGACTGCTAGGGACTTTGAGAAAGTCTCTTGGCCTTTCTGAGTCCCAGATGGCCCAGCACAGGGCTGAGCTGTGATGATGTAGCTGGAAAAGAAGAACTTGAAACCAAGGCTGTGACAGCCTGCCTCCATATGTGGTATCACTCCAAGCGTGCCAAAGGAGCTCCCTCTTCTCTCAGAGCAGGACGTGGTCTGAGCAGAGAAGGGTGAAGATTCTCTCTCTCTCTGTCTCTTTCTTTGCTCCTCCCTCGTTCTCTTTATTCCCCACTTCTTGTTTTTCTTTCTTTCTTCAATGGGGAAGGTGGGAAAGCCCTGTCCTTTGGAGAGGGGTGGGCCCTATGCTTCAAGGAGGGTCCTAAGAGGTGAGAGCAGGGAGGAGAGGGCAACAGGTACCCCTCAAACTCTACCCCACCCCAGGAGCCTGCAGGAGGAGGTGGAGAAGGCTGGGACTGAGCGGTGGCATGAGGCAGGCCAACCCTCCCCTCCTCTTTGAAGAGGGCTGGCTTGGTTCCTGGGGGTGCCCTACATCCCCTCAGCTCAGGTTACAGCCTCTCCCCGACCACTCTGATGCCAAGCTCAGTTTCTCTTCTAGGCCTGGAAGATCTGTGGATCTGTCTGGGAGGAGAAGTCAGCCTTAGCCCGTGGGCCTGCCCACCTGGCGGGGATTGCGCTGATGGGCTTCCTGTAGATGGTGATGAGCTTGTCCAGGACCACGACGGCAGTGGTGAAGACACGGTAGGAGTGCAGGAAGGTGTTGAGGAAGTCGATGCTCAGGAAGCGCAGGTCCGTCAGCCGCTCCAGCAGCCGCTCCACACTGGCATACCGGATCTGAAGCACTTTGCAGGAGTTCATGGTTTTGCTGAAGCGAATGTCCACGTCATCACAATATAAGGAGGCATCAGACCTGGGGAGGGAGAAAGGACCAAGGGGTGACTTGGGTTTGAAGATGTCTGAGCTGTCTCCCCCACCAGCAGCGAACTCCCTGAGAGCTAGGCCATGGCCAACCCATCACTGTCTCCCCGGCACACCAACAGCCAAGGATGGATGGACTGCTGAAGGACTGGTTGGCTTATTATGGAACAGGAAAAGCTTTGTAAGGATGACATTGAGGAAGAATGGGCTGCAACTTCTTTTCCCAACAAAATCCTAAAAATCTGATATTATAAAACTCCTAGAAATATTGAATAAAATATAACAAACAAAAATAATGTGCTGCTGGATCCACAAGATATAAGGGAAATCTGTTCACACAAAAACGTGGACACGAATGTTCATAGCAGCATTATTCATAATTGCCAAAAAGTGGAAACAACTCAAATGTCCATCAACTGATGAACGGATAAACAAAATGTGGTACAGCCACACAATGGAACATTATTCAGCTATAAAAAGGAATGAAGTGCTGTATATGTCACAAGATGGATGAATCCTGAAAACATGCTAAGTGAAAGGAGTCATAAAAGTCCACATATTGTATGATTTCATTTATATGAAATGTCCATAACAGACAAATCTACAGATGAAGAAAGTAGATTGGTGGCTGCTAGAGGATGGGGGGAGGGGGGAATCGGAACTGACTGCTGAGATGTATGGAGTTTCTGTTTGGGGTGATGGAAATATTCTAGAATTAGATAGTGGTGATGGTTGCACAACATAGTGAATACGCTAAAACTCACTGCATTGTACACTTTAAAATGGTGAGTTTTATGTTATATGAATTATATCTCAATAAAAATATAAGCAGGGGCAAAACAGATATAAGGGAAATTCCCAGGGGCGAAAAATGAAGAGAAATTTGGAAACCAGCAATGCTTTAGCTGCCTTTAGGGCCTCTACTGCTCTTGGGTACCAAATGTCTTGGGTGTCAGCAGGGAAGCAGATGAGGCCTGGCCCGCCAGAGGAGGGAGCTGTGTAAAGCCGAGACTCTTGAAGGACTACACACTCAGTGAAAAGTGGCCTAGAGAAAATCTACCCATCAGGAAAGTGAGATGGCAAGTTTTCTGTTTTAGCCCAGGCTCTGGGGGGAGGAAGCAGCACAAAGCTCCTTCGAGAATGTAGTATTTGCCCTCCCAGTGGTTTTGGAATACAAATATGTACTACCTCTGTGGCCTGGGAACCTCAAACAAAGAGTATAAAAAAGTGGTCATAGGCTGTACTGCCTCTGGGGCACTGGGTGGAAACAAACGCAAAACTGTTCTGGAAGGGTACCACTCACCCAGGCTCTACAAGACATTCACAGATAAATCCCTCCTGAAAATGAGCACACAATCCAAAATTAAGAACCACACGAGAAATCAAGCCACCATGAGCAAGAGTCAGCAGATACAACAAATAGCCGAGTTAGATCCCCAAGAGTCTAATATTTTTTTTTTAAGTCTGAATATCCTACTAATTTTTGTTACTAGTTGTCTCTCCCACCAGCAACCTGCTGCCACCTCTCCCCCCTTAGCTGCAAAGAGCTACTAAGGATGAAGCTGGTTCTGCGATGGGCATGTGTCATGAACCTCCAGCCCCTGTGCCAGGGTGGGGTGGATTTCTTAGCAGTTTATGTCTCTCAAACATTTTTAGCCTTTGGAAGGGGAGATCATCCCCTCCTTGACCTCACCTTGGCTGCCTATTAAAGTATTAGGGTCAGTCTTTAGCCAGCAGTAGATCAGCTAGACTCGAGTATTTGACTAAAAGAGAAACCCTCAGGGGTGGGCGGGTGTCCTGGACTGGATCTATCAGAATCCTTCATCCGTGGCCAAAGTGATTTCTGCGGGTGCTGAGAATCTGAGCCAAGTTAGAGCAACGTATGTCCTTTAGTGGGACCTTCTGAATCAGATCTGGTAGCAGCAAGCCCCATTCCTCTCAGGCTGCCAAGATGTGAGGACAGGTAATGCAGTCAACCAGACCATAGCGTGCTGAGGACCTGAGGGCTGAGCTGGGTCTAAACTTCCACAGGTGAACATGATGTGATCTACACAGGCATCAAAATATAATGATGTACACCTGAAATTTATATAATGTTATAAACCAATTTTACTGCAATAAAAAAAACCAAGACTTCCACAAGTCTTTCTCTCAGCCCTGTGTGAGTTTGAGATCAGTCATCTCTCCTGGGCATGGTGGTAGCTCCACACAGCACCCTCTTGTGCTGAAACCATGGAAATGGATGCTATCACGACTCGAGCAACTGTGGTTTTTTGTGTTCTGGACATTGTGAATCCTTGTAATCACGTTTTCCTTTTTGTTTTGACTGCCAAGAAGCTTGGAATCACGTCTAAGTGCTCACTTCTAGCAAGCGCAGTTAACCTCCTCTGGGCCTTATTTTATTTTTCCTTCCTTATTTTCTTTTTGCCCTTAATCCTTACACACTCACAATTGTATTTTATCTAGTTGTCTTTATATGCATTTAGGAGGTGGCCTTAAATCTCTTTTGTGTTCTGGTGGGATATGATTAGAAGAAAATATAAATAAATAAATACATGATATTACTGAAAGGATAAGCCTGGAAATCTTAACATAATGAGCTTACAGGGGAACAAATAAAGAAACATGAATTCAGCCCATAAAGGTTGTCCTGGCAAGAACAGCTTTAGCATCTGTGGTGTAGTGGGAAGAATACAAGGCTTGGAATTGGAATATATAGGTTCAAATGACACCTGTGACCCTTGTTTCCTGTGTGTCCTTAGACAAAGTACTTACTCTCTAGACCTCAGTTAAAGAGGAAATAATAAGATCTACCTCACAAGACTTATGCAAGGATTTAATAAAATAAGTGACCTAAGGGACCTAGAACAGAGCCTGGCGTTCAGTGGGTGGTAAATGAATTGGACTCTGAAGTCACTGGCTCTTTAGAGGGTGTCTCCCACTCAGGATGCAGACAGTGCTCAGAAGAAGGGAGCGGACTGGATGGATCCACTCCTTCACACTGTCCTTAAAGGACTTTCTTTGGAAAAATCCATGGGATTTGAAACATTAATGACTAGAGAAACAACCTTCATCGAGTGTCTCCAATGAGCCAGGCAGGGGGGATTTCTTTTCAGGATGAGAAAAACACAGAAAAAAGCACAGAGCCTCAAAGACACTGCAGTTTGAAAAGACCATCCTGAAGAAACAGAGGGAATGATTCCTTCTAAAGCAGCCTGCTGCAAGACACAGGACAGTTTAGAAGACTTCCGGCTCATGTTTCCACGAGTCCAGGGAAATATACATTCCATCAACAGAAACTTGAGAAGCTACCATGAAGAGGGAATAATCTGAACTCAGAAAGATTTCCTGAAAAAGAAAGATAGGATGCTCAATCAAAGGACAGGAAAGCCAGAAACAGCTGATTGGACACTTAGAAAATCACCTGAGGGACATAGTAAACAAATTTAAGAAAGTCTGTTAGAACTCAGGGAAGGATAAAGAGATTCGAATGGTAAGAGAAAATGCAAACAACACGGAACAGACGAGAGAGGATCCAGCCAGCTCGCTACAAGTCTCTAAGGGAATAAGTGGAGCCGTGGAGAAGCAGCGCTGCAAGAGAACTGGCAGGGAAAGCGCCCACAACTGGGAGGACTAGCTGGGCACGCCTCAGAGGAGCTGCGCCCGCCCCGGCGCTGACGGGACTCCCCAGCGGAGCCAATTCTCCTCCACGGGGCTGCACCTTCTAGGAGAGTACAACTCCTCACACACCATGGATCCTGAAGTGTCCGGCCCAGGCCTGGCATCCTAATGGTGATTATTGGGCCCCTCTGACAAGTGTTTGCTTCTGGTACCTTCTCTTTGGGCTCCTTTTGCCATGTGAATGGGTAGAGAAAGCGAGAAAAGCTGTCCCCTTTCTATAAACCTCCCTTTCCCCCTTCTTTGTTCCAAACCTCGTAATCACTGTTGGTTACAGCGCCTCTGGCAACTCCAACATCCAGTAAACTTATTCTCGACTTGACTTTCCTCTCTGTAAGATGGCAGGTGCGCTACGGCGGGGGTAGGCACAGGTGTCATCCTGGATGTCAGTTCTGATGGACTGGCAGTAGCTGCCTGGGGCTGTGCCCACAATTCCAGGCTCAGCCTAAGAGTCCTGTGACCCATTAGTAAGGTCTGCCATGGGTTCTGGATCGGAGATGGCTGGCTTGTGTGCCACATATTTGCCATTCCTGCCAGAAGGGGTCTTTAGTCCCTTACAAGGTCAGCATTTTCTGACCGTAAATTCAGCGCTGCCTCTCTCTTTGCTCTTCCAACACGTCTTGCTGGAAGTTCCAGTGGTGTTCCGGCCTCCCAGGCATCGAGGAGAGGCCTGGGCTTGATGGGAAAGGGCTCCCTTTTCCTGCTTCCCCAGGGAGAGGGGCCCGCCTTGGGTTTATCTGTCCTTGAGGTCACACTTTGGGGCAGAACCTCAGCACCCTGGAGCCTGGGGCAGGTGGAAAGAGACTCCTCAGCTCTTTGAGTTGCTGGTGGTCCAACACTCTTCATTCTCTGGGTCCCTCCTCTCAGACGCTGCACACCAGCACCCACCCACCAGAGGGCCCCGATGCACTGTGTTAGGAAGAAGCAGGAGGACTCAGGACGCATGGGATTTAAATATGGGACTTGATGCCTCTTTGTGCTGTAAACCAAAAACCAGGATGCTCTTGACTCACAGTCTGCAAACAGGGTAGGATATCTGACATGGAGACCTTGCCAGAAGCTCAGAGGCTTGTGGGAGACATATTTAGGGAATGTGCCCTGGCCACTGACCCTCCAGCTATACAGCACCAATGCCTTTTTGCAGCCAGGCTCTCCATCCCTACTCACTCCCTGTCAGAGTGGCCACCATGGGAAGCCCATTGCTCCCCTGGGTGCAAACCTAACACCTACAGAAGAAAATCCAATCCTGCCTGTAACATTTCCATTATCTGACTCCTGCCCACGTCTCCAGCCCCATCGTTCACAGTGGAGGGTGGGTCACTACATTATTTAAGAAAATCCAATTGTGCTATGAAAAATAAGAGAAATGAACAAGGAGGATAGACGAAGGAGCATACAGCTTGTGAGACCTGGTAGCCGCATATCAACTAAGTAGAGAGCACATGTGCTGAGCATAGGAAGGGAAGGAAGGACCAAGTGGGCACTAAATTTTTATGAGGCACAAGTAGTCATGCTACACTTAACATTCATGAGGCAGAGGGGACACTCACTATTCATGTCTTAAGGCAGCCACCCATTGGCGACACCCATTCTGGCCCTTTACCATCTGCCCCAGAAATGTAGATAAACCCATAACTGTTCTTCTGGCTAACTGGTGAGCTGCAGCTGTGGCCAGGTATACTCGCCCTGACACCTCGGATAGAGCAAGCATGTGCCACTGGCCCGGGCACCTTCCATCTGTTGTATCCACTTGGTCAAGCTTCAATCCTGGTCCTTGTAGCCACTCCATCAGCAGGGAAGGCTGATGGGGCAGGGAGAGAAGCAGGACAGTGAGCACTGCGTATCCAGTTTGTGTACCAAGTGGAACATGCACTCTAGCCTAACCTACTAGCCCATCTCTTCCCCTGGCTTCTCACTACGTGTTTAACATTGATTCACCAGGCTGTATAGTCAAGCATCTGAATTCAGTCTGTGAGCCTATCTGTTCCAAGACCTCTGGGATAGTTTGTCTGGTAGTGACACTGGAGGCTACAATTGCATCAAGGTTATTTCCCGTATGACACACCATTCTCCCAACCCTGCAGCCCCATGGAACTGTTTATCATTCCCCAAACACAGATGTGCTCTCCTGCCTCCGTGCCTTTGTTCATGCTGTTCTCTCTTCCCAGAATGCCCTGCCCCTTCCATCATTCAGTAAACCCTAACTTATCCTTCAAGGCCAGTGCCGATGTTCCCTTCTCTGGGAAGTCTTCCCCACCTGTGCCAGGTGAACTTGTCACTTGTCTTCTGAACCCTCCCAGCACCACACAAACTTTATTTTACAGCACTCACTGCAGTGTTTTATAATTTCTTTCTCTGTCTCTTTCTCTCAGGAAATGGTGAACTCCCCAAGGACAGAGGACGTGCCTGCTCATCTCTGCTCTCCAGTGCCCTCAAGGAGGGGATGCTGCCCATGGGTTACTCCTGCTGGGGAGGCCAGGCTTGAGCCTGGGGGTGTACACGTCCTCAGAGTTGTCATTTTATCTGGACATTCCATTCCCTTTATCACTGTCATAGCTTAAAATTTTGTTATTTTTTTCATAGGTGACTTTATTTTGGTTTCATCTGCTCACTTTTACTGCCCCAACATGCATTCTTGGTAGAAAATGAGTAGGCACCCACCACACATTTAACCATAATTCTACATCTGATTTTTATTTGATCATTGAAACAAATCCAGGAGGTATTATCATCTCCCACTTACAAATGAGAAACCCAAGCTCAGGAAGGTTAAGTGACTTTTCCATAGTTACACACAGAGCCAGAGCTGTGGATCAGGGCTGTTGCCTTCAAGACCTTCCTTCTGGACTCCACCACCTTTAGCTGTTAAACAGTGTGGTCATGGGGAGGAATAATACCTCACAAACTCATCCAGAGGCTTAAAAGGCCTGGTGGCCATGAAGTGCCTAGGCTAGTGCCTAACTCCTGGCACACTGTAGGTTTACCAAGTGCTCGCTTCATCAGACCTGCCACCATAATGGTGGCAGCTGGGGAACTTTCACATACTTGGCTAAATAATGCACCTGCGGTTACTCATAGCACACGCCTGAAGCAGCAGAGAAGCAGCGGGTCACCCAAGTGCTTGTTCTGGGCAGCAGCAAAGTACCCAGGTGGGAGCTGGGTCCTGGTGTGTGCCAGGTGGGCACAGCAGGCTTGGGAATCGAGGTTTGGGTGGATGCCAGAGAGCCAGTGGGCCACCCCAGTGTGGCAGGAAGGAGGGCGAGGGGCAGGGGTGAGGCGAGCAGACCCTGGAGGAGAAGCCTGCCTGGTGCCCAGGGGCTCAGAGAGCTGAGTTCAGCAGGAGGCCAGCCCCCCTGACCCCAGGGTGGTTCAAACAAACACAGTGGCCCTGGAGCCTGCATTTTTGAAGTGTCTCATTTTTTAATTAGGAAAAGAAAAATAGTTATTAAAAAAAAGAAAGAGTGCATAAAATTTCATTCCTCATGTTATATTTTAAACAGCCTAATACAAAAATCCAGATTTCAAAAAAAAAAAATCAACAAAAACTAAGCCAAAGCTATCATCCAAACAGACATTAATTCAAGACAGACAAGCAAATACCCAAAAACCCGGCTTGCTGTCACTGTGTGGCCCTCAGTCTCTGAAACACGGTCTGGTCAAGATGGGGTTAAAGGCACTTACTTGATCATCTGTGGCACAGTGACCTTGGAATTCTCCTCAAACGCGTTCATCATGAGCCCATTGCACCGGATATTATCCACACACTGGAATCAGAGAGAGGACCCTGGGGTCAGAGGCTCGGTCTCCATTCTGGGAACTAGGCCCAGCAGGAGCTCTGCTGAGTGACAGGTTCACATGCCTCGTCCTGACACAGGGTCCTCAAACCTCAAGGGCATTGTCCAGGTAAGGGCAGGGTCAATGCAGAGAATCTCTTGGACTTTGGTTGGAAGTCAAGTCCCAGCTCAGTGACCTCTTGGGGATTTACTTGACCTCCCTGAGCCTTAGTTTCTTTATCTGCAAAATGAACATAACGACTCCTACCTCATTGGGTTGTTTGCAAAACGGAAGCATCTCACCCTGGCCACTGTGTTGCTGACCTCTGAGGTCCAATGTCAAGGACAAGATCAGACCCACGGTGATCTGAGATCTCTCTCCTGGGGGCCAGCCCAGAAGGGCCTCCGTGCCCCCTGCACACAAGTGCTGTTCTGCACCTTCTGTCCTCTGCCCACCACAGTGCCAATGCTCTGATGGTTTTCCATAGTAAAAATCCTGCCCAGGGAGGCAAGGTTGCTGGCACTAGGGGACCAGAAGATCGTACATTTACTCAGCCTCTGAAAAAACTCAAAATCCAAATTTTGCTTTGAATAAAAAGTGCCCACCCAAACAAAAAGAAAAGACATCTGGTGGCAGGGGCTTTTTTCCTTCTCACTGGCCCCTGGGCCAGCTTTCATATCTCTGCTACGTGAGGATTTCCTCTTTGGCATAGGGATGGGGAGGCCTCTACGGGGCACGCCACAGAATCTTCTGGTTCTGAGGATGTGTGTGTCAGGGTGGGTCAAAGTCACCGAGAAGTGGCGGAGAGAGGCTGGCACAATAGGCGGTGGGTGCCCAAGGCCCAGTGTCCTGGTGAAGGCCAGGCCCCCAGTTCTTTGGGGGCCTCCCAGAGGAAGGTTTCTGTCAGTTGCACTTCCTGGCCCACCTTCTCCAACCCACCACACTTAGACCCTCTGTAGCTCTAGCTCTATCAGCAACACTGAAATGCAGGGACCTGGCCACGGATCAGAGCTTCCCGGAGGCGTCAGAGAGCCTGGGGAAGGGGCTGGGGGCCAACGCTGCTAGCATCAGCAATGCTCCCTTAGGAGGGCAGAGGACCGGTGGGCACTCTCCAGCCGAGCAGTCCTGAGCCTTTGTCAGTCACGGTTCCCTGGGGACACGAAAGGGCTACATTCGGGCTTTCCAGGTTTCTCCAGGGCACGGTGGGTGTTTGGAGGAAGTGTAGTAAGACTCAGAAAGAGCAGACACCTGCTACACATTATCCTTGCCCTGCCTCGCTCTTCTGGGACTGTGAGATGTGCAGGCAGGCCAGAGAAGATGGGGAGCAGGCAGTCAGGGCAACCTGCAAGTGGGGCATAAAAACGAGGGGCAGAGAGAGGTCACCCTTAATAGAGCGAAGACTCTGCCTCCCCAGTTCTCCATAAACACAGCTCTCCTAGGCCCCCTGCTCTGTATGGGGGAAATCTCCAGCCTCTCTGTCCCCTTCCTTCCACTGTCAGCTGCTCCCAACATGCTCACCCACTCTGCAGAGAGCAGACTGTGGGCAGATGGCACTGGAGGAATTCCTCCACTGCTGGGATGGGGCTGTGCTGTGCTGACCCATCACAGGCCCTTGCTGGCCCAGGGAAAGGCCTGTCTTGGGCCTGAAGTCCCCTCCTGCTGACAGCCTCTTTCCAGACTCACATCTCTGCCCTGGTCCTACAGGTGCCCACAGCCCTCTGGGTCTGCTTGCTATTTCCTGGGAAGTTGTGCTTCCTGTAACGCTCCCTGGGCTGACTGACTCTATCACTTGCGCAGGCAAAGAGGGAGGGTAAACCTTTCCTCTGCATAGCTGACACTGAGCTCTGCTGGCTGTCTCTTAGCTCTGTTACATCCAGCATCCTTGGGTCACAGTGTGTAGATTTTTCTGTGCATACCAACAACCTGGAGCATGTGCTAAAATGCAGATTCCTAGGCCCCCAAGCAGAGATTCGCATCTAGTCTGTAGGGATTCTGGGGGAGCTCAGGAATCTGGAGTTTTAAAAATCACTGTAGGGGTGATCCAGATGTAAGGGGTTCCCAGATCACACTCTGTGGATGGCCCAGGGGACTCTGCCAACAGGGCAGGAGAGCTGGGCTCTGCCTTGGTTGGGCTGTCCCTGGAGGACACCTGCATCTTCTCTATTAGAAACTGGCAGCTACTCCCATGCCTCCAACCAGCTTAGGCCTGAAGGGACCGCCTGCTTTCAGGAACAGGTGACGCTGCTCACCTGGCTGATGTCACTGGTCCATGCTGCCTTCTCCTGTCTGGATGAGGCCACGAGGATGACTGTGAAGGACGGGGAATCCTTTGGCTCCACCCCGATCTTAAAATCCAAGTGCTCTATGTCTTGGTTGGATCCTTTGGCTTCCAGTTGCAAAACATGGAGTTAGCAGCGTGAGTGTGGGCCCTTTTTGAGTTGGAATCCATTTTAATGATACCCTGTCTTACCCACTGGGGAAGGCACTACATCGATAGGGCTCCAGGCCACTTGCTAGTTTCAGAACATTTCTTTTTTCCTAAGGTGAGGAACTAAGACCCGGAGTGCAGAAGTAGCTACACACAGGGACAGTTCCGGATTCAGAGCTGGAAGAGCCTTTACGAATCACAGGGGAGCCTTCTGCCCTCATTACACCAATGGGGAGCTGAGGTCCCGGGTGAGGACTTCCTCAAGACCCCCAGTGGGGCAGCTGCTAGGTCAGGACTAGAACCACCCTCCTGCTACCCCAAGGTGATGCCAGGCCAGAACGGGAGCTTCAGATCTTAAGCTTTGATGGACAAGGCTGGACAGTCAGTTCAGTCTCCCCCAAACCAAAGTAAATCCTACAGGTATTTTTATTACTGCTCTCAACCTGAAAAGTTTCTTGAACTCTTGGAAGCTGTTCATTTGGAAAGACTAAGATCACAGTTCAGGGATTCCTTTCAATTCACCCACATTAACTGGGGGTGCACTCCATGGGGTTGAACGCTGTGGAAGGACTGCTACATCTCTGGCCTGCCATGTTGCTTGCTGGCTATGTGACCTTGGGGTGGTGGCCTTCCCCCTCTGGGCGTCGGATGTCCTCCAGTTCTGACACCTGAGAACGTTAGAACTCCTTGCTGGGCACAGGACAGCCCATTCCATGGAGTGACTCAGGGGTGGGGTGGTGCTGGCTTCTCTGAGAAGTAGGGTGTCCGCGTGTGGGTGTGTTGAGTGGGGGACACTTGGGGCCATTCCCCGATCTGCCTTGTGCCTGGAGGGAAAAGGGCTTTGGGACCTGACAATTCCACTTGAGTCTGGGATTTCCCACTTTGGGTTTGGGGACACTGAGCTAGATGTCCAGCCCAGTCCACGGACCAGCTGTGGCCCAGATTCAAGAAGGTGGTGCTGATAAGAGCGCTCCAGGTAAATGGCTGCACACACTTATTCTGCCCTTGTGGGGCTGCTTGGCTGGGCTCTCAGAGGAGGGGCACAAAAGGCGCAGAGCCCAGCTGCAGCTGGGGCTCACCAAGGCGCGTGTGCGTAAGTGCATGTGTGTTTGTCAAGTGTGTATGGGGACCAGGCCCCAGCCCCAGCAAACTGGAAGCCCGAGCCCAGGTCAGGGTGGGACTGGGATCTGAGGAGGTTTAGACACAGCCCTGCCCCGAAGGGCCAGAGGCTGGGAAAGGCAAGGATGGAGAGTCCTGCTGGCGCACCCCAGGGCCGGGCACCCAGAGGGCATCTCTGAGCCTTGGCTATGAACAAGTGAGACAAGGACCAACTGTGGTCCAATCAAGAGACATAATGAACCTGCCCCCAACCTAAAATACTGACTCCATCCCCCAGTTCTGATGCTTGGCGAGAGATATCCCACAGCACACCTCCACATGGGGGCTTTCCAAGCCCAGGGCTCTGCCGTCCCCCTACCTTCCTGTCTAACCTCCTCTGGTTTGTTGAGGCCCTGCTCACACACTCCCTTCTCCTAGAAGTCTTGCCTCCCTTATGTCCACTTCAACCCCACTGCGGGGGACAGTCCCCTGAACTCCCTCCGCTAGTGGCACATGTGACCTCTTCCACCGAGGACACTGATGGGCCCAGTGCTCCGTGAACTTCTGCACAGCCCAGTGAGCCACCGTGCACCTAATGCATGAATGCACGAATGCAGGGTGCTCACTGAGGTGCCGTGACCCCCAAATCTGTCGGCGCCAAGTCCAAGGGCCAAAGGAGTTTGGAAGAACCAGGAAAGCAGATGAAGGCCATCACCTGCTGGGCCAGGGAGCTCTTTCTCTAAACACCCAGGCCTGACCTCACTGGGTCCAAGACGGGGGCCACCACACTTCAGCATCTTCCTTTCCTCCCAACAAAAACGATGCCTGGGCCCAATCTTTGGGGGTGTGAATGTGTGTGTATATCTGTGTGAGCACACATAGGCACACATGCAACTTCAAAACCTACCTTCTTCCTCCGTGCTTTCTGGGTCCTCCAATAAGGTGCAATCAATGAGGGATATGACTCCATTCTGAAAAAGAGCAGCACCCCCCATGCATCAAGGGAGGAGATACACAGTTTAGGAGTCCAGAGCATCAGCGCAGGAAGGGATTTTAAAGGCAAGCATCGCGTGCAAACATATATGGATGTGTATGTTATATTCCAAGTGGGCGTTTTGTTTTTTAAGTTGAGGGACTTTATCTTTATATAAGAAGCCCAATAAAGTGGATCAAATGGGATTGTCTCAGAGAGGCCTTCCCTGAATGAGGGTCAAGGTTGAGCTGAGGGCAGAGGGGCCAGAATCTGGCCTGTTTGGCCTCTTCTTGCCCCTGCAGCAACTCTGAGGCATCACTTCGTAGCTCTAAATCTGCAGAAGTTTGAAATCCCCTGCTCTAAGCCAACCTCCTCATATTACCCATAAGGAAACAGGCCAATTTTATGGACCTGTCACATGTATTGTTATTCTGATTTTACAGAGGAAGGAATGAAATCAGACATCAGAGAGGTAAATGTCTTGCCCAAGGTCACCTGGCAGGTTAGTGGGAGAGCCTAGAGAGAGCCTTGGGGCCTGACCCCAGCCCAAGGTCAGTTACTAGTTTTCAATTATGGGAAATAGCAGGAAAAATGCCCCCCATCCTTGAGTATGTGAGATTCCTTGATACTGTAGTGAGAAATAAGAGCAAGCACAACTGTTGTGGTTGTAAGATATGCCCATAAATTCTTTGATACTCCTCTCTTCAAAAGTTGAAGCCTACTTTCCCGTCTTCTTGAATGTGGACTGGACTTAGTGACTCCCTTCTCATTGAAAGAATAAAGCGGAAGTGATGGTGTTAAACTGTGGAGACTGCAGCCTCTTGCTTGCTCCCTGTTGTCTTTTGGATCACTTGTTCTAGGGGGAAGACAACTGCCATGTCATGAGGAGAGGTCTACGAATGAAGAACTAGTCCTCCAGCCAACAGCCACGTGAGGAAGCCATATTGGAAAAGGGTCCTCCAGGCCCAGTCACACCTTCAGATGATGGCAGCCCCAGCTGCCATCTTGACTGCAACCTCATGAGAGATCCTGATCCATGCCTACCCAGCTAAGTTGCTCCCAACTTCCTGACCCACAGAAAGTGTGACAGTAAATGTTTGTTTTAAGCCACTCTGTTTGGGGGTAATTTGTTACACAGCAACAGATAAGTAATACAATAACTGATGACAATCATATTCTTATCATATGGCCATATGGCAAATCTATAGGAACATGTTCGCAGGGCAGGCTGCCTTCTGAGAGGCAGAGGGGCGCTGGAGAGAACACCAGAGTGGGCCCCCAAATCCTGAGTTCTGCCTCTTGCTTTACTCTTTGGAGGCCTTGGGTGAGCCTGAGGTCTTGCTAGACCCTAACCTGCTCAGTGATGTCACTGGGCTTGATGATCTTGAAAGCTCCATCTAGCTCTGACATTCTTTTACTTTTAAGTCCAAAAAAATTCTTATGGTAGTTTTAAATCTTGTGGATTTGTAGTATGCCCCTTTCAGAAGAGACTTAATGCATTCTATTTCCAATTACAGTATTTAAAGAGAAGTGGTTTGAATTTTAGCTTATGGTTTAAGAACACAGACTCTGGAGCCAGACTGCCCGGGTTCAAAGCTCAGCTCTGCTACTTCCTGGCTTCTTCTAGACATCTCAGTTCCCTTCATCATAAACAAGGAAAGTAATAGTATCTGCCTCAGTGGGTTGTGGTAGGAAGTATATATACATAAAGTATGTGGGACAGTGCCTGGTCCATAGTAATTATTATGCAAGGGCCTGCTATCATTATCATTACAAGTTCATTATTATATAATTATGAGTGACAATGACAGCTTCCTATTGAGCGCTTACAGCACGGCAGGCACTAGACAACGTGCTTTGCACACACTCCCTCACTCCCTCCTCACAGTACTCCTCTGAAGTAGGCGTTTTCACTCCCATTTTGCAGAGAAGTAAACTGAGGCTCGGTGAGGTTGTGCACAGCTAAGTGGCAGTGCTAGGATCTGAGCAGTACTCTGCTTCCGTGTTCTTCACTAGCATGCTGAAAGACTTTTTAAAAACTCAAACGAACCTCCCAAACCAAAATAAGATAAAAGTAACAAACATAAAAACGTCTGCTTTCAGACTAGGAAGCTGCCTTAAGGTCTCTGGTTCAACCTGCCCCATGGACCCCTCCTGCTGGGAACTGCCCCCAGCCTGGACAGAGATCTCCACAGGAGGAAGTCCAGAGGCAATAAACAATGAAAGCTTTCCTCGATCCATAATTTGGTTGAAGCTGGAATATTCAGTGTTTGTAAGTTAAGTTTCCCTTGTGCAGCCAACCAACTAACTTGCTGACATGTTAACATGCAACACACCCCCCAAAGCCACTGCCTCATCCCTGAGCTCTGCGAGAGGCTCCAGGCCAGGCATCCAGGGTGTGGAAGAACGGTCTCCCCGATGCTCTGGCTTAATTAAGGGCATCTTCAGGCCCTTTCCAGGCCATAGCGTGTTCAGATTTGAATCTCCTGAAGCGAGCTTCCATGGGGACGGACATGGTGCCGGAGAGATGCTTGCTCACAGAGGCAAGCGCTCTATGCTCACAGAGCAGACCTACCGCCACCTGCCCGCACCTGTGCACACCTCTGGGGGGACAGTTACCCCTATGTTATAGATGAGGAACTGAGGTGGAGACAGGGGCAAGGACTTCTCCAGGGCTACACATGCATGAGAGACAGAGCTGGGACCAGATCCTGAGCTCAGAGTGGTGGGATGAGCAGGGTGCCATGTTTGGGAGCAGTAGATTCTGCCTGGGGTGTAGGCTTTACAGCAGGTGGCATCTGAGTGGGCCTTGAAGGATGTGGAGGAGCTCTGCCAGGGGAGAAAGAAGGCTGTGCAGCTGAGGGGATGGCATGAGCCAAGGCCCTGGGGTCTCTGAGGAAGCAGGAGGGTGGTTTGAGGTGCTTATTTCCCTCCACCTTTGGGATGGGCCAGTTAGCTGATTGTGTGGGGTCTCACGTAGGGCTGTGAGGTCCTGAGGACTGGCCCTGCCTGGCCGAGTCGGTGCTCTTGTGCTGGTAGAGTGAGTAACTGAGAAGGCGTTGGGAGGGGCTCTGTCTGAGCTCTTTTTAGTTGGAGATGAGAGAAACTCTCTGGGTGCTGGTCTGGTGCTCAGCCAGGTGCCATTCTCCCCGCTGCCCCTTACACACACGCGCATACACACACACACATGGGCCTTTTAGGGTCTTGTTTAGACCCCCTGGCTCCTCTGCCCTGGTACCCAGCTGTGGGGGGCACATTTGGGGCTCTTGATACTCACCTTCCCACTTCCCATGGTTTTTCCAGTAGAAAATCAGTCAATGGCCTGCTCATTTCAACCCGTCGTCAAACCAGGGTGCGTGCACGTACACTCACGTATCTCCGACCCCCTTGCCACAATCTGTGCCCAGGGTCAGGGTCAGTCAGGACCCCATGGTCAGGGCAGTGCCTGCTGTGAGCCCCTGGACCTCCAGCCTCCGCAGCTCCTCTCCTGCAGGCCTTACCTTGGTCAGGTGAAGTTTTCCACCAGAGCCTCTGGTACAGATAATCAGATGCTTAGAAAACAGGAAGCACTGTCGCTCACCCTCTTTCTTTAGGGATAAAGACCCCAGGCGCCCCCTGGTGATCTTGCCCTTTTCCGACATGGGCACCTGGATGAGGGAACCTATGGACGGAGGAGAGAGACCCTGAGCCCATCTCCCAGGATGATCCTCCCCCTCTGGCCCGGCTTTGAAGTCGAATGTGGGATTGTGATGCCAGTGGCAGCGGCTATGCAACAAGCAATCCCAGTTCCTGGTAGCAAACACGCCCCTTGGACACTTCCTCCAGCCCCTGCTCAGGGCCAGATGGTGGGATAGGGGGTTGAGGGATGATCAGAGATGTTCCATGCAGGACCCTTGACCTCCCAGCCAGGGCCAGGAACTTGGCAAGCAAAGGAACCCTAAAGGGCATGGCCCATGTGGTGAGAATGCAGGGTGGGGTTGGGGTCTGGGGGTGGTGGCAGGCTGAACAAGTGGGGAGCTGGCTCTGGTCCAGAGGGATTAACCTGATGCATTGTACACCTGCTTCCACCTGCGGCCACAGCAGACATCACCAATCAATTGCTGCACACTTTGCTGCAGAGCCCAGACAGGAGCTCCCAATCCTCAATACAGTGCAGGGAAGGCATTGCCAGGCAGAGCAGGTGTCAGTGACGAACCCACCTGCCAACCGTACTCTGCCTGCCCCGCCCTGCCACCCCACCCCATATATGGGCTACAGGCCTCCTTTCCCCATTCACTTCAACAGTTCTCACTGTCCTCAGGGTTCAGGCCTTCCAGCTATCTGGCCCCTGCCCATCTCCTCTCTCACCACTGTTTCCCTCCTCTGCCCCAAACCTAGTTCTGGGTCAACCTGCAGTTCCCTGAATGATGCTCCTCAGCCTAGAAAGCCCTTCTTTCACTCCATCTACGCCGTGAACTCCTACTTATCCTTTAAGACTCGACTCCAGGGATGCCTCCTTGGGAAGCCCTCCCTGACTCTCCCTGGTCCTGCTCTGGGCCACCCCTCTGCCTCCTGTCCACGTCCATCGCTGCCTGGAACCCTTTCTTGTATTTGTCTCTTCATGACTCTCTTCTGCACAGTCTGCTTCTGGAGGGTGGGGCAGGGACTATTCTCTGGGTGTCCCTGGAGCCCCGTGTTGGCCTGGCATGGGTGGGGCAGGGGTCAGTGTTGGGTGCATGGCTGAACAGTGAGAAAGGGCTTACCGGGTCTCCCTGTCTGGTCTCTAGGTCCAGCCCAGGCCCTTGGGAGGGGAAGAAATGCTTTGGCTCAGGGTGCTGGAGCAGATTCCTGGTCTGGGGGAACACTGTCCACCCCAGGAGAGGTCATTCTTTTGGCCACTTCCAACTTGGGCCCAGTGCAGCTCAGGAGGAGCTGGGAGACAGGCTAGGCTGGCTGTGGGCTCAGCAGATCACAGGGCAGGCCTCTCGGAAGGGCCACACACAGGGGCTCAGAACAAAACTCCAAGTCAACGACAGCCTTGCTAAGGGCAGCAGGGGCCAGAGGCAGCTGCACAGGCTGCGAGAGGTCCTGGCAAGCTCTTCATCTGGTCAGAGTCGCAGGGCTGGGAAGAAGGCACTCAGGCGGTCCATCCGAGGTGGAGGTCACCTCAGGGGCACACAGGCAGAAGCTGAGTTTCCCACAGAACGTGGACTCGGAACGAGGTGACCTGCAGACGCATGGTAGCTCCAACATCTCCGAGTGGGAAGTCAGTGCCCTCAGCCACAGAGAGCCTCTAGCTGCCCCTCTCAGCAGGGCTGTGACTCTCAAACCCTGCTCCCGAGGCAAGCGGAGGCTGAGGGTGAGGGAAACCTTCAACCTGGAGAACACCGTGATCACGGCCTCCCGCAACAGGCAAGGATGGTGCGCCAAGCAGAGAAGGACTGACCCAATCGCCTCCCTCTCGGATGCTGAAAGTGCTCATCCTCCTCCCCTGTTTCTCCCCAAAAATGACATGTCATTGTTTACTATGACATACGATAGACAAACCAAGGCCATCTGCGAAGAGTTATATTTACATCTAGAGAGAAGGAAACTGTGAAAATCAATATCTGCATCTATATGTACAGACACCAACGTCTCCATATAGCTGTCACATTCCTCCAGCAGCCCTGCAACACTCCGCCATCATGCCGACAGGTTTTAGTACGTGGCAGCCAAACGAACTAGAAGTGTCCCTGAGTGCCGCCTGCCTCCCACTCCTGGCACCCACCTGGGCGGGGCAGGGGAGGCAGGGTGCAGAGGCCGTACCTTGCCTCACAAAGGTCTGGCTGGTGTCCAGGAGGATCTCACAGCCTTCGATGATCATGCGCTCGATGGCTAGGTTTTTCCGGATGTTCTCTGTCTCACTTACTTCATCATGCATTATCCTGTGGGGACAGGAAATAAGTCAGAGACAGGCTGCCCTTAATTCTCAGGGAGGAGGGGATGCTGGCCTCTGGCCGGACCGAGGAAGAAAGGCTACACCCAGGACTCTCAGGTGGAGCCTGTGGTCACGAAGGGGGACAGCATACATTTATTGAGTGCCCACTGTGTGCCGGGCAATTCACAGGCGTGATCTCATTTTATCCTTCTCACAGATCAAGGAGGCAGGTGTTCTTATTTTACAGAAAAGGAAATGGAGGTTAATAGCTAGGAAGCAGGTCTTATCTGATTTAAAAGTCTGAACCACCTGGAACAGAGACAGCAGAGTTGGAGGAAGATGGGAGTACAGGAGACATCCTTGTTCATTATCTGGCCCCTCATCCCATTAGTGTCTACTGCCATCCTTAGAACAAACTAACTCATTTCTGCCTTGGGGCCTTTGCACTTGATGTTTCCTCCCCCTGAATGCTCATTATATGCTTGTTCCCTTCATGTTATTTGGGTTCTGGAATGGCTTATTTTTGGAGTGCCTGACAATCCAGCTGGTTCAGAGAAAGCCTGACTTTGGTTTATTCTGTAGGCTCCAGCACGTCCGGGAGGGAAGCAGAACATGTTTCGCCACTTTGTCTGAGAACACGGACAACTCTCTTATTTGTCCCTGTTCTCACTGCCGCAACACTGTTCCTCTCCAGGAGGTGGCACCTCTTAACTGCTTTTTAAAAACAGCATTGGTAGGAAAAGAGGGGTGTGAGTTGCCAACATTGCTGAGAGCCTCAGTGGGTTTCCAGGAGTCTTAGGAAGGTAGTGAGTAATTTCTTCGGGGGGGAGGTCTGGAAAGACTACCCCACCTACTCCAAGGAAAGCACAAAGCCTCCTGTTGTCTGAAATTCTACAATTAAGACCACCAAGAGGGCTAGTTAATATGTGTGTGGCTTACAAAGTTCTCTCACAGACATGATCCCATTTAAACCCCACAACAATGAGAGACGATGCTAGTGGCGCTGGATCTGTGATTAATGGAATCAGCATGACATTGAGCAAATTACTGAACCCTTTTGATCCTCAGTTTCCTCGTCTGTAGAATGTTGGGGTGAGGATGGAAGATAATGTATTTCATGTGCTGACCTCATGCCTGGCACATGTCAGATGCTTGAATAAAGGGTAGTGATCATTGTTGCTATTATCACTGGTTGTAAAAGTGTTATTATAAAAAAATATTATCCATTATTTTTTCTGCTTATCACACTGGGGCACTGAGACAGTGTCTCTTTTTTAGGTGCCTCGGCACCTCCCCCCTCCCCTGCAATGCCCTTCTCAGAAGCCCATGCTCTAGCCCTCTTCTGGAAGGGACATGGGACAGGGAGGCACCTTTCTGGGAAATGGTAGTTTCATGTTTGGAAGGAAGCAAAGGTAAGCAGAACCATTTCTTTAGATACGGGTGGGGATGTTGCTAAGGAGGGCTGCATTTGCTAAAAACAAGAGGGTGATTCCGAAGCAGCAAACTAGTTCTGCTGTTAGACACGTGCAAATGGCAGGGGCTCAGGAGGAGTGCCAGCCCCAGGCTGGGGTTTGTGTTGGGGGGACCCATGCTGCACACGCTGCTGGGGAGGCTCTGGGAGGGCAGTGTGAGTTTCCAGGGCCAGATGCTCCTAGGGGAACAGGAAGTGATGACCTCCGTTATCAGTGAGCCAGGGAGATAGGGCTCAGGAGAAAAGGTGGGACAAAGGCCAGGGGCAGGAGAGCACCAGCCCCTGGGGAGGAGTGTTTCTCAGCACAGCCAGCGAGGGGTTGGTTATCTGATGTTTTCCTGCCAGGGCTGGGGCAGAAAGGGCTATTGTCATGACAATAGGAAAACCCTCTTCTGTGGTGGGAGGGCTGGGTTCAGCTGTAGGTGACGGGGAAGACAAAAGAAGAGCTAGCTGGGGGAAAGGGGACGGAGGTCTTAGTCCAAATACCTTGGCACCCACATGCCACCTGCACCTCTGCCTGCACCTGGACAGGGCATCCCACAGCAACGAGGAGCCTCACTGGAGCCCCAAGTCTTTTCCTTGGGGAGTCTGCAGGATTTGGCTCCTTGGGGCATGAGAGGACTGGGTCCCCACCCCACAATGGTTTTGTTAGTCTGCAATCACACCCTGATTACACCCTCTTGCTGATCCTCCACTCTGGGGCCTGTGCCCTGCCCTGGTCCAGCCTGGTTCTCCCTCTACCTGCTGGGAGCTGTGGCCTGACTGGCTGCTGCTTGCTGGCCTTGGGAAGCCCTTTAGGGCACTGAGTGGTCGGCCGGGTCCCAGACAGAGCTGGGAACTGGACCCCACACACTGCAGATGGACCCTCCTTTGCAGCTTCTGGCAGTCCATCTCTGTGTACAAGGCCGTCCTCATTTCTTGGAACCCCAGGGTTCAGCCCTTGGTTTGCATCTCGTTCCTGCCTGAACTCACTCCCCTGGTGATCTCACCACTCCTGTGACTTTAAATACTATCTCCAAGCTGATGGCTTCTGCATGTCTTGCTCCCCCAAACTCCAGACTCAAATACGCTACTCCCTTCTTGTCATTGCCACCACTGTTGTCCATCTCAAGTTCAGCATGGCCCCAGTAAAGCTCCAGTGAAGCAAGAAAGCCTTCCCTTCCACACCTGCCCCGCTGGCAGTCTTCTCCATCTCAGTTAACAGCAACTCCATCCTTCTGGTTGCTCAGCCAGAACCTCTGGAATCACTCTTGACTCCAATCTTCTCTCTCTCCCCACATCTAATCCATCAGAAACTGTTGTTGGTTCCATCTTCAAAATACATCCAGAATCTGAACCTCCTCTTCACCTTCACTGCCACCACCTGCTGCAGCTGCTGCCTGGACTGCTGAGGTGCCTCCTCCCTCGCCCCTCTGCACCTGCCCTCGCAGAAGGAAGTTCCCCCTGGGCTTCGGGGACTGTGACAGGGGCTGGGGAGGGGCCTTGACTAGAGGGCTGGAGCCTTTGAAATCGGACAAGCCCACTAACACCTCCTGTTGCTGACTGGAGCCTCGGCAGATGAAGGCAGGTCGCCCAGGATCCCCCTGGGGCTCTGAGAGCTACAGGTTTTGACAAATCGACACTGGAGAACAGAGGAAATGGGCAGAGAGCATCTGCAAGCCCCTGAGCAGATCCCTGTCCTGGGAGATGGGCCCATTGAGTGTCTGGGGCCCTTCCCTGGACCCCATCTCTGCCAGGGATGGCACACCACCCACACTATCCCACCAGTGCCCCCTGGGCTTGAGCTGTAAACTCCTCAGACTGCTCCACGGGACTCTGCTTCTGGGTGAGGCAGGCTGCGCCCCTCCCTCGGAATTCTAACCTGAACATGAGCTTTTACCATCTGGGGCTCGGCACACTTCTGATGGGGGTGTCCTCAGCTCTGGCCTGTTCACTGGGGAGGGCTCCCAGGAGCCAGCTCACCTGGACAGCTCTTCCAGTTTGGACTTGGCATAGTCCAGGCTGTTGCGCTCAACATGCTCATGAGGCGTGTGGGCCAGGAGCTCGTGCAGCGTTAGGATATACCTGGGAATCTGCGGCAGGGAGAGGCAGGGATGGAGAAAGACAGAGGGATGGGGAGACAGAGAGGAACAGAGACAGGGAGAGAGAGGCAGTAAGGAAGTGAGAAAGAGACAGACAGAGCAGCAACAGACAAGGATCGAAAGAGAAGGAGAGGGAGGCAGAGAGTGGTTCTCTCCGCTCTGGCAACACCCAGGAGCAGGGCTGAAGAATGAACCTCGCTGGACCTCTCGCCTTAGACTCTGATTTGAAGGCTCTTCCAGGGTGTCCTCTGGGACAAGAGCCCAGAGCTTGAGGCTCAGCCCCTCAGGTGGCAGGGTCTGGGGGTGGGCTCAGGACCAGGAGGGACAGGGCCCCCGGAGGAGCTGTCCCCTCGCCTTCCTGCACAGCCTGCTCTCTGGAGCTGGACAGGCCTGCAGCCAGCCAGGGTGCGGTGGGCTCTAACCCCATTTTCCAGGCAGCCCAGAGCTGGGGCCTGTGGCTCCCCCGGTGCCTCCAGGTGTGGTTCCCTCCCAGCCATGGCCAGCACTGCTGTGGCCCCCAGGGGCTCCCCACGCACGCGCCCTCACGGCCGGGGCTGAGCCACCTGGAACATGGGGTAGGTGAGGAAAGTCTCCAGCGTCCTCTCCTCGCAGTCGGGCTTGGCCTCGTAGTGTTTCAGCAGCTTGTCGAAGTCACGGTTCTGCTTGCAGTGGGCCAGGATCTGCAGGCTGTACTGGTGGTTACGGACGAACTCCTGGTAGATGTTGAGCATGGGCAGCAGGATGTCGAACAGGTCGGCTGGAAGGAGGGCAGGGCTCAGGGGACGGCCGGAGGCACCCTCGGGGAGACAGAGGCCCCACAGGCCCTCAGCTCTCTCAGCCCCGCCCAGGAAGGTCAGGGCCAGGCTCAAACTCTGCCCCAGAGAGACCCCTACCTTTGGGGACGACTCTGGTACCAGGGCAAGATAGTGGCCCCACATGAGCATTGGGACCACATCAGAGTCACAGGTAGATGTGGAGACCCTGTCTAGTCTGACACCTGTGTACCGGAGGGTCAGAGAGAGGAGGTGTAGTGGGTGCTGTGCTGTGTCCCCCGACCACCTTCAGGACCCAGGCACCAGGAGTGCTGCTGGCCGAGGCTCTCAGCTGGGTCTTCCCCCACCAGGAACTGCTCTCAGCTTTAGGCAGCTGCCTTGCACAAGTCATACCTTGCCCAATGGGGCTCCAGGTAGGGGTATAAAGGCTAGCCCTGCAGTTTGGGAGATTTCTGAAGGGCCAGCCCAGCTCCAGAGCTCCATGGGGTCAGCTGAGGACCTAACTTCCCCGTCGCCCTGGCTCCCCGACTATGCCATGCTGAGGGCTCCCCACGAGCCCTCTCTCCCAGAGTGTCCTGCCTGTGACAGAAGTGACCCATCTGAGGTCACAAGGTGACTCAATAGCTACCCTGGAACCCAGTCTCCTGACACCCCCATTCCAGGGCTTCCCACCCCACGACACACCCTCCTGAGTCTCTGTCCTTTCACTTGTCTGTCCGTCCCCGTCCTTCCAGACCTCCCTAGCTCTGCGCCCCTGGTTCAGTGAGGTGGGTCCCTGCTGGTCCATTCTGTCGCAACCTCCTGGGTATAGAACATCCTGCCCTCAGCCCCTGAAAGCCTGACCCAGCTCCGCAAACCTACTCTTCAACGCTTGATGCGATGCCAAGGACCCACCAGACCCTCTGCTTATAAAGCCCATTCAAAAAGACAAACACACTTTCCTCGTAATAAGCTCCACGTGGGAGCTCTTACACAGGGCGCCCGGCCTCCCGGTGGACGCCCCTCCACCACCAACTGCAGAGGGTGGGATGCAGACCCCGTCTTTCCAGGGCAGCTTCTCATGGTGACCATGACCATGAAGAAACATGGGGGGTCTTTGACTCAAGAAAAACAAAACAGGTGCCCAGCTCCTGGAAGCCTCCACGGCCTGAGGGCAGGGGAGCTCTGGAGAGCCTTGCCCGATCTTGGCCATGCTTCACCTCCCTCAGCCTGTTCCCTTGTCTCCACAGTGGAGGTGACACCAGTGCTCAGCTTTACCTAGTAAATTAAGAAAGTGACAAAACAAGGTAACAGCCAGCGCGGGCGAGGCGCACTGCAGAAGGTACGGCACGGCCAGCGCAGCAGCGAGGCCATGCGTGGAGCGGGACCTCAACACTGTCCTGCCGATTATTTCTGTCTTCTACTTTTGGAAACCGACCTGAAGGAAATACTCTCTAACAAGGAGAAAACTTCACATGAGAGATGGCTATATCTCATAACAAAAAGTTGGAACAACTTTGAGAGCCAGTGATGGAGACTGCTGCACAGAGCATGGCACGTTCACGGCGTATTGCAGCAATACGCAGCTATCAGGGAGCAGGCTTTCCACATGAGAAAACACTTATGCTATAATGTTAATTTAAAAAACCCACAGCAAGATTCAAGTTCTATATTCAGTATGTTTGCAATTATGTAAAATGGGAAAAAAACCCCAAGATCTACACATAGAAAAAAATTGGAAGAAAACACACCAAAGCATTTATAGTGGTTATCTTTAGGAAGCAGAACTATAGTTGATATTTTTAAATGTTTTCTACTTTTCTGGGTTTTCAAATTTTCTGAAATGGGTATGTATATATTATTTTTAAAAGGGAAAAGTGGATAAGAAACTAAAATATATATCGCTTCCTACTAGAAATATAGCTTTTGCCAACTTGTCTTTCCATTTCTGCTCCCTCTGAGGGAGTCTGGGTTTTTAAGGGACCACTCCATTATGCTCTGAGGGCCGAAAGTGCCACCAGCAGGGAGGGGTGGGCCCTGGAGAGGGACATCTGGTGGCGGGGGGCAGGAGGGGCTGGGGACCTCTGCGAGGGCTGGCTACTCACCCAGGACCAGTGTGGGCCAGCTGGAGATGCGAGCCTTCAGGCCTTGGTAAAAGATCTGGTGCAAAAACATGATGGTCTCGCTGAAAGAGAACGCCCAGAGTAAGCTCCAGCCAAGTGTACTTCTGCCCCTCTCGAGGGCCCCCGTCCCCAAGTCCAGCAAGCTGAGGGGCCCAGAGGAGAGCGCTACTGCCGGGAGGGGCTGCTACTGCCCGTGGGACTCTAGGAGCAAATGCCTCTCCCCAGTGAGACCTTATGTGAACACCCATCAGCGGGATGGACTATACAATCTGCGGGACCCAGTGCAGAAGGAATATGAGTGGTCCTTGTTAAAAAATGATTAAGAATTTTGAGATGGTGACAGCAGAGTGTTAAACCAAGCCTGGGCTCTTCTGAGCACCAGGCTGCACACCCACGAAGCTGGGAGAGAAGGGCAGCTGCCCATGCCCCCTCAGGTCCCCACCTGCTGGGGTGCCCCTGAGAGCTCTTGCAGGGACCCAGGGCTCTGGAGAACATGGAGTAAAAGCTACCGAGGATATGAAAAGAGCCAGGGCTTGAGACCCACACAGAGTGGGGCTCAACTCCGCCTTAAGCCCCTACCCAGTTGTGTGACTTTGAGCAAGATGCCTAACATCTCTGAACCACAGGTCCTTCTGTGTAAAATATGAAGACGAAATGAGGTAACCCCTACAAGTAACGGGACTACTCATGTGCTCAGTACACAGAAGATGCTCAGCAAGTGCTAGGTCTCAACCACCTCCTTTCTGGGGAAAAGTTAGAAAAGCAAAAATCCCAGAGTCTCCAAGCCAGCAAGTGCCTGCTTTGCCACCACCTAGAGTGCCCTAGGGACCATGCCTTCTCATTGGCAGCTTAGCACGGGCTGGCTGATGGGCCTTAGAGCACCCCAAGCAGCCTCATTTGCCTTGGCTCCCCTACCAGCAGCCCCTTCCCCACCCACAGCTCCCCAGGCAGCCCGCCCAGGCACAGCCAAGTCTCCTGGCCCTGGACGAGCTGTGAGAGAGACTCCAGCTACCTCCCGCAGCCCCCTCCCCTCCTCCTGCTCATCACCCCCACCTCCTACCTCCCTGGAGACCTGGGGGTCTCCCCAACATGTCTGAGGCTTGAACCAGACAGGGGAAGCCAAATGGACTCTGTCGTGCACCCCATTTATGGATAGGAAAACTGAGGCCCAAGAGGAAGAGTGAATCTCCCAGGAGTCAGGGGCTGCCCCAGCCTTGGAGCCTGTCTCTCCTCTCCCTGGAATGGTCTCTGTCTTTTTCTGCCACATCAAAGGCCCCTCTTTGGTTACACCCTCCGCAGCGCGCTGTCTGCTCCCTGTCCTCTGTGTTGTCCCAGCTCTTCGTTTGGCTGTTTGAGGTGCCTGGTGTTTCCCGCCTTGGGGAGCTGCCATTGGGTGCTTGTTCCCTCTCCCAGCAGTTTGTGCCCTGACAGCAAACCCCCACCCTGGGGTTTGCCTCTCTCGGTACAACAAGGGGAAGGGTTGGAAGGTGCTGAGTGGGCACAGAGTGGACCCTGAGCTGTGAGGCCTGTGGGCCACAGAGCACAGAGCCTCATGTACAGAGGAGGCCCTCAGAGGCAAGGGGCTCTGGGAACCCCAAAAGGATTCGAAATGTCCTGCACACCTGCACTCTGCAGAGAAAACGGGTCGGGTGGAGAAGACGGCATGAGAGAGAAAAGATGGGATAGTTGAGAGAGCGAGAAAGAGAGCGCGTGGCGGGGGAGGTGGAGGGGAGGGGAGAAGTGGGGGAGAGGGAGAGAACAGACACAACACTCTAGGCTGAAGAGCAAAGCCTGGCACTGCCTCACAACCGTAGGATGTACAAAAGGGAAGGAAAACCCATAAAGACTGAAACCAGTGGGAACTTAAAAAAACCTAAGTAGAAGAAACTGTCTGAGTTCTCATTCCAGAGCGTGGGTCCTATCATTATGGTGAATTTTCTGTCGTCTCCCTAAAGTCCCAAGAGGACGGGCCCCTCCAGGTGTGGCGACACATGTATTTCTGGACTAGGGGCCCTGCCTGATGGCTGAAGTCATTTTCATTTTGCAGGCAGCAAGTCCCCCTGCAGAATGACTCTTGACAAGGCTGGTTTCTGCCAGTCTGTGGCCCCTGAACTAGTTTGTTGAATGGATAAACAAGTACCAATTTGAAGAACTTTGGTAGTCTACATGTGAAGACCCCTTGAAAAGTTCAAAAGCAAGAGAGCAACCCAGGGGCACATGAGAGTGCATAGAGGGAAGAATGTCTGACCTGGGGCAGTATGGAGGTTGGGGGACTTTCAAGGGTTCTTGAGCGGGCCAGGAGGCTCTGGGTAACCCTGAGCACTGCCACAGCTAGACTCAGGGAAGCCATTCCCAGGCAGTTCCATCAGACAACTACTCAGGGAGGAAACAAACCTTCTTAAATTCCAATACTGCACGGACTTGTAGAGTAACATATTAGGAACATCATAAGCCAGGACTATAAAAATATAGTTGATGAAGCCTCCATTTTTAAAGTATAAACTGTGGGGATTTCACCTGTAACTCTACTACTTAGAAAGTAACAATGGTACCATTGTTACTCTTCTAATAAGAAAAAAAATTCTCATTTTGATTTGATTTGCTTCTAAAAACATGATTGTTAGTGTGTTGGCTATACATTTTTCCTATGTATTAGCCATTTGAATTTCTTCTTTTGGGACTTGCCTAGTCCTGTCCATTTACTATTCTCTCTTGTTAATTTTAAATAACTCTCTATATGAAGCATTTAATCTAACACATACACTGCAGACATTTTTGCTTGGCTGGCCTGTGGGCCATGTGCTCGCTTTCCTGAAGCTGTCGTCTTGCCTCGCACAGTGTGCCATGCCCTGCCCGCCTTCCCTGCCCGGAGATCACGGCATACACACTCACCTATACTTTATTTTACTGTTTCATTTTTACACATAAACACCCAACTAGAGTTTTCTTTGGTGTAAGATGTGAATAAAAGAAAGTAATCTTTCCCCAGTTCGGTTAGCCAATTGCTCAATTCCACTCACCAAGTACACCGACCGTTTCCACTACTTTGCTAGGCTGCCTTTTTATTCTTGCTAAATTCTCCACATTATTCAGTCTGTTTCTGGACTTTCGATTTTACTTTGGTGCTCTATCGGTCTATTCTGGCACTGCTCTCAGGCTGTTTTCACTACCTCCTAAAGATATTTATAACCTTTCTAATATATTTTAATTAAAGTAGGGACAGTTTCTTTCATTGCTTTTTTTCAGAACATAATTACCTATTTATATGTATTTATTCCTTCAGTTGAACTTTAAAATCATTTTGCTAGGCTGTACTTTGCTTGAAATTATATTAAATTTATAGAGCATTTGGAGTGAAAATGGCATTTTTATGATATGAAATCTTTCCATGCAGCATGCTGGCCCACTCCCTGTTTTGTACAACCTGCAAGCTTAGAAAGATTTCTACATTTTTAAATAGTTTAAAAAAATCTAAAGAATATTTCATGATATGTGAACATACATATTTTAGCGTCCATAAGTAAGGATTCACTGGAACCTAGCCATACACACGTGTTTGTGGATTGTCTATGACTGTTTAGTTTCAGCAGAGACCGTATGGCCCACAAAGTCTAAAATATTTACTACCTGGTCATTTACAGAAAAAATCTGCTGATCCCTAGTCTATGTGAGTCGTCTCCCTGACCTGTGCAGTGCACAGCTGGTGCAGCTGTATTCTATGGCCCTATCCCTACTTACAGCAAGCTTAGAGTCCAGTGGGGGACCCAGACACAAAAGAAGTCATTATGAAAGTGTGATGAATGCTACACAGGGGCAGCACAGGGGCCCTGGGAGCACACAAGCAGGCAACAGGAACCAGTGGTGGCAAGGGACATGGGGGTTGTCAGGGACACGACATCCAAGGAAAGCTGTGAAGAAAGGGTAGGACATAGCTGTTGGAAGGAGAGTAGGGTGGGAAGAGTGTTCCAGGGAGAGGAAGAGACCTGTCTGCAGACACACTGGGGAAGTGCTCATTTTGCCTGGTTCCTTCCCTGAGCCCAGAAAGGGGTGTGACTTGCCCAAGGCCAATCCAAGGTAGATAGGGCAGAACCAGGCCTCTACACTCCTGCCCCACCCCTGCCCATCGCACACTGCCAGTTACTCATCATGAGTTCAAGCGCCTTCCTCTCCTCACTCCCTAGCATGCAGACGTGACAAATTGATCACTGCATGCTCCCCCACCGAGTCTCACCATCCTTCTCAACCCAGGGCTCCCGCAGTCACTGCCAATCAGTCAGAGCAGTCATCAAGACACAAACCGTCTGCCACTCGGGTGAGATGCCTCTCGTCATGGACAATGCCTGTGTTTCCTGGCACACATTGCTGGGTATGGTTTTTATTAAAGGGAAATAGCACAAGTCTATAAGCTTATTGTTTCGGCTAAACAAAGCCTGTTACAGATGTTTAGTTCAAAGATCTTTCTTCGCCCTATTGGAGAAGCACACAATTAACCCCCTCCCCAGCTCTGCAACATCCTCCACGAATCTGCCAAACGGGAGAGAGGCCTCTCTCTTCCCAAGGACCTCTTTTAATGAGCTCCAGCAAATGAAATCACCAAATTAGCATCAGATTTCTAATGTGGCTGTACACGTCAGCCTAAAAGCAAACGCAGGGGAAAGGTATGTGTGAGAATGCCTTCTAAGAAGTGGCTGGCAGCCTCTGCCCCTGCTTGTGATCCACAGCCCTCTGTGCTGTGGGTGGAGGTAGGGAGACCTGGGAGCTTCGTGGCCTGGCTCCCGCCTCCATAGCGCTTATGCAGTGAGTGGGAAGGCTGGGCTTGCACACAAGGGAAAGTTCTCTAACCGTGCAGGAGTGAGAGAGAGTGCATGCCGTGCCCCGCACTATGATGAGCCACACTCTGGGAGCTGGGAGCAGGGTTAAGGAGGATAGGGGTCAGTGGAGAGGATTCCAGCCCATTATTTAACAGGGCATCCGGGGAAGAAGAGGTCTTAACATGAAACAGAACTGGGTAAAAATTGCAGCCCACCCAAACTTGCCGTGTGCCCTTGAACACATCCCCCAACCTCTCTGAGGTCTAGCCTCATGGGGCATCTCTGAGGAATGGAAACCACGCATGTCAAGCGCTTACAGAGAGCCTCGCACAAAGCAGGTCCCACAAAGCACCAGCTTAATGTACTGAGTATGATCTAAAACGTTCAATTCTGCAAAGTGCTGGGAGTGGTTGTTATAAGGTTAACGGAAAAAATACCTTCAGCTGTTCTTTATGCTCACAAAAAAGCATAGAGGCTAAGATAGTGAAGCTTATGCTGTACCCAGCAGACCATATAGTGAGGTGAGAATGCTCACAGGGCGGTCATTTTCTAGCTCTTTCCATGCCCATCCCGGGCCCCAGGGGGAGGAAAGAACTGTAGCCTGCCCCTGTTTGAGAACAGCAGCGAGGGCAGAGGAGGAGAGGGCAGCTGCATCAGATTTGCATCCACTGAGATGAGCATTGGTTTTTCTTAATATAATAAGAAAACACAGTAAAATACATTGATTTTCAATGTTGAACCAGCCTTGCATTCCTGGGATAAATTCCACTTTGTCATGATGTATTATCCTTTTACTATATTTCTGGATTCAATTTGATAATATTTGTATCTATGATCATGAGAGGTTTGGGTCTGTATTCTTGTCTCATAAGGTCTTTGTTGTTGATATTAGAGTCACGCTGGTCTCATAGGATGAGTTGGGAAGTGTTCACTCCACATTAGATTTGCATTCGATTTCCCACAGGGTGCCTCATTGTGGAGCTGTGCTGTTATAATAATGTCTAACTCCTCCTGAGCACTTGGGATAGGCTGGCCTCTGTGCTAGATGCTTGACATGAACACTCTCATTTGATCTTCCGACAAGTGTAAGAGGCAGGGACCATTCCTGGGTCAGCTGTTTCTGATGACCGCCAGAGTCCACATTCTGGAGGCCTTAAGAATTGATCAGGCTGCCGCTATTTTGACCAGGCTCAGTGAGACCACTAAGATGGGCAAGAGTCAACCTTGGGCCCATGGTGGAAAAGGGGAAACCGGCCTGGCAGGGGCCTGGCAGGGCACCAGTAGAGGAGACTTCCCTCCCTCCTGTTCAGCCTCAAAGTCATCTGACCTGATCCGTGCAACTGTTAAAAGATAAAAATATAAAAGTGCGATATTTTCAAACAACTTTTGAACAAATGCTGTGAGCTGGCACGAAACTCTTAACTAAAGATTCCAGGCTAAAAGGATCCCATTAAAGATCAATGAAGTATAACAAAATTATGGGAAGATTAAATAAATACAAAAGGACACCTGTATCTCTCAGTGATTATGATAAGCGGTCACCAAAAGCTTGTAATTGTGGACTAAAATACACAAACAACACAGAACTGTGACGACGTCTCCTGAAGGATTTCTGAGGTTAGTGGCTGGAACCCCCGACACAGGCAGTCGCCTGCAGCTCGAGCACAGCCACAGCACCTACACATGTGCTGGAAATGCAGTTCCCCAGGCTCCACCCAGACCCACAGACAGAGGAACTCGGGGCGGGGCCCAGCACCCTGCGCTCGTGTCTGAAGGTCTGTGAATCCAGCTGAGCTGTCCAGGCTTTACTCAGGAAGGAACAAGTTCCTCCCACTTTTCAGCCAAATTTCAGGTCGCTAAGTCTAAAAGACCCAATTGTAGGGGCCAGCCTGGCAGCGTAGCAGTTCAGTTCACATGTTCTGCTTCGGTGGCCTGGGGTTCACTGGTTTGGATCCTGGGTGTGGACATGGCACCGCTTGGCAAGCCATGTTGTGGCAGGAGTCCCACACATAAAATAGAGGAAGATGGGCATGGATGCTAGCTCAGGGCCAGTCTTCCTCAGCAAAAAAGAGGAGGATTGGCAGCGGATGTTAGCTCAGGGTTAATCTTCCTCAAAAAAAAAAAAAGACCCAATTGTCGTTTTTGGAATAAACGTTACCTGATTTCACAAAAAGATACTATCTGTTTTCTTTGTTTTAGCTGGTGAATAAAAGCACTCACTTAATGTTTAAAAATTGAGTTCAGACATGTATGTTAAAAAGCAACCTTGTAAGGCTCGTGAGTCCAAGTTTCTTGAAGATCTTATGAGACCTCCTTCTGCCCGCCTCTCTCTCTCCCCTCCCAGCCCTGTCCACCGACTCTGGTGCCTGATCCAATCCACAGGGTCAGCCCTGTCCCACCCTAATGACTTTCAGCCTCTGTAGCCCGATTTCTCACGTGGGCATCAGACCCATATCTGACCCTCATGTGCTGGCTCTCCCATCTCCCCACAGGTGTCCCGCAGGCCCCTCCAACTCGCCACTCCACACTGGCAGGGAGAAAGGAAAGCAGGGCACAGGGAAGGTGACCCTGGATCCTGACACCCACACAGGGAGCCTGGATGAGGGCCGCTTGCAATTAGCGAAATGACTGGCTGACGAACATTTTAACAGAAACGCAGCTGAATGAACAGCTTAGAGCACACAATGATCTACCTTAATTCTTCAGTGAGAATCATTTGTAAATAGCACTTTGTACATATGTTTGCCACTTTTATCTAGTTCTCTCAATTTATTACCACCAAAAAGCTCATTTATTTAAACCCTTTCCTAAGAAAATCCTTTTCAAAAGAGGTTGACAGTAGAAGAGCAGTAGTCAGCTTAGCTTTCTGAGGTACAGGAAACCCTATTAACGACCAGGGTCGCCTTATAAAAAGGAACTGCTTTCCTAAGGTACGTGGAGAGTGTGGTACAGAGCAGAATTCGAAGGAGCCTGAAAAGTCTAACTTTGAACCTGGGCTCCAGGTCATCATGCCGGTGTCCAGGTAGAAGAACGGAACTTGGTTAGCTTTCTCTGGCTTGATTCATAACTTAAGAGTTATCATTTAAACTAGGGTTTCTCAACCTTGGTACTACTGACACTTGGGTGGAATATTTCTTTGTTGTGGGGCTGCCCTGTGCACTGTAGGATGTTTAGCAGCATCCCTGGCCTCTACCCACTAGATGCCAGTAGCAAACCTGCCCCTCCCCGACCGCCCCAGCCAAGTTTGACAATTAACAATGTCTCCAAACTTTGCCAAATGTCCCCTGGGGGGGAAGACTGCCCCCGTTGAGAACCGCAACTTTAGACATATGCTATGGGGGCCTCTGTTCGTACTCCTGCCCCAGACCCCACAATTGTTGAGGCTGTGGCTTCTAGCCATGTGACCTTGGGCAACTTCCTTCCTGTCTGGGCCTCAGTTTCCTCATCAGCACTCGGTGGGAACTATGACGGCTCATGTTGAAACTCGGCTCTGTGCCGGTTAGTCTCCTTCTCCCTGCCTCGGTCAAGCACTCCAGGTGGGGCCAACCTTTGGGGTGCTCACCTGTTCAGGAAGATGCTGCTGACATCATCGTGAGTGATGGGAGGCTTCTTGGAGCTGGCAGCCATGCGCAGCGGGCGCAGGAAGTTGTTGACAAGGATGTGCAGCTGCTGCACGTATTCGGCCTCGGCCTCCAGCATGCTGAACACCACCTGGTTCCTCTTTCGCATGCTGTCTGCGTGGGGCGACCGGATGTAGTCCTGGATGATGGTCTTCCACTTGCGCCGGCACAGCCAGCCCCGCAGGAAGCTCTGCACCTGGGCACCGAGACGGGCGGGAGAGGCTCCCATTACATAGTCTTGGCTTCTCTCGTCCTCCCAGGCTGTGAGTGCCCCAAGGGCAGGGACCAAGGCTTTGTCATCCCCCGTGCCCGGCGTGTAGGGAAAAGAGCTCAGACAAGGACCATGCCTGGTTGCCTACCTGCATGGTGCCAGGGAAGTCAACGGGAACCTCTGAGCCAATTTTCCCATCTGCACAATGGGGCTAATGAGATGACAGCTGGGCTCAAAGTGTGGCACATGGACTGGTAGCATCAGCCTCTCCCAAGAGCTTGCTAGAAATGCAGATTTCCTAGACTTGCCCCAGACCTCTGCATTTTAACAAGATCCTCAAGTTTGCTTTAGAAGCATTCTCTGAAGGAGGAAAAGTGTGGCCCCAAGTCTCCATAACGGGAGGTGGCACGGGCATAGAGGGTGGCCAGGCTGTGATGGGCTTGGCTCACACCGCATCTTACCTAATGACGAGCCTGAAAGCCCAGAAGTTTCAATTACAGCTCGTCTGGATAGCGGGTGATTTCAAATTGAACAGAACATGGCAAATTAGTTAATCTCGTGCTTGGGCCTCATCAGAGCTTCTGAGGACCAGCACCTGCCTGGACCCTCGCCTCCTGCCTTTGCGGGGAAATGAACACTGACACTTGACTTGATTGTCTTAAGAGTCCAGCTGCTTGGAGTGGCCTCGTTTTGGCAAGAACTTGGAAAAGGGCCTTGATTCACACAGACACAGAATTCTTGCACAGGCTTCCAGTCAAGGCACCATCCAGCTCCCTGCCATTTCTGCCTCTGAGCTGTGTGCAAGTTCAGGGTCTGCACAGGGAGGGACCCAGGGCACCCAGAGCAAGGGCATTGGGTGGTCCTGGGGTGCAAGGACTGAGGATCCACGAGCCACCTGCTAAGGGATCAGGCAGAGGTGTTCATCAAAATACTATCAGCTGAAAGGGGCACTGGCCATGAATGGCAGGTGCAGCCACGTGGGTGCAGACTCACTGGGTAGGGTGTGGTCCTGGAGAGGAGAGGCCTGATGTGAGCCCCAAACAGCTTTCTTTGAAGGTGGGAGGGCTTTCTTGATGAGGGAGGGGCTTGCTCTGAGGCTCCAGGAGGGTGAAAATAGAGGGAGGGACGTGGATTTCAGCTGGTCTTTAACAAAATGTTCCAACCAGAATGGCTTCTCAAAATGGGCTGGGAAGCCCAGTGGCGCCACAGCAGAGAAGGCAGGCCAGGGCACCCCTGCCTGGGGGGCTTGGTTCAGACCTGGTGGCAAATCCCAATGCCTGTGGGGGCCTGGCAGGTCCTAGAGATGCATGAAGCTGGCTGGGTAGGGACTAATGGGGCAGCACCTCCTTGCCTGGAGCCAAGCATGTGGGAGGTGGGCCTGGGGCTGCGGGACCTCCTGCTTTTCCAGGAGGCAGTGTGTCCCAGTGACTGAGGATGTGGGCTCTGTACCCTGGAGGCCAGGGTTTAAATGTCACTCTGCAAATACTTAGCTGTGTGACCTGGGCAAGTCACTTTGCCTTTCTGTGCCTCAGCTTCCCCATATGTGAAATGCAGATAATAATAAAACCTCAGAAGGTTTTTAGTTAGGAATGAATTAATCTGCGTAAAGCTCCTGGAATAGTGTCCGGCACATAGAAAGGGCTTCATGAATGCTAGCTATTTCTATCTTTGAGAAACCAGAAATCCAGATTTTTGTGTGAAATGTTTAGCTTTTAAAGCACTGGCAACAAAAAAATAAAAAAAACAAAGAACACCAGGTGAGCTAAAAACCCCAAGCATGCTAGTAGGCTGAACTTGGCCTGTGGGATGCCAGTCTGCAGTGTCTGGTCTGGATGGCATTGGGGTCCTTTGATGCTCTCAACAAGTAGGATTCCTCACCTCTTGGAGTCTCAGTTTTCTATTCTATAAAATGGGGCGGAACGACCATACCTCACAGGGGCAACCAGAAGAAATGGCTTGACAAGGTTCTGATCAGGGGTGAGGGGCTGTTGTTTCTGTCTCTGGAGCTGAGGTGGGGGTGGTGTGCCCTGGGGGCAGTGTGACAGTGGGTGGATACTGCTGACCCTGGGCTGTGCCAGAAGGCTCCCTAAAGAGGGCTGGGGTGGTTTTGCCAGCCTAGAGAGACGGTACAGACCTTCTTAATTTTCTTGATGTCACTGTCTTCGTCATTGGGCGTGACAGTCTGGGTGGACTGGATGCGCTCATTGTCCTTGAGCAGGGATGCGATCTGCAATAGAAACATAGGTCAGCTGCCAAGAGGGGCACTGGCTGGTGGAGGCCTCCCCACAGCGTGGTGAGCAAGCCCCCTGCCCCTTCCTCCCTGAAGACCAGTGATACCGCAGCTCAAGTCCCTTGCTCTGGGCGAGATCGTTGAGCCAGACATGCTCCAGACACTGTGAGACAGCACTGGACAGGTAACCATCCACATGGGTTCCGGGCAGCTGGGCTCTCACCCTGAGTGACCTTGTGCAAGGCCCTTCCGCTCTCTGGGGTGCAGGCACCCCATCTGTAATCTGCGAGCTTTGGCCTAAACCTGTGATCCTTCTCCCTACTCCCCAAACCATCAGTCCCTTTATTTTTGGACTTTCATTGCAGTAAAATAGACGTAACATAAAATTTACCATTTTAACCAGTTTTAAGTGTACAGTTGAGTGGCATGAAGGACATTCACACTGTCATGCAACCATCACCACCATCCGTCTCCAGAACTCTTTCGTCATCCCAAACTGAAACTCTGTGCCCACTGAACGATAACTCCTCATTCCTCCTCCCCCAGCCCCTGGCAACCACCCTTCTACTTCCTGTCTCTAGGAACTTGACTACTCCAGGGACCTCATCTAAGTAGAATCACACAATTTTTATCTTTTTGTGACTGGCTTATTTTATTAGCATACTGTCCTCAAGGTTCTTTGACGTCGTAGCCTGTGTCAGCATTTCCTTCCTTTTAAGGCTGAACAATAGTCTGTTGTAGGTGCACACTACACTTTGCTTATCCACTCATCCGTTGACGGACACTTGGATAGTCTCCTTATTTTTTCAAACAAAACCGTTCTGGAACCCCAGTATGAACCAGGTGGTTGAGGCGAAGGCCTGCTGACTTGGTTGCCCCTTCCTGGGGAGCCCTGAAGCACTTCTCCGACCGAGAGCCCACTTTGGGGCATAACCTGGAAACTGCCGGCCTAAAGAAAAGGGACAGCCCTTCGAACGAACATTTGAGCTGCCCTAACAAAAGTCTCCATTTGCCTGATTTGGGGATCAGAGAGGCCAGCACAGCAGCAAGAACAAACCCAAAAGGTGGTGCCCAAGAGAAGGGGGCCTTAAGTTGCACTGTGGCTGGAGGCCTCTGGTGGACAGGCCGGTCGTGCATCCTCTGCGGCAGGGCTCCTTGGCCCCCCACCCTGGCTGCGATTCTTTGCTGGGTGCCCTTTCTCAGGGCTTCCGCGGCACTGCGGACTTTCCTGTTGAGATGCTGGCATTGCTTACCCCCTCTCCCATCTTTGCTGGGAGCTTTGCGGGCAGGACTGTAGCTGTCTCCTTCACTAACATGCTCTTGGTGCCTAGCATGGGGCTGGGCACTCCACGCGTATTTGTTGGCTACATAAATAAGTGAACTAAAAAGGAATCAGAGCACAGCAGCCACAGAAACGTCAACCACAGGAGCACATTGCAGTCACTAAGCCCCGCACGTCTAAAGATAGTAGCTCAGGCGAATCTGTAAATGGGCCCTAGAGCCAGCACTGCTGCCTCTTCAGAGCATGTGGCTTTGTCCCCTCAAGGCCACTTGCTGAACCACAGAATCAATGGGCCCTCACAATTGAGCGAATGGGGCACTTTGAAAGCAAAATGGAACAGTTACCCGTTCTCCACTCCTGGGTTGCTAAAATTACCCCAGCCTATGCTTGAAGAGCGGCCTAAAATATCTAACGGAGAAATATTTAGTGCTGACATGGGCTTCCCCTCTGCCTTTTTTTTCTGTCGATTCTCTGAGAAATTTGCACATTGAAACAAAGCCCGATTCTTTGATCTGTACTCTAAAGGGCTGAGGGACACACGCACACGCAGGCTCTTGCAGAGCTCAGAAACGAGGATGCCCAGTCAACACCCTCCCCTCTGACCTGATGTTATCACCTCCGCGCCAGCGTGCTTTCTTTGCCACTTCTGGGATTTGCACGTGGTGCCCTTTCCTCTTTAGGATGGCGATGTGTGTGTGTGTGTGCGTGCGTGCATGTGCATAAGCAGTCTGTATTTAAAACTCATGGCACTCTTCTCAGAGAGAGGCACTCCAGGACATCTACTCAGCAGGGACCAGGGCAAAAATGAGATGCAATTAGGTCAGGCGCTCTGCTCCATGCAGGCAACACCTACAGCCGTGGAGTCTTTATTTAAGGATCAGGTTGGGCGAGCAAAGCTCTGGAGAGTTGTGAGCTGGAAGTCCCTAGAGAAGTCTTGGGCCCTGGCCCATCCCTGCTAGCATCCAGTGTCAGGATGGCGGCAGGAGCCCCAGTCCCCATGAGCTCACAGAGGCAGCCTTTCTCTAATCCTGGCACGTTCTTTCTGGAGAGGGATTTGCTTTGGACCCTGGTTGGCTTGGTTGATGTCCCGGGCCTGCTCAGTTGACCCTTGTCAACGATGGCCATGGAAAGGTGGGACTTTGGCTCATGGCCCAACTCGCCAGCTAGAGTCCAGCTCTGGCTGCCCAACCCGGCTCTCTGCGGGTGTCTTGACTGGTCCCTGCCCACTGGGCACCCTGCAGTCTGGTTTTCTTGGTGAATCAGAAGCAAACCCTCCTTTGCCACACTCCTTTGAAGCACTGTGCCTTGGCTCCTGCCCCACCCAACTTCCCTCTCTGGAGATAGTGTCTTTAATCCAGAATGCATTTAGCTAGTGCACTAACTGATGACGGAATTAATCCAGGTCTTTTTCTTTTTGCTAGCAGCCAAGGTTTTGAGAAAGATCTCTGTATTTCCTGCTTTTCTAACAGCTGCTGTACAACTCAGTTCTTTCTCCTTCCTTCTTGATTCCGTCTGGCTTCTTCCAAGCCCAAGAGGTGCCCATCCCTGTCTCCATTTGTGCTGACCCTGTCAGCATGTCCTGATGGGGTCTCTGTGGTGGGCACCATGCTGGGCACTGGTGAGATGCAGCTGGAGGTGGATAAGTTAGATCCCTTGCTCTGGAGGAGCTTCCAGTCAGACACCCACAGAGGTAACTTATAATCCAACAAGGCAAGGCTAGAACAGAGGTGTGCACCTACTGCAGTGGGAGGGTCTCACCACGGAAGTGGCAAGGGCTACCCAGAAGAGGTTTTGAAGGACAAATAGGAGCCCAACAGGTGGGCTATGGAATGGAGGGAATTGGAGCAGAGAGGATGGTGAGAACAAAAGCACAGAGTATCATAGGGTGTTGAGTGCAGGGCAGCAGGAGTGGGGATGGCAGGAGGAAAGATGAGAAGCCGGACTGATAGCATGGAGGGTGGGCCCTGGGGAGGGGCTGCGTGGGGAGGGGTCAGGGCTGCACTCTCCTACTGCCCCCAGAGCAATCTCCTCATTGGCCTATTTTACGGAGTGGGCTCCATGTCAAAGTTGGTTTGCAAAACTGATTCCGTGGCTAAATTTTTATTTTAAACCCTGAATTAAAGATCTCTGGAGTTTCTTCCAGAGTCAGCCTTCCAGGATTCTGAGTGCTTCCAAACCAGTAAAATATTACGACTATCTCTAAACTCGTATCCTGCCTTTAGGACCTGACTGAGCTCTCCAAATTACTCCCAATCATAACTGGGAGAAACACAGTTATTAAAACAATGAAATGGTGCCAAGTGAGCATTCTAGAGGAGGGGAGGATTCTTCTCAAGGGGACAGGCTCCCTGTGTTTGAGGTGGACCTTGGAGCTTTCTGGTTACGAAAGATGAGGCCTGATAGGGTGGTTTAGAGGGGAGAGAAGAGACTAAGACAGAGGTGGATAGTTTTGCTTAATCAAGTTTTGTGCAGACTTTGGATGTGATCTCCTGTTACCCCTAGGGAGAGATGGCTAGAAGCGGGGGCTACAGGGTTGGGGAGCATAGAGGGAGTGGAAGCAGGGCTGGCCTCCTAGATCTATGACCTGTGCAGAGCCCCAGGCCCCAGAAGGGACCGATACTTGGTTTAAGGTTCTGCTGTTGCTGCCTTGAAATTCTTAGGGGCCCTGCATTTGCATTTTGCACTGGGCCCTGCAAATTATGTAGCTCATCCTGAAAAAACATGCAGACAACGGTATATTGGTAAATGCTTAATGACCAGCTCCCTGAAAGAAAAACTGACTAGAAGCAATTGCCAACTTCCATGGTGTAAACATTCCTACCTTGGCCCACTGTAAGCTACCAAAGGTTGAGTAACTAGCTTGTAAAATTCTTGAAAACTTAACAATTGGCCCTTGCAGGCTGGTATGAGCCAGCTCCAGCACAACCCTGGATGCAGGGCCATAACTTGATGTCTTGGTAGTAAAAAGATTATGAACGACACCACCACCAACAAAATGGCATGTGGGAGTGCACGGAGAGAGGACAATGTGAGCAGAGGAGGTCAGTGAGAAATCCTTTAGCAGGAGAGGCTGAGAGACACAAGGACAGGGACATCTTCTACTCAGTTCTAAGCTGTTTCCTACTTCAGTAGTGGAAGCCCTGCTGTATTATACGCAGACCTTTTGGGAAGTCTGTTACATACAACAGCCTGTGCCAGGGGCTTGGGGGCTGAAAGAGGAGCCTCAGTTGGGTAGTCAGGGCTTTCCCGGATACTCTGGTCCTCCTCCGTGGACAGGGCAGGATCATACTTCCCAGTCCCCTGAAGTTGGGTGTGGTCATGTGACTTGACTGCCCAATGCAATGTGAGCAGAGATGTCAGGCATCATTTACCACGTTCCTTCTCTGCCATGGGACTGGTGAATTTCCTGATGGCAGGAGCCCCACCAGCCTGCATCCCTGACTCTGACTGAGAATGTTGCGGAGCAGAACCCACACTGGACACACAGTGTGAGTGAGAAAGCAATCTTTGTTGTTTTAAGCCATTAAGGTTTGGGGCTGGTTTGTCATTGCAGCATAATCTAGCTCATCCTGACAGATACATGTAGTGACCACCCAGGAGATAAAGAGCAGTAAGGACTGAGTAGAGACAGCTGTTGTGGGAAGTGATGTGGGAAGTCAGGAGGGCAGAATTTGGAAGCGAGAGGTGGCCAGGAGAAGGTAAGCCCCCTGTAAATCCTCAGGGATATGTGGGATGGGGCCTGAGGAATTTTATTTGGCTATCAGAGGAAAGGTGGACCCTGAGAGCCCGGGATCATCCAGGAGACACAGTCATTCCCTGACAGGCACCCCTTATCAGGCCTGTCTCCTCAGCGGGAAGGAATAAGTTGCAGGGCAGGCACAGGCCAAAGATCTGGAGCCAGGACATCCGTTTGAGCCTGGACTCCAGGGATCCTGGAGTGACCTCGGGTAAGTCCCTTCCTCTTCTATGGACCTCAGTGTCTTCAGATCACTCCCAGCTCTGATGTTCTAAGATGCGCTGTCTTTGTCACTGGGGTCACTTGTCACTTACTTGGCTTCTCAGTGCCTCCTGCTCCCTGATGGCCTACTTCCTGGGAAATGGGCTCTGTTTCCACTTTCCTGGAGCCATCCAGAGCAAACTGGTGCCCTCTGCCCTGCAGGGTGTGTGTGTGTGAGAGAGAGAGCTAGAGAGCGAGCGAGCGAGAGAGCCTACCGCCAGAAAGCCTTACCGAAGTGGTCTTTCTTTCAAAGTCTTTAAAAAAATCTCTTGCCCTGGAGGCTAACGCGTTCAACTGGAAGCATTGCTCCAAATTCCCACCGAATGGGCTTCTGCTGCCACTCTGACAATGCCTGTGTGTGCACACACAAGCATGCACGTGCTCACTCACAACTGACCTGCTTTGTGCTCCCCAGCACCAGAGGGGGCTCTGCCCTTTGCACCCACCCCTTCTCTGGCCTACACACCCGGAAGCTTTTAAGGCTACATGCAACATGAACCTACACTCACTTTGGCCATAAAATGACTCACTTTCTGACTTGGGATCACACAGAAAGCTCTATTATAGCACCAATCACTCTACCACAATCAGACCCTAAGGGCAGAAACTTCCACCTCTCTAGTGCCTACCACAGAGCCTCACGTCCATTCAAACACCAAGCCCTTTCTGAGGAGTTACTGTGACCCAGGCCTAAGGGAGAGAGTGATAAAGGACACAGCTCTGCCCCCATGGAGTCCCCGCTGCATCGGGGGGTGGGGGGTGGGGGGATGGGGTGGGGCGGTAGCTGGCTCTGAGGTGGCATGATGAGGGTGCGGAAGTGGAGGAGCAGGGAGTACACTCTGGGGTGGGAGTCCCCGGGAGGAGGCATTTGAACTTGGGAGGATTTCACCAGGCAGGGAAGTATGGTGGTGACAAGGGCATTCCAAACAGGAGCACTAGCATGTGCAAAGGCCAAGAGATGCACAGTTCACAGCTATGGAGCTGTCCCTGGAGCCTGGAGCTCCAGCTGACTGGAGAGGAGAAGCCTGGGGAGGAGGATGAGGCAGTGGTAAGTGGTCTTAGGCATTTAGTAAATGAGTGAGTGAACGAACAAATGACACCTGGACACCCTTGATCATGAAGCTAATAACTTGGTACTGGGGCTAGACCTCTGGTCACTTACAGGGGCTCAACTTGGATTCAGGGATGTGTGGTGGGCTAGTATAGAACCCAGGGATTGTCTCTGGAGTGTGAGCCCAGAATGAACCAGGTGGTTTAGAGATGGGACAAGCCCCTATCCCCAGAGCTGTGCAGGAAGAGGCTCTGAGTAGAGTAGAAAGACTGGCAAGCAGATAGGCAGACCTGGGCTCCAGCCCCGGCTCTGCCACCTCCAGCTGTGTGAGCTTGGACGGGTGACTTGAGCTCTCTGAGCCTGATTCCTCATGTAAAACACAGGTGGTTGATCTTCTCAGGATGGCTGTGGGGATTGACTAAGGAAGCATATCTGAAGGTGCCTGGTGTGGGGCTAGAGGATGTGTGTTGAATCTGAAATTTTTGTTGAAACTGAAGTTCCAAGTTGATGTGTTTTGTAAGTGACATCTGATGGCACAGTGGAGCATGCCTCAGGGGCTTGGAGACTTGGCTCCCATGTGGTCCTGCCTCCCGTTCCCCACACCCTAGGACCCATGACCACTGCTACCCTCTGTCTGGGAGGCAACTGGAGGAGACTCCAGTCCCACCGTCACTCTCCACCCTCTGCAGGGGTCACAGTGCCTGGTGCATTAGGGGGCTGACTTGCCAGGGGCTTCTTGCCCACCCCTAATCTAGGTATCAAGTGCCTCATGGCACAGAGGTTAGGGGAGGTTGGAGGTTGAAGTTGGGGGTCACCTGTCTGCCATGGGGAGGTGGGCCGTGGGAAGGGGAGATAGACTTCGCGACTCTGGCCAGGGCTTTGAGTTTTCACTTTGCATTGGGCCCTGCAAATTATGTAGCTGACCCTGATTACAGGAAGCTGCCTTTTAATTTTTGTGTCCTCAGCTCAGAGTCCACAGTCCTTGTGTGATGTGGCCAGATGGTTCTGAGCACACTGGTGAGGTGGGGGGTGAGAGGCAATCAGATCATTCTGTGCTGAGGTGGAGAGCTGGTGAGGGGTGGCTAAGGGGCCTGAAGCCAGCGCTTCCCAAGCTTTAATGTGAATGGGAATCACCTGGGATGCTGTTAAAGTGCAGATTCTGATTCAGGGGGGCTGGGGTGGGGCCTGAGATTCTGCATTTCTAATGAGCTCCTGCTGAGGCTGCTGCTGCTGCTTCATGTACCACACTTTGAGCAGAAGTTCTAGAAAGCTTACCCTAGTAACAGCGTGGCTCCAGACGCCTGGTAAGCCCCAGTAGGAGCTCTTACAGTGGCAGGCAGAGGGAGGGGGGACCGCCCTGGAGCTAAGCTAGGAGCCCACACTCTAATGATGTACCAGGGACACTGTGCCCCAGGGCCTTGGGCTGATAATGTAGAAGGCTTAGGCAATGTGGACGTAGGCAGAGAAACTTGGAACTTGCCCATAAATAGTCTCACTCAATCCTCACAGCCTTGTCAGTTAAGTGTAAAAGGCCCATAAGAAATAGAGGCACAGGGAGGTTGGGAGGACTTGCTCCACGCTGCAGGTGTTAAGTGGCAGAGGTGGGATATGAACCCAGATCTGACAACAGGACCTTCCCACTCTGCCAGCATCACTGATTTTAAGTTTGGAGGCTGGCGTTGCTATAGCTGGGAGCTGGTCTCCCTGGCCATCATGTGCCCCCTTGATCCTGCAGGAGCCCGGGGTGTGAGGTGTTGGGTCTGGGGCCTGGGTCCCCAGCCAGCTTCCTCCATGCCCCTGGCCAGCAGTCACCTCCGCCTTTAGCCTCTCGATCTCGATCTCCCCGTCCTCGATCTGCTGCCGTAGCTGCTTGGCCACAGTCTTCTCCGTCTCCACGATCTGCAGCAGGTGCAGGTACTTCTGCATCAGCGCTTCATGCTCTGTGGCCAGGGTCCTGTAGCTGTGGACAGACGGACATGGTGGGTGAGACCCTGCATCCTTGTCCCTCAGAGATCCAACCAGAAGTGGGGCTCCCCCACTGACTGCACTTAGGGGAAGGTCCCAACTCCCAGACACAGTGCCCGGGGGCTTGACCAGGCTGCTGTGCTGTTACTGATCACTCCGGTCCCTTCTCCAACTCTCGTCTCACACTCGGACCTCTGGTTCCTCTAACTGGTCCTATTCTCCCCCCTCCCCCACCTCCTCCTGGGCCTTTGCACAGAGAGATCTTCTGTCTGAAACATGCGTTCTCCCTCTTTCTTTCCTTGGGTTAGCTCCATCCTCTTTCCAAGGCTAGCTCTGGGTCTCAGTGGAAATACCGTCTCCACAAAGCCTTCTCTGCCCTCCCCCCAGACTGTGTGGAGTGTTCTCACAGTACCTCAGGCTTCTAACACCATAGCACTGGCCAGACTGATTAGGCAGTGTCCAGTTCCTTATCCGTCTGCCCACAAGACCCTGCATTCTCTGAGAGCAGGGGCCACACCTCTGCTGTTTGCTCGTGTCTTCCCAGGACCAAGCACAGTGTCTGGCCCTAGACGGTGCTCATTGAACACGTTGCATGGATGGATGGCTCAATGGATGGATGTGTCAGGCCCCTCAGGATAAACAGAGGAGAGAGAGGCATATAATATTTCACTGTCTGGGAGATATCTGAAGAATCTGCAGAGTATACCTGGGTGCCAAATTGTGTGCTACAGGCTGTCAGAATTCAGGAGGGGGCCAGCAACAAGGACCTGTAATCAGGGAAGACTTCCTGGAATAGCCCGTCCCCCTCCCCCTGGAATTGGAAGTCAGGCCTTCCCATTCACGGGCAGCCTCAGGTAGAAGGCTTGTGTTGAGGGGTAATTGGCAATGGGGCTGGATGGTTAGGTGGGGCCAGATCAGAAAGTACCCCAAAGAATAAGCAGAGAGTACAAGAAGTAGCCCCAGCATTTGTGTAAATTAACATGTCTCATATTTGCAAGGCATCGCAGCTGGGGGGAGGGCGGGAAGGTGGGACTTGGAAGACTAGCCAGGCCAGGGAGGTGGAATGACTTGCCTAACTAAGGTCACGGGCCTCTGAAGGTGGGACTGTTCCCTGCACTCCAGGCCTGGGCCTCTCCCTGACCCCCCACAGCACCAGCAGGGTCATTCCACAGTGTCAGAGCTGGAGAAAAACCTGATTCCATAAAGGGAGTCCAGCCTCAAAGGGCAGAGAGGCTCAGACAGCAGACCCCAGCATTGCAGGGGAAGGAGCCCATCTGGGCAGAAGACTTCAAAGGCAGCCACCAGCTTGGAGGGAAGGTTTAGAGGGCTCTGGGAATGTCATAAGGAGGTCTGGGGCCCTCGGCCCTTGGTTCTCTCTCTCCCTGACCCCCACTTCCTCCTCCCTTTTGCTTTAGCCCAGGACCACCTCATAGGACCACCTCAGAAGCCTGGGACCACCTCATAGGACCACCTCAGAAGCCCGGGACCACCTCATAGGACCACCTCAGAAGTCCATGACCACCTCATAGGACCACCTCAGAAGCCTGGGACCACCTCATAGGACCACCTCAGAAGCCTGGGACCACCTCATAGGACCACCTCAGAAGCCTGGGACCACCTCATAGGACCACCTCAGAAGTCCACGACCACCTCATAGGACTACCTGAGAAGCCTGGGACCACTTGAGAAGCCCAGGACCACCTCATAGGACAACTTGAGAAGCATGGGATCACCTCAGAAGCCTGGGACCACCTCACAGGACTACCTCAGAAGCGTGGGACTACCTCATAGGACTACCTCAGAAGCCTGGGACCACCTCAGAAGCCTGGGACCACCTCATAGGACTCATAGGCTCAGAAGCACCCCCTCCACCCTTCTCTGTCCCTACCCTCAGTTTCCTCCTCACCTTTGCCCCTCCTCCCTCCTACCTGGCAAAGTCCCATTTCTGGGTCAGTCATACATCTCCCTTCTCAGCAGGGGAGAGCTCCAGCTGAGGAGCCCTCCAACCCCCTTGGGGCCTTGAGACGTTTCAGGTGTCCCTGTCAGCTGCCTGCCCTCTTCAACCTCATTCCTCACCACTCCCTTTCCCTCCCTGTAGCGATCCTGTTCCTCCTTCACTGCCTGTATTATGCATTATGCTGTTCTGTCACTTCCTGCCAGCCCCAGCCCACCCACCCTCATCCTACCTCGTGTGTGCTGTCCTGGCTGAGGCTCCATGCTCTGATCCAGTCTGCCTGGGCTCAGCCCCAGCTCCCACACCCACCAGCTGAGGGACCTCGGACAGGTCCTTTCACCTCTCTGTGCCTCAGTATGTTCACCCATAAAATGGAGGTGATGACAGTCCCCACCTCACAGAGTTGCTGTGAGGATTAAATTATTGACACACATGTTGTGCAGTGCCCCACATGGAGCACATGATGTGTGCCAGTTAGCTATAATATTACAATTTCCCTTCCTTCCCAGAGGGCAAAGGCCCTTCTCATCCCCAGCCCCTGCCCAAGCCCAGGGCCCACTCCTGACCTCTCCTCACGATCGCTATGTTTCACATTCTGCCTCTCTCTTCTCTATTAGCAACCACCCTGCTCCATCGGCTCCTTCTCCTCACCGTATAAAAAGCCTCAAGCCGCTCCCCATTTAGGACAAAACCAAGCCCTCCCTCTGTCTTCCCTCTCCCTCCAGCTCCTACCTCATCTTTTCCACATTTGCAGGGAGCTTTGCTGAAAGAGCAGCCTGTACTCACCATCCCCTTTGTCTTTCCTCCCCTTTGCTCCTCTGCCGGTGGCAGTCTGGTGTTTGTCCCCAGCCCCCATGAGAACCGGGTCCCTCTCTGGGATCACCAACTATCTCCCACTTGCCAAGTCAAGGGGACATTTTTCAGTCTGGCATCTTCTGACATGACCTTCCAAGTACCCTGGATGTGGCTAGTCAGTGGGGTGCCAGGTTAGACATTGGCTTTTGTCACAGACTCAGGAGCTGTGACACACAGCAATCTAAGCCCCTGTGACCCTTATGGCAAAGTAGCTTTTTTTCCCCCACAATAATAGCTTCCCTATAAGCCCCAGGTTTGAGGTGAGGACCCCAGGAGGCTATGGGTGGGAAAGAGCTTTGCAACATGAAAAGGAGCTCTACCAAGGACACGGTGGGCCTGAAGAGATTAGAGAGCCTGGCCCTGACAGTGTCGGAGAACGGGGCTGACTCCAGCAGTGCCCTGAAGGTGGGAGGGCGAGGCTGGCAGACTTGGCAGGAGTCCGGGCCTGGGGACAGCTGGAGCAAAGGGAGGACAGTGTACCTGGAGCATGTGCCTGGGGAAAACACCAGAAATCAAAGCTACAATTGTTTCTCCCCTACCTGCTTCTAAAGATAAATAACACGCTCTGAGAGAGACTTCTTGGGTTTGCGATTCTATCTGATTAAAATGAGGAGTTTGTGTTTCTCTTATTAAAATAAATTTTAACTAGAACATCAGGTTTTAAAGTTTTCCAACATCCCAAGAGGCTTAATTGTCTTTACTTGCAGAGGAAATTCAGCTGAGAGCACGAAGGAGCGTTTCACACCACTGCCCCTCCCCCTACTCCAGGGCTGTGAAAACACAGAGAAGTCATCAGTCTGTTCCTAGTGATGGCACTCGCTTTAGTGCTCTGAGACCAGGGGCCAGAGTCTTATCTACAGAATGATGTGGGCTGCTTTTTCCTCCCTCTCTTCCCTCCCTCCCTACCTTCCATCCAATACAAATTTACTGAGCACCTCTTCGTGCAGCACTGTCTTTATACGCTCATGGACTCTCAGAGCTAGAAGGGAACTCAGGAATCATGAAAGGCCAATTGTTTCATCTTATAAATGAGGAAACTGAGGCCCAGAGAGGGGAAGTGGCTTGCCCCAAACAAGTCAATGAGTGTCAAAGCTGGAGCTGGCATTAGGCTCCAGTCCCTGATGACGCAAGTCTACACTCTCCCACGTGACTGGCTAATTTGGCACATAGTTCTTCTCCGTGAAATGTAGACGATAAGCCACACTCAGTGTTACATTGTATACACTGCTGTAAATACACATACCACAGAGGGATCCCATAATACCAGAATATTATACATACAGTATGAGAGTATACTGTGTCTTTACACGCTATTCATAGACGAAGCTGCTTATTTTTGTATATAGAGTGCATCTATTATGTATCCGTAAATAAAAGCTAAATTAGGCATATGCAAAAATACTTAATATGGCTGTGGAAGAGAGCCAGTCCCTTTCTTGACACACACACACACACACTCACACATGCACACTCACATACACTTGCGATGTATGAGGTCTGAGATTAAATAAAGCTCATAGTCTGCGGTTTCCCATTTAGTTGCACGGCCGGCTCCCCAGAGAAGACCCTGTGGCCTGTGCTGGCCCAGGAGCTGCCCAGCACGGCCGGCTCCCCAGAGAAGACCCTGTGGCCTGTGCTGGCCCAGGAGCTGCCCAGCACGGCCGGCTCCCCAGAGAAGACCCTGTGGCCTGTGCTGGCCCAGGAGCTGCCCAGCACGGCCGGCCTGGACAGTTCGGCGAGGATGGCTATTCTAGGGAAGGGGCTCAGCTTCCCTCATCAGTGACCGTCACGGTGCCTCCCTGCAGGCTGAAAGGTGCACACTCCTCTGAGGCCAGCCAGTTGACTCAGCCCCCAGGGTTTGGCAAGGGAAGGAAACCCTCAGCATGTCCAACTGGCAGGTGCCCCTGGCTTCCAGAAGGATGAGGAGTTCGGAGAGGTCTCTGTTCAAAGGTACGTGGTGTCAATTTGCCTGACTGGTCCTCTTCGGGGGAGGGCAGGGTTCTAGTTGAATCTGCCTTACCTGGGAGTCACAGACTGCTAAGCTGGGAGCCAGGATCTGGGGCCCCCCAAGCTCCACTCAGGTGCCCACCCTCTGTGTGCCACTGGGCTCACTGTCCACATCCGTCAAATGGGGCTGCAGGGACCCCTCACTGGATTGTCATAAGGAGCAAACAGCACGCCATGTGAAAGAGCCTCACAGACTCTAGGGGACTGTGCAGTAGACAGAGGTACCCTTGGATGGGGACATGCTTTGCCAGGCTGCGAGAGGCCCGAGAGGCCCAGGCAAGCTGGGTAGGACTTGTCTCTCAGCTGATTATTATTTTATTGGCTACTTGGAGCCAATCTTCAATTTAGTGAGTTGCTTAAAGAATTATTGTCCTCTCTCTGTGGCAGGCAGAATTCTAAGATAGCCCCAAGCTTTCCTGCCCCGCCCTGGTTTGCAAGCCCTGTATTATCCCCAGGATGATAAATATGCTGGGTTTTTATTCCTGTTAGTAGGGTATGTTATACGGCCCAGCTGACCTCAAGACAGGGAGACTGTCTAAGGTGAGGCTGACCTAATCACAGGAGCCTTGTAACATGGAGTTTTCTCTGGCGGGTCATGTAAGGGAAGGTCAGAAATTTGGGGCTGGAGAAAGATTCAACGTGCTGTTGTTGGCTTGAGGATGGATGGGACCACAAAGCAAGGAACGCAGGTGGCCTGTTGGTGCCAAGAGCCTCCCTTGGCTGACGGCCAGCAAGGAAAACGGAGACTTCAGTCCCACGAGGAAGTGAATCTTCCAGCAGGAATAAGCCTGGAAGCAGAGACTTCTCCAGAACCTCGAGGTAAGAGCCCAGCCTGGCTGATTCCTTGATTTCAGCCTGTGAGACCCTGAACAGAGACTGTAGCCGAGCCCAGACTTCTGATCTACAGAACTGAGAGAAAGCCAGTGGGTGTTACTTTAAGCTGCTAAGTTTGTGGTCATTTGTTCTGCAGCAATAGAGAACTAAAATATTTTCTCTAATACACATGATTCGCTTTTAAAATTTGAGCTTCAATGCACATATGATGGAGAGCACAGACCTTGAATGCACAGTTTGATTGGCTTTGATAAATCGTGCGTCCTAATCAAGCTCAAGAAAATTCCCATCAATCAGAAAGTTTCCTTGTGCCCCTTCCAAGCCACTCCCCACCCCAGGAGCAACTAGTTTTTGGGTTTCCATCACTACAGGTTAGTTTTGCCTGTTTTAGAATTTCAAGTAACTGGAATCAACATGTACTGTTTTTGCGCCTGGCTTTTTTCACCCAGAGCATTGACTTTGAAACACAGTTACTCATGTTTGTAGCAGGTTCCTTTTGATTGCTGTTTGCATTCCGTTCCGTTGTGTGGATATACCGCAGTTCCTTTATACATCTGCCTGTTGATGGACGCTTGGCTTTTTCTAGTTTTTGGCCTATTGTGCATAAAGCTGCTAAGGACATCTGCATTACAAGGCTTTTTGTGGACATTTCTCATTTCTCTTAGGTAAATACAAAGAAGTGGAATTGCTGGGTCATAGAGCAGGTGTATGTTTAACTTTTTTTTTTAAAGATTGGCACCTGAGCTAACATCTGTTGCCAATCTTCTTCTTCTTTTTTTTTTTCTGCCCAAAGCCCTCCAGTACATAGTTGTATATTCTAGTCGTAGATCCTTCTAGTTCTTCTACGTGGGACACTGCCTCAGCATGGGTTGATGAGCAGTGCCATGTCCATGCCCATGGTCTGAACAGGCGAAACCCCAGCCACTGAAGATGAGTGCACGAACTTAACCGCTTGGCCATGGGGCCGGTCCCTATGTTTAACTTACTAAGCAACTGCCTAACAATTTTCCAAAGTGGTTGAACAATTCTATGCTCCCACCAGCATGCTGTGAGCATTATGGCTGCTCCACCCCCTCTCCAACATTTGGTACTGTTGGTCTTTATCATTTTAGCTATTCTAGACTTTATAGGTAGTGGTATCTCATTGTCTCTAGAAAGTTTTGTGTTAATTGATTTTCTAAATCAATGTTGTCCTGGTTATCAGGATGTATAACAAATTAACATTCTATAATTCAACACTTACAAAGTCCCTTCACATAAATAATTTCCTTTGGTTCTCAAAACAACCCTGGTATTTTGCTTTCACTTTAGTGTTGGGGAGACTGAGGTCCCTCTGCTCTCCCTGAACCTGGGTTCTTCCCCACTTGATTCCATCCTCCACAACACCAGCCATTTCTACTCCAAATCATAGCTCTGATCATGTTACTCTCCTGGCATAAAACCTTCGATGGCTCCCCACAGTTTACAGAGGAGAGGTCAAACATCTCAGCTAGGTATTCAAGGCCAGTCTGGCTGGTTCAGTCCAACATCCAACCTCATCTGCCTTCTGACACCCAAACTTTGTCTCTTCATTACTCTTGGAATTCTCTTTCCTGTATCAGTGGCCTTATTTAAGGCTTTTTGGGGTGTGGTGGCAGCTGAAGTACTCATATCTAAACCTACTAAATACGCCCTAGTCCTCCTACTTAGGTCAAATGTCTCCCTATTTCCAGCTTCCCCCATTTCCCTGCAGATGGAAGTAACGTCTCTCTCTCATGGTTCTTTGTACTTAACACAGCCTTCCTGCACCAGAGCTATATGTGCACACGTCTAACGTCTTCCTGACTGGACTGTGATGTCCCTAGGGGAGTCACTTCCCTGTCCACGCAACACCACACTCAGAGCCTGACTCTACTGGTTCATTGTGAGAACCTGGTCTCCACAGCTAGACTGGACACCCCTTGAGGACAGGGATGGAGATGGCTTAACAAAAGGGCCAAGGTCAGTGCTATGGCCACAACAAGGGGGTTCTGGTCAGTTGGCTTGACCCAAGCCTCGAGGAAGGGCCCTGGATCCATCTACCCACCCATCCAGCCAGCCAGCCATCCACCTACCCACCCATTCACCCACCCATCCAGCCATCCATCCATCCATCCATCCACCCATCCATCCATCCACCCATCCACCCACCCACCCACCCATCCACCCATCCACCCATCCATCCACCCATCAACCCATCCACCCATCCACCCATCCACCCATCCATCCATCCAGCCAGCCAGCCTTCCCTCATCCACAAATACTTTAAACACTCACCCATTTATCATTAATCCACCCTCCATTCATCTTCCTTATATAAACTCAAAATCCAATCTTGCATCCATCATCTATCTACTCATTCATCCCTTCATTCTTCCAACCCACATTTACTGAGCACTTGTCTATGCATTTATCAGGCCCTGGGGATGCAAAGAATTGCACTTGTTTCATGTCCCCAGGAGCTTATATTTTACAGGGAGGTAGACACAGAAATGCACTGTATCCACTAAGCCAGAAAGATCTACTGCTTAGAGAGGTGAGTCTGGGTGTCCCTTTCCAGCCCTGCTGGAGGACTGTTAGCTCTGGGGCCATAGCCCAGTCCACGAGCCCATTATTTCCCCAGGAGCCATCAAGACTCCATCCAGTAGGGAGCCTCCATTTTTTCTGCAGCATATACTGTCTTTTGCTTTTCTGCCCCTGGCCCAGCGAGACTTCCTCCACAGAGGGGCACACACTGTTGGGAATGAGGGGAGGAGTGGGTCTAGAATCCCTGAATATCAAAGCTCAGAGAGGTTTAGAGAGTTTCAGTCTATAGATGAGAAAATTGAGGCCCCAAGAAAAGATAGGACTAGTTCATGGTCATCCAGCAAATTAGTGGCTGCATCTGGGTTAGACCCCTGGAGCCTTAGACTTTGGTAGTCATAAAACCCTTTAATCCAAAAAAATCATACTCACTTCCCCTAATGAAAAAAAGAAGCTAGTCTGGTTGAAGTGGGTGGGAGGCTCAATGCTGCTCCCCACGGCCTCTCGTTCCCCAGCTCCCCAGGGAGGCACAGACTCAGAGTTGCAGGGCCCTAAAGGTGGACCCTGTCCAGCTTTCATTCTCCCCTCCTCTCCTCCTTTGCCATGCCCTTCCTGGGGTTGGGGTTTGCTCAAAACAGGGCCCTTGGGTTCAGGCCCTCCTGCCTGGACTGTGGGGTTATGGGGGACATACCTGGCATGAGCGATGGCTGCCACCCACTCGTCACAATCCTTCGCATCTTCTGTCCTCAGCTCCAAGGCTTTCTGGTTCTCATGGCTGAAGTTAACCGTGAAATAATGCTGCACCAAGAAGAAGACATCTCCGATTACCAGGGGGTCCATGGAACCAGCAGCGTCTCTTGCTATCAATCTAGCCATTTTGCAAAGCGCTTGTTGCCACATCAGCTAGGCACAGTTGCATTATTTGTAATCATCAGAATGCCATTCTATTTAGCAGTTTCCGACTCTCGATTAAGGCAGCCTTTGTGTAGTGTAACAGAACCTATGCTTAGGATTTTGTAAGAAGAAAGCAAACCCCACAAAGCCGTATTCGCCAACAAATTGTGAAAAAGCCAGTTTCAAACCATCAGGTATGCTAGAAAGAAGTCAGGGGAACTCACTAGGAGAGCAGCCCCTTTGGGAACCGGGTGCCAATTCAGTGCAGGAGGCATTTAATTCACTCCACAAAAATTTGCTAAGTGCTCTTCTAGGTCCTGGGGTTAGAGCAATGAACTGGCAGACATGGGCCCCAGGAGAGCCCACTGGAAGCCACCTCTGTGTCGGGTGCAGGTGGCTGACTTACAGCTGGGTCAACCGCAGGGCCTGCCCCCTGAGCTCCCAAGGAAGCAGAGGAGCCAACGGTAGGCACATGTCTGTAATATTGTATACGAGTGAATTCCCATGAAGTTCTTAGAACAACACCTGAAACATCAGCAATGTGTCTGCTACAGTTAATTCAGGGCAATGATCATTACTGTAATGGAGGTAGGGAAAAAGGCCCGTGGGGGCACAGAGGAAGCCACCCACTGATTCAGCCCAGGGAAAGCGGGAGGGCTTTCCCAGAGGATGGGGTGTTGGTCCAGGTTTTCAGTCAGATGGAAGAGCGTGGGAGTAGCATGGATGTTGGGGACACAGACGTGTTCAGGGGGTGGGAGGGGCCTATATAGCAGGAACAGGGATGCCAGAGGCAAGGCTGGGCAGGTGGACAGGGCCTGGGTGGTGGAACTGAGCAGAGGGATGGGGTGGGAGGAGAGAGCCAGAAGGACAACTCCCAGGCTTCTGGCTTGAGCAACTAGGTGGATGGAGAGCATTGGCAGGATAAAGGGCAGGTCTTAGGGGGTCAGGGATAGGGTAGGGGGATGGACATGCAGACTGTGCATGCTTGTAGGCCGCATTCTCCAGGCTGAAGATAGGGGCTGAGGGTGCCAGCCTCAGGGCGGAGAGGAAAGCAGGGAAAGAGGTCAGTCAGAGCGGGTGGACAAGCCAAGTGCTGGGGACCCAACCTGGGGAAGTCCCCTGAAGCTGCTCTTGGTGAAACCAGGAGGAGAGAGGCAGGCAGGGGTCGGGCAGAGAGCACCCTCAAGCCTGTCCATTCAGAAGATGCGCCGCAGCTGATGGAGTGGCGCTGTCAGAGAGAGTGCTGTCCTCCATCCCTGCATCCCTCGGTGCCTGGGCAGCAGGGAGTGCAGCACAAGGCACGGAACGTAAACTATTTTTAGCTTCTATGACATTTATTGTATTTCTGTTAATTGTCAGTCTCGGTGGCAGCCAGGGTGCGTGCGTGTGTGCGTGTGCATGCGTGTTGTCACAGAGTCACTGTCTCTCACTTGTTTCCTAGGAAACAGATAACTGGGGCTGTAGAATGAAATGTCAGCTGCAGCCTTACATAGCTGAATTTGGAAGGGCCCAGTGGGCACTCCTCCCCTTCGAGAAGGAAGCAGGTTAAAAACAGAGCTGCAGGTCGCTATCTAGCACTTTCCCCATCTCTTGAGAGACAAGCACACAAATGCTTGTCTCCTGTGATCTCATTTATTCCCATAGTCACCAAGTAGAACAGGTATCACTATCTGTTTTACAGTTCTACAGGATGAACTTGAGGCTCAGAGAAGTGAAGCCACTTCCCCGAGGCCACACAGCTAGAAAACAGAGGAGCCAGGATAACGTACCTTCACTGGGCACCATTCAGGCCCTGGGCTGGGCACTGGGATATAAAGATGAAAAAGGGAAGGTCCCACCTCAAAGGCAGGAGAGACTTGGGGTCCTAACTCGTAAGGAAGGCACTCTCAGCTACACAGGCACAGTGAGTTGCTGGGTCCCCTTAGAGCGCCAGGGGGATGTCCCAGAGCTGGATGGGCCCACTGGTGGGGTCAGGCCGAGTTCTCAGGGCAGGAGTGGTTTCCTTCCCCACTGGGCTGCTGGGGGACCCAGAGCTCTCATTCTGGGGAGGAGCCGGCATTGGTAGAGACCCCTGGGTCTGGCCCCTCAGAACTGCAGGGAGTGATGGGCTCGGCCCCTCACTCTCAACAGAGGCTTCACTCCCATCAGCCCTGCTTAGTGAGAAGCACCCCTGTGTACCACGACCCCCCAACCTCGCCCCAAAGGCCGCTCTTGGCCCTGTGGTGCTTCTGCTGCCCAGGCGGCCTCTGCTGGAATGCGAGCACCTCTGACCACTGGAGAGCAGTGCGCTCCCCTCATGCTTGTAAACCTTCCTGACATCTGCTTTATACAACCACACTGCCCGAATGGGGAGTAGAAAGCGTTCACTAAGGGAAACTAAACTTCCACCCAGCAGTTCTGAGTCATTGCCAATCCCCACTTGGGGCAGCCAGATGAACAAGACTCGGCTCTACGTGGGACTCCCTCGAGGAGGGAAGTAGGATGTAGACAGAGAGAGAGAGAGGACGGAAAGAGGGACAGAGAGACAGAGACAGAGAGCAGCACACAGAGACACAGAGAAAGGAGGGAAAACCCATTTGGAAAGAAGAAAGCCCACACATTGGAGAGAAAGGTGAGCTCCAGGCTCTGTGAAGATGCTAAGAAAAGGGAAGTTGAATTGAAAGAGACTGAATGAACATGTCGGATTCTCAGACCTACATACAGAAAAACCTAATAAACTGCCCATGACGTGCGAAAGGGAAGCCAACTGTGGTCTTGTGAGGCCCTCCTGCGTGCTTGGCATGGTGCGGACACTGTGCATATGTTCCGGCGGGAGCCTAGCCACCTGCACGGTAGGCAACACGACTCCCATCTCATGGAGGGGGCTGTGAGGTGGAGACTCCAGGGGCCGAACCCAATGGAGTCCAGCGTGGACAGGGGGTTTGGCTCTTAGCCCAGGGCTCTTCCCTGGCCCCCATTGTTCTCTTCACAGTAAGGACAAGAGTGCACTTAGAGTTAAGCGGGGCAAGAAGAGCTTCCTGGGCAGAGAAGGAGCACTGGAATGGAGTCTGGTCTGCGTCAGTTCTGCAGTTGACCCACAGCATGGCTTGGGGCAAGTAAGTGTTATCCTCCTTGTCATCCTCAGCTTCCTCATCTGTGAAATGGGTAGTTAGTTAGATGAGCTGGGCTCTAAGGTCATTACGAGCTCCATGATATATCTATATATCTCTACATTTCTATCTATCTGTCTATCTATCTGCCTACCTACCTATCTTCTGGAGGAAGGGAAGGAGGGAGCAGAGAACATGAATGAGACAGTGTGTATGCATGTGTGTTCTGGATCTTTCCCTGGAGTTCTGGATAGGCCCTGGGTGGTTCCTCGTCTCTCCTCACAGCCTGAGGGATGCTCTGGGTGTGGTTCTGGCCTGGCCCTCTTCTCTTTCAGGGTCAAGTGTACAGCCTTGGTGTGGCCTGAGGACCCAGGTGTGGCACTGGGTCGTGGAGTCAGCCAGAGAACACCCAGGCCAGGACACAGTCTGCAGTAGGTGCTGGTCTGGATCCCAGGCCTGACTCAGGCTGGGCAGAGAGACGTGTGTTCTGTGGGGATGCCTTCTTCCTTCATTTATAGGATTGCCTTCTCCCTGAGGCCTCTCCTTCCTTGGAGCCTCACAGGCCTGGCTGACTGCCCTGGGAGGGCTTCACTGGAGACTCTAGAAGCCCATACACAGCCTGGTACTAAGTAAGTACCAACAAATGGCTGAGGAAGGAAAGAATGAACAGACACATGAACACTATCTCCTACCACAGGCATCTGTGGTCCTCACCTCCTTACTCCTGTCAATATTAGTGATAACATTGCCAATAACCCTCCTGAGCACATGCTGCCTGCAGCCAGGCTGCCCTGTGTGGCTGCATCTCTCAGGGGCACAAGCCCTCTGTTGTCTTCGTTAGTGGGGATCTGGGACTGCTGATTTTTTCATCACCAAGGTAGGTTCACCCCAAATAAGCAGAGCCCTGGGGGTGGGTGTTGTGGTGGCACAATTTCCTCTGTGCCAAACCCTTTCCCTGACATTTTATTATGAAAATTTTAATTGTTCACAAATGTTATAAGATTTTTATGTAAAAACCCATATACTACTACCTAGATTCCACCATTAACACTTTACGGTACCTGCAGGAAATCATAGCCGTTTATGAGAGGCTCTAGGTGCACAATTAATCCAGCAGGGAGAGTCCACCCACGAGTTGGCATGGGATGACAGACACCCTGGAGGCAGCGGAAGCCCACTGCCCCACATCTCAGGGGGTCTCCAGGTGGTCCACGGCTGGTAACAGTCCAGCGGCCTGGGAGTAATGCCCCGGGCACCTGGCTTCTGCTCGGGAAGTGTTCAGGCAGTAAGCTTCTGCTGAGGTTACACTTGGTTCTTCTTGTGTTTCCTAACTTCCATGGATGTGGGGGCGGGACGGGGGTGGTCTGTGATTTCTTATGAGTCCTGATGATCTTCTGGGACTTTGGAGATGGAGAACACATGAGAGTCTTAGGGTTAGAATAATCCAGTAAGGAGCCCACACTCCACTCAACCTCCACCTGGGGAGCCCCTCTGGCTGGGACAGAGAATAATAAGTGAAAAACGGAGCAGAAATGCTGTCATTCAGCCTTAATTTCTGTGTGGGATGAAAAAAAAAGGGAGACTCCATTTGGAAGAATTTTATTTCCTTTTGAGATTAAGAAATGGCCTTATTAATTGGAGGAGGAAAGGACAGGGTGGTGGTTCATATTCCTACATGTTTTGGATGACAATAAATGAAAGGTGTAGGTGGCATTGTTGTTTGGGAAATGTTCTTCTTGGTATTACTTGCTAGCTGTGTAACCTTGGGCAAGTTGGTTGATCACTCTAACCCAGTTTCTCCATCTACAAAATGGG